CCCTAAACCCTAAACCCTAAACCCTAAACCCTAAACCCTAAACCCTAAACCCTAAACCCTAAACCCTAAACCCTAAACCCTAAACCCTAAACCCTAAACCCTAAACCCTAAACCCTAAACCCTAAACCCTAAACCCTAAACCCTAAACGACATTGACAGCCCACCTTTCTCGAGATGCGCTTCGCCTTCCCGCTGCAGAGCTTGGCAAACTTTTCCTTGGCATCAACCGAATGGTCTTCAGGACCACAAAAGCAATGCCAGATGGTTATATTCGTGTATAATGACCCCACGCTGTTTGTTCCCCTCCCTTTCTTGTATCTAGAATAAACGCGGAACTCTGTGGCGGCGTCGCACTGCACGCCGCGTCGGAAATCTAGCAACCTCTCCGCCGGGATCACGGCGTGCAGCCAATTACTCGCGCTTTTCTCGTAAGGCCACTGAACATCACATTGCCAAACGATATCTCGATGTGAGAACAATCCCGCAGGCGGTGTCGATACGAAAAACTTCGGCGGATCGCGCTTGGAAGCTCGCACCTTGAAAGCTCGCATGCTCCTGGCGTACTTGGTTTTGTTCGCTCGCGGGCCTTGGCCACTGACAGAGCGAGTATCGTCCACGTAAAATGTCAGCCAGAACCCGTGACATCGCGTAACACACAGCTCAGAGTCCTTTCCGACGGTTGGAAACGAAAACACCGTCTCGTACTCGTCGACGGGGACGATTCCGAGCGCGTCATCGCCAACCTGGGAGGGCACCGTCACCCCTTCCCCGGCATCTTCCGGCTGCATATATCACGTCGCGGCCGGGTTTGACGAGTCGTCGCGACTCTCACGTCGCAGCGACGGCGTCCCGCGCCGCGTTGGCGCCGTCCCCCCCCCGCCGTCGTCGCGCGGGGAGGCGACGTCTGCCGCGATGGCGACGCAGGGAGCTCGGCGTCTCGGCACAGTCCCTGTTGGCGAGTTATGACTGGTCAACGATTTATTGAGTCATGAACGGTCACTGAAACCCTACTGATGTTGCTCTGAACGAGTCAAAATCCCATGGCATGTGATGAGAGATAAGCACATGAATGAAGCCAATCCCGTATTATAGTGGTTCTAACGCCTATGTCTATACTACACGACCTAGACCTACATATAGACTTAGCGTGTATGAGTCAGCATCGGACAAGCTCGCGCGGCAACCATCGCGACTCATAAACCCAAGGTTTCTCATAGATTATCTAACATTAGCACCAGTGTAATGCGGGATTGGGTTCATCTCATGAGTCATTATCCCTCATACTCGTAATCGACATCACTTATCGACGCACTTAGACGGTGCGAGCTTCGCCTGTAGATTCTGATGTCACTCGTCACAGCAGCCCAGAAAATGTGCGCAACTCGAAAATATATTGCCGCTGCTAAGATTTTCACCGTCGTGAGCGCGTTGCTGGTGGTGCGAGAGTACGCACGAGCTGCTCAAAGCGATCGACGGGTTCGAGTCGACTCTCAAACGTTCACAAACCAAGTCACGGATAGTAGACGCTTCGATCTGTCAACGTGGGCGAGAGAGCTGCTGCGCGACGTCGGTCCGAAAGCAAACTCTGATGGTATACGTGTGGGCTTGAGATACATGCAGGCTGAAGATAAACCGTTTTGGATGACCGTGCCTTATAAAATTCCACTTGCGGCCCACGATATAAATGAGCACGTATGGGACGCGGGTTCATTTTATGTAGACACTGAAGCCGAATGCGCGCGCAAAATCATGTCGACATTCTGCAACCCCGCCGTCCTCGTCTTGGACGTAGGTGCCAATTCTGGTTATTTCTCTCTGCTCGCCGCCGCCTCCGGCTGCAGAGCGTTCGCGTTTGAGCCTGTTAAAGACCACGTGTACTTCATCGAACTATCGGCCGCTTTAAATGGATTCCGTGATAGGCTACAAGTGTTCAACAAGATTGTTTCAAACACTAAAAATGTTATATTCAATGGCTGGAACGCTGCCTCGAGTGACATGTCGTTTGTTGCAAACGCTGAAGAGCATAACAAAGAAAAGGCCGGACTGGCGCAGTCGAGCATGAAGCAGGCCTCTGCAGATGATGCCGTCGCCATAGACGAAGTCGTGAAAGAAGACGTGCTATACATGAAGGTCGACGTTGAAGGCTTCGAACCGAGTGTGTTCGCATCTGCACAGAATTTGATCAAGGATTACACAGTGCGCTATATTCTCTTTGAGATGACATATTACTTGTACAAGTGGACAGATGCCGATTACTTGATGATACTAGAGTCTCTTGACGGATACGGATACCGCTTGTACCACATCGAAGCCAACCATCCAATAAAAAATCCTCAGCAGACGCTTCCGAGAGGAGGATCCCGTTTGAAAGCGTGGTTTGATAAACTTAAGGCCACATGTGATACCCATGCTACGCATTTTTGTCAAGCAAATATATTTGCCGTTCACGCACAAGCAACCTGGCCAGTCTGAGTCCAGAAGCCGGTCAAGAGCGCTTCCTTCATGGCGCTCACGCGCGCTACCACAGACTCGTCGGCGACAGCGACCCAAAGCTGATAGAGATAGCGAGTGCTACAAACATCGCGTATCCCGATTAACTACTTTGAAACCAACTCATTTGAAGTGTTTTTGTCGTGCGTTCCTTATGCGGCAGGACTTAGAGGTGCGAATACTTGTGGATCCAAATGGGTAGATAAGGTAAAACCAGATGGTTCCCTTAAGTCTAGATTGGTAGTACAAGGATTCACCCAAGTTTGGTTGAAGGACTACCACGACACATTTAGTGCTTTTGCTTCCATGACCACGTTTAGAATATTCATCAACGTTACGGCATCTTAAGATGGGACATCTTCACGAAAGATGTTTCCCAAGCTTAGACTTAGCTTAGAATTTAAGAGGAACTTTTCAGGTCCAGCAGAAATTCACGAGTGTTCTAATCACTTCAACGTGATGTGAAGTCATATATCTTCAGAGTACATACAAGATTCCAGCAACCAGAGGTTGAATGAAGGTAATGTGAAGAGTGATGCGCTGCACACATTTCAAGAGTATCTCGAGAAGGTCGAAAGTGAGGAAACCCAACCTTTCAAAGGGATTGGTACGTCTTCAGACTAGAGAAAGCTATAGCTCCTTGTAATCGACATCACTTATCGACGCACTAGGCCCGATTGATCACAATTTATCAGGTATATCTCGCAGAATCTGTCATTTATTATCAGGTGGAGGCAGCCAGATCACGCTGGTACACTGGTACCGAAAAAGCCTTCAGCAGGTGCTGCGGGCCTCTAGCCGGCGTTGCATTGTCGCCCATCCTACCGCGTTGCACTGGTCGCTGTGAGCCGTCCGTGCGCGCGCCCACAGGTGTGCCGGTGGAATAACACCGATACCTTACCGACACACGTGCTCATCGATGTCGTCGCACGTAAAGAGCTTTTATTAAGACGAGTCGGCTGATTCTGCAACTCGCGGAACGAAACGTTTCGCGCACGAACGAGGGCTTTTTCGTCGCGAATTTCTCATCGCGCGGAATGAAACGCGGAGGCGTTCGGAACAAGCTGTGCTCAACCAATCGGCGAGTTGATCGTTGCAATAAGGCATGGACGCTCGCGCTGGTACCTTTCGCAACCACCTCAATTCTGCTTCTTTTGCTTCACGCGTCGCGGCGAGGTATACAAAGTCATTGGAACGACGCAACAGTGCCGGCGTTTCCGATGACTACGAATGGCGAAAACACAATGTCTGCTTTGCCTCACACATTGCACACCCTGACGTTACCGAACGATTCGTCGTTCGCGTTAAAAATCACCACGCGACTCAACCCGACGTGGACGGTGAAGACGTACGACGCGTACGGCGGAGCCGAGTATATGGAAACGAACTGCAAAAAATATTCACGCGCGTACAGAGCACTAAAACCACTCGCGTTCAAAGCTGATTTATTGCGGTACTGCATTCTGTACACCGAAGGCGGCGCTTGGATGGACGACGACATTTTACTGGTGAAGTCTCTCGACGAATTGACCCACGATATGCGCCACGACGCGTTGTTCGTGTACGACAGACGCGTGTACAAACTCGCGGGCGGGCCGAAACAAGTGTGGAACGCGTTCATGGTGGCGGTTCCCGGGTTGGACGTTTTCGCGCGCGCGATGGAGAAGATCGCCGCGAACGTCGCCGACCGACGACACTTTTATCATTCGTTGTACTACACCGGGCCCGCGTTGCTCTACGAAAGCATCGCGGATGGAGATTCGATCGAGTTTCGTTGGCGCGTGCAACATAGAGACGCGCTGAGCGCGGCGAGTCGACGCGTCGCGGACGTGCGCACGGACGAGGAGGTGTTGTTGCACTTTAAGCTGCCTCGAGCGACGAAGCACTACAGCGAAATGTCGCGGGGAGGGGACATTTACGCGTCGTGAAGAAGTCGGCGGAAACGATTTGGCGCGATCGATCGTACGTAGATTCTAGCTCAACGTGTAGTGATGTAGTCTCGAAATCGCATCATAGTGTATCATTCTCGTCACGTGCGTAATCACTCACCTCACTTCTCTTTCCCCAGTATTCGTCGTTCGTTTCACGCTTCGCCTCGCTTCGAACGGCTCCGTCCTCGCACGATCGAAGCGCGCGCGAGAAATCAGCGCGTTGTTGCTTTTCGCGGCGTGTTTGACCCTGTTCACACGGTATCGCCGCGCCAAACTCGCGCGTGCTCGGGTCGAAGAACAGCACTCGTCCGTACAACCGAAGCCGACGCGTTCGACGGCGCCGATCGCAAAAGACGTCGACGCCGCCTTCGATCGCGCGATCAACGCGATCAACGCCGATAAGCTCAAGCGCTACGCGCTTTTCGACACCGTCTCGCGCGGAGGCACGCAGAAGGCCGATGGTTGGTACCAAGACAACGTGGAGCCCGCCGTGACGTGCGCGCGCGAAGAGCGCGCCGGTCCAGCTGGCGAGGGTGGGAAGGGGTTGTGCGACCCGAACCGTCTGCGCGCGCAGGGTGCGGACTGTTTGATATATAGCGTCGGAAGTTTCGATGACTTTAGTTTCGAAGAAGCGATCACGCGGGACGTGTCGAGCGCGCGCGAAATACACGCGTTCGATCACACGGTGTCGAACCCGCGAAACAAACCGTGTGGTGTCCACTTTCATCCATTGGGATTAGGAGGCGCGCGCGAACCCGATGGGAGCGATTTGAAAGGTTTAGCCGACATCGTCGTCGCGCTCGGTCACAAAGGAAGGACGATAGACGTATTAAAAATTGACTGCGAAGGCTGCGAATGGAGCACTTACGGCAGCTGGTTCGACGCCGACGTGCGCGTCGATGAAATGCTCGTGGAAATACACGCGGGCACGATTGACTCGAACTTGAACGAAATACATCAATCGTGGCTCTCTCTGATCGTCGGCGAACAACTTTTCGGCCGCGGCGCGCTCGACCCTTCGCGCGAGCCGGTGGCGAAACGTTTCTTACGACGCCTTTACGACGAAAACTTTTACATTTTCCACAAAGAGCCGAATATCAAGTATTCACGATTGCACAAAATGTGCGTCGAATTCGCACTCATTCGCTTCGATGGTGGTATTGAGGGTGTGGAAAATTCCCCAAACTCGTAGTAGGTGACAGACACTCTTGTAAATCACTGGGCACGTCCTTTCGAGTCAGCGCTCAACTCTTCGATGACGAAACCAGCGCCACCAGCTCGACGTTCCATCGAGTCTTTCGACGCAAATGCTCGCCTGTCCTCCGTACCCGCCGCCAGTGGGAAAAAAGTACCGCGCGTTCGCCAGATAGACGAAATCGTCATCCGGGAGCGCGCTCAGCCGCTGCACGATGTCGTGGCCGCGTCGCGTGAGAAGCTCGACCACCTTGATCGTGTACCATTCGCTCCCTTTGCTATCGCTAAAATGATTCCTATGCACGGCTGAACCGACGACCATGACGGACAATCGCCTCTCGCAAAGGTGGTTATGACTGACAGACACAAGACGCTTAATTAGTTTCAAGCACTATGCCACTTTGAGCCGATGCAACCGCTCTCAGCCTACCCGAAGAAATCCTTTCCACGGTTCTCGCATTCAACGAAACCAATTTGATAGTGTTTGTCAACCAAGTGGCGCTGCCTCGCCGTGTTGCGCCAGTTATTCCGGCGAATCCATTTTTGATACTCTATTTCGTCGCTTTTCAACGCGAAGAAATACCGGCGGTGTCGCGCGCTCGATCCACGCGACGCGCGCGAGCACGTAGTCTCGGCTTCATTTCTGTCAAAGAAAAAGTCGTGCGTTCGTAAAGGACGATTTCTTAGAACTAGCGCATCTCGAAACGAGCCGTACGAAAACGCTACGCGAGCGGCGCAGTTAAACTCCACCAAGTCAGAAATCAAGTCCCGTCCAAGTCTCATGGTGACGTTTGGAAGTACCGCGGCGAGCTGTTGAAAAAACATACACGTTGGATTGTTCAAGTCTTCGCAGAAAACTCGCACTTGTAATGCCGATTCCGAAGCGTAACTCTGCACGCTCGCGTAGTACGACGTCGGAAAAGGTCCGTACGTCGTGTGCTTTGACGGCTCTTTCGCAACGAAATGACCCGTCCAACGACTGTAGGAGCCGCTGACGATGTCTCCCGCGCGCACGTGCACCGCGAGCACATCATCGCCGACACTCTCGCAGGCACGACCAAACGCGTGCGTCACGTTCGTTTCAAAGTAACGCGAGATAGCATTGGTTACGACAGACCCGTCTGGTATAGACATTCGGTCGTCTGCAAAACCGTTCTGTTGACGAAGCGCATCTTTCGATTTGAGGTACGTATCGTACCAGCGACGCCCGCTCAGTTTCTGACACTTCTTCGCAGCACGCTTATTCCGCACACCATCGATCTGTTTGTTTGCGAAAAACGTATTTTCTGATCTCCATCCCGGTAGTATGTCGTCGAGTATGCGCACGTGACAACCGCGGACCAGCGCGTCCTCGAGCATCATCGCAAATATCCGTACCCTATTGCCGAGCCGACCGTACCATCGCTTAACTGAAACGATATCTGTGTCGTCGTACCTATCGCTCGATGGCTTCATTGGCGTGAAAACCATTCGCTCGTGATCAGTCTTCGGCTTTGAATCGACGTTTTTGTCGACGCCGGGGCGCGCCGAGCCGTTGCTCCCTCTAGCGATAGGACCATAAAACCAGTCGCGCAGCCATCGTCGCGCTCCGGGATGCGCTATGTTTTCGAATACATCGCCGTCTGCGGAAAACATACTTTGAAACGTCTTGGCTGTGAACGAAATCGCGCCCACGCGTTCGCCCATTTTGACATCCGGCCGTCGAGGACAGACGAGATTCCCCTCCTCGTCAATTGAAAGTTCCAAGTTTTCAACCGTCGGATGCATGAAGTTGGAACAAAAGAAACCAAAGTTATGACTCGACAAAAGTTTGTGCAGCAACACATCGCTCGATAACATTTCTTCCTCGAGCATCTGTCCGTAATACGTTTGTAAATCGTATTTCGGTGGCGTCCTCGCGCTGGACGTAATCCTCCTCCGTTCAAAGTCTCTGACCTTTGCTATTGTTTCGCGATCGAGCGACCAGAGATCTCCGAGTGCGTCGAATTCCGGTCGAACCGAAGAGTGCGCGGAATGAAAACATGCTCTTATTCCCTCGCAGTGCGCGCCTCTTTGGTAACCCACGACCCACGACGAGCTTTGCCTGAACGTCTGTCCCAAGTCTACGAAGACGAGAGTGTCGAGATCGATCCATATCACCCTCGCACCGAACACCGTCATTAAATGTTCTACAGCATCAAGTTTCGCTCGTGAAAGCGCCGCCCACGGCCCGACGTTCGTGTAAGCGTTTGGCGGAAAAGACTGCGAGTCGCACGCGTGCGTGATTACGTCAACCTCTGTGCCAAACGTGGTCTTGAGCGGAATCACGCCCGGCGTGTCCGTGTACACGTGTAAACACGGCGGTTTCCTTGCTTGCGATCTCGCCAACGACGAGTACATGAGCCGCAAAGCTATCTTCGTGCTTTCCACGCTCCATCTTTTGCCAGCGTTCCGCGCAAAGGCAAACGTAGCGAAGCGAATCGATTCCGGTTCGTCGGCTATCGACGCTTCAAGCCGACCTCCGATGCACGGTTCGACGACCACTCGCGACTTTTTACGTTGGAGTGCAACATCATCGCTTTCTCGGGCGCGCTCGCGCGTGCGCTCTCTGCACAGCCAGCACGCGCACAGCGCGACGAGTACTATCGGAAGCGCTCGTCGTCGCGCGCGCCGCTGCGTTCGATGCGCGGGCAGAGTCGCCCGCGCATCGCACGCGAACATCACGCGACGTGCGCGCCGCGTCCCCGCGGACGCGGTCGCTCGTAATGCGGAGCGTCACGCGAAACAGAGCCGTCGCGGTCCGTTTTAGAGGAGGGTGTCGGCGAGGCGCGCGTCTCGCTCGGTGCGTCGATCCGGGTGCGCGGTGAAGATGATCTCGCGCGCGTCGTGCGTAGCGGACGCGGAGAACGTCCCCACGCCTTGTGACGGCGGTTATCCCCCTTCGGCGCCCCAAACGCCCTCTACACACCCATGGCACCTTCGAGGGAGAGCCTAACGTCCAAACCGACGTGGAAACTTTAGCCCCAGAACCGCGCGCGCGCGAGCGTCGTTCGCGCGCCGAGCGCGGCACCGATCGTCGCGCGCTGTGCGACGAGGGATTACGACGCCGACGACGCGGGTGCGCGAGCGCGACGCGCGAAGAAGGAGAACGCGTCGAAACGCGAATGGCGGCGATTCTCGCGGACGAGGATGCGGACGGTGCCCACGGGCGCGGGCGTCGTCGGGACGACGCGCGCGGAAGGGGCACGCACGGCGTGGAGCTCGGCGAGCAGGTACGTGTCGCCGTTCATGACGTATTGGTCGCTGATATTCGCGATCGCCGACGCTAACTGTCTCGGCGGCGACGCCACGGGGGCGACGTCGGCGGGAGCGCGTCGTCGAGCGTGCCGATCGCGAACTGGGACGTGAGCGCGGTGGATGACACGCGCGATTTGTTTCAGTACAAGAGTACCTTGAACGGAGATATCAGGAACTGCAACGTTGGCGCGGTGAAGAACGCGCATTCCATGTTCTACCGGGACATCTCGCGCTTGGACGTCCGTGCGGTGAGAGATGTGCAACAAACGTTCTACTCAGCGTCGGCCTGGGAAGCTCTGACGCATTGACGCACCTCGAGGTGTCTATGAAGAACGCCGCCAGAGTACGATCTCCAGGCGTATTTCAGTCTGATGCTCGAAAATGGTGTACTTGCCGAGAACGCTTTGCTTCACAACTTTCTACCGGACCTCAATTTTGGTTTCACGTGTTCAAACTTTGAGCACCCAACGTCGACTAATATGGAAATTTCTGTCGATAGCGCTGACGATCAAGATGTTCGCGCTTGGTTCGCGCGATGGTTTTACTCGCCGCTCTGAAAGAATTCGGCAGTAGTTGTCGCTAGATCGTAATATTTAATACTATACCATACCTAAGGCTAGCTCATTCAGACGATGGGAAACGCCCTTGACGACGCGCTCGTACGTAAATTCTTGCATCAACGCGCGAGCATTTGCTGTGATATCACGCAACTTCGTTAGCGATTCGCCATCGGTGTTCGCCACAATCTTCGTTTTTTCCACTAAATCGTGCAAATCTCCAGATATTCCGATGTAGTGTACTCCATCTACCAGCTTGTCGCTGTAATAGTGCTTGAAATTTGACTTGACGAGGAACAGGACGCTCCCGCTTTCCATGCGCCAACGGTTTCCCCACGCGTCGACGTTTCCATCGATTTCGAGGATACCTTTGTGCGTGATCCAATGCTGTTCCGATACGTGCGGGCTAATGCGTACATTTGTTTGTCCTTTACACGATTGTACCCTTCGCGTGATCTCGACGTCGAGCCAAGGAACATTTATGGATGATTGCACCGCTCGCACGCGCGGAAGTTCAACGCACGCGGTAACCCTTTCGTTCACGTCGACGCGAGCGGGTTCTTCTATTTCGCATTTTGTTGACATACCAGACGTCGAGCCTCTCCAGAATACGTCGGATTTGCGTTCATCAAACGGAATCTCACGTTCACGCAGATTCCGAAGCAACGGTTTGAACCCGTCGCGCTTGATGAAGTGGAAGTTTGGCGCGAGCACGACTGATTCGTCGGTGAAACAATCCACATTGATAGAATGCGCCAGAATGAAAGTGTTCAAGGATTTCAATTCCCGTTTCAGCTCCCTCGGCATAGAGGCATCGTCGTCAATCACCCAAAGGAGTCGTAGAGCCACGTCGCTTCGTTCTCCTTGGTTCTGTCGCCGTTCCACAGCGACGTCTCGGAGAAACCGCAGGGCACTTTTAAAGTAGCTACGATTCAGCGGTTCACGCCTGCGTGCGACGAAGGTGTACGACGACGGCGAAGTCGCCTCCGGATGAATGGTGAAACACGCGACGTCTTTACCCAAGCCAAATGAACTGAACTTCAGCATTCGTTCCCTCACGTCGCCGCAGCAGTTCCGACAGTGCGTCCAAGCATCTTCTCGCATCCACATCTCGCTCAAATACTTCACCGAGCGCTCGCATCCGCGTGTTATGAACTGCAAAGACAATACAAACTTCAACAACCAAAAAGCCAACAGCACGCGCAAACCGAGCCGACGTGCGGAGGTTTTCATGGCTGCGGTGGACATGTCGAAAAGCTCATAATCACTGCGATTTACCCGAGTCTATGTGTATGAGCGTGCCGTTGTAAATCGAACGCGTCGCGGAGTGGAACGAGTATGCGAACGAGCGAAAGGCGCCCTCGTTTGCGCAGAAATTTCAAAATCGAGAGGCACGCCGCACTTGTTGACACGTGGTGTACTCTAAGACGAGTGGTGCTCACGATAACTCGATGCGCTCTACTATGAAACTTTAACTTTGGATGCGCATTAAAGCTGCTGCGCGGATATGGCGTCGCGTGAAACAACGGAACGGGCGTTGATAGCACTTCGGTATACGTGAGATTCCACACCCTAGAGCGAGATATCGACGTCAAGGACAGTGCGATGCCGGTGAAACGCCGTGAGCGAACACGAATGATGCGTGCGTTTTTCCTCTCATCAGCGCTCTTCTACGGGTCTACTCAGCTCAGATCTCAAAGGTACGTGACGTCACAGAGAACTAATTCGAGTTGCTTCACGACGCCCGACTACGACGAGTATTGCGTGTTAGAAGATGTATGCGTCACACGTGGTGGACTTTTGGTCTCGACAGCGCTTACGACGCTCAAATCGGACGGGCATGAAATCAGTAGACTTTCCAACTTACCCACGGTGGATATGTCAAAGTTTCACCAGCTACCACTGAGGGCGTACGTGGACGTAAAAGTCGACCCGGTGATTTTCACGCACGCTCTCAATAAGAACCACACGTCGAATCTGTTCGTGATCGCTCCAGACGACAAACGCGGCGCAAATCCCTTTCATTTCGCGCAATCTGCCATGTTCTTTTTTCACAGCGCTCTCAGGACGCTAGAGAATTCGGATAGCTCTTCTGTCGTGATAATTTTTAGACAGCGGCCGCCCGCTCAAAGTTGGATTGATAGTTTGACTCAGCAGATCTTTGGCGACGTCAGGGTCGTTTATGGTGACGAGTTGACATCGCCTATTTGTGCCAGAAGAGTTGTCGTCGCTGGAACTATGATAGGTTTACTTCAAGGCCCATATGACGCTCAATTATTTCGAGACCGAGTGTATGGCAATCTCAAAATCAACCCGAAACGAATAAACAGAGCGGATTTGCGAGTGACACTGATTGATAGAAAGAAGAGACGTGTCACTAACGTAGGCGAATTACAAGAAATATTGGATGAGCGTCGACTTTGGTACAAAACTGTTCGGCTCGATACGCTTTCTTTCAAGGAGCAAGTGTCCCTCATGTCAGAAACAGACTTGCTCATTTCATCGCATGGCGCCGATCTTACGAACGTTATATTCATGCAACGAGAAAGCGCAGTCATTGAGCTCTTTCCTTCGACGGTTTGGTACTATGAGCTCTACGCAAAAATCGCACGGAACGCCGGATTGTTCCACACGTACGCTCTCGGCGATCAAACGCACGCCGTTACGAAGACCATTGCGGAGTGCTTTGAAAGTGCCTGTCTGACCGAACTGAAACGCGACTTTATGATACCGCCTGAACGTTTTCGTACTTCTCTCGATCACGCGCTCAGTCTCCTTGGAGTCGCCAACGCAGTCTAGTAGATTGATCCGCTTCGAGTTGCGGCATTAGACACGACGTTCAGTGGCGGTCCAAAAGTCCCAACGCGCGTTCGTGCAATCATCAAAGTACGAGAAGCACGGGTGAGGAGGAAACGTGATCGAGGAAGCTAAGCCGCTGTAAGTACTATTCGATCCAACAATACACGATGCTTGAGATAGAACATAAAGCTCAGCAAAAGTATCCATATTCCCTTTTCGCATACTCCGCTTGAAGACGCTCCAACTTCTGTCGATGTGAAAAACATTGGTACTGTGCACAGTGCGCACGCCTCGAGCCGACACCAAAGCTGAACTTTTTAGTTCGTCACTATCAGAAAATAAAACTATTGGAGCGACATGAGTGGTCAACGAATCCTTTGCGTTATCGCGTGTGTGTTCCACGAGCAGCTGTCGCTTCATTTCTGCACAGTCAAAAAACTTTGTCACATCCTCAATATCGTGGCGCTTCGGGTCAATCCAACCAACGACTCGATTTGAACGTTTCATCTTTCCACCGATCCGTGCGTGGACGGCGATGAAAGGTGAATTGTCTTGAAGACGAAGCTCTTGAAGCATTTCTAAGGCTCGACGTTTGACGTTGGGCGCAAAGTGAAACAGGTTAGTAAACGCAAAACTAAAAGTATGAGCAGCACTCGAATCATGTGCAAGCGTGCTTCCACACTGTGAACTACGGTATTGCGTCATTTTGCCCTTAAAATATTCGGCCACGCCATCAGATCGTGTTCGTGTAGACTGATGAGGATCTGACCACAAAAAAATTCCGACATAGTACCGGTTGATGTGAAGTCTAATTGTGGGTGTTCCAGCTCTTTGCAACGCTTCGATCCTTTCGAGGTCCTTTGAGGGGACTTTGGAATCCACCATGAAAATTTCGGTCTCTTTGAACCCCGTCGAAGCGCATACGCGCTTGCTTTTATGTTTATGGTCCCATCGAACTGTCTTCGGAACCAAAGTGTGCGTTAGCGGGAAAGGAGACTTGTACTCAATGAAAAATGCCCTATCCAATACGACGGCGAGATAAAACGCACTCATGATACCACTCATTCGGTCACCTACACCCCCACAGAGCTTGTCGCAGACGTATATCAAGGACGGTACGCACTGACCCTCCTGCGATCGTCGCACAGCGTTCGCGTGGAAATCAGCGTAACGCTGAAACCAGCAAGATTCCCGACGGTCAGTGTACAAGGCGCTAACGGAACCGTTGAATCTATTGACGTGCAGATCGCCTTCGAAACTTTGACCCGTTAGTTTCAGCACACCATAAGTTAAGATGAGTCCCACGGGACAGACTGAAAACTTTGTGAGACGCTTCGAAGACGTCTTCTTCATGCCTTCCGTCTACTCGACGCCTAGATATTGATCATGAAGCCTTCTTTCCAAGCTAAATGCCGATCGTAGGTTCTTCTCTGAAGCGTCGAAACGAGTATTAGTCGTGCGCCCTGCTACTGTACAGGGGCGGACGACTGGCGACCCGTTCGGTGTTTGGACCGGGTTTACTGAGTCAGGTGGTTCGTGTGGTGCGGTGCGAACTTTCGACAACCAGTGCTCACGTTTGCAACCCCATGAATGAGTACAAATCGTAGTTAACTCTCGCCAGGCGCACGGCACTGACGACACGGCAACGCCAGGAGCGCGGTCGACCTAAATAATAAGTCTACGACACTCTAGGACACTACTTTACAAACTTTACAGAAGGAGTGCACGCGCCTTTAGCGCCACGTACACGCGCGATAGTCCTCGCCCTTCCACGCTCTATCTCTACTATGGCCGCGAAAGCTATGTATCTATGAACGGGGTGGGGTATGAGGGACCTCGCAAACTTCCTACGCGCTTGCCATGTTTTAGGGCTTGATCTGTGGTCATACCTGGAGCGCAACAGATTTACGAATATCACCTTAGAGCGTACTTATTCTATGCGTTGGAACGATGTTTCAGCTCGCTTTTTTCACGCAATGTTTGGGAACTAAAAGAGGTTTCCAGCAAATATTATGCACCGATCCTGGCGCGCTCATTTTTCCTGCCTGAACGGATGTAAGCTCCTTCAAAGAGCATCCTTGTCGCTGAAAAGTGTGCGGTAAGTAACCTAATAGCTTCATGTGATCGATCATGTCGATGAGTGTACAATTGGTATATTGCTGAAGACCAGGATTATACTCAGTTAAAATTGTACATGGGTTGCCACCATGTAAGGTCGCCGCCGCGCCTTTCAAGACGCGACACTCATTTCCTTCAATATCCATTTTCATGAAGGCGATAGGATTCGAACCACTGCCTAGTATTTCATCAAGGGTTATGGACTTCATTTCTTCGGCACAGTGCCCCGTCGCTCCTTTTGTTTTTCTTTGGCCACCTCCACAGAAAGGATGATCTGCAAACTGAGTAAACGGTACTAGAATACCGTCGCTCGGGTTTCCAATAGGCCGGCACACACAAAACCGTTCGGATTTTGACGCAGGATCAGCAAGTGGCGTATTATGTAGTTTCAACAGCGTGGTCCAGCCGTTGTGATCTGCGCTACAGCGTAACAGATTCGCGTTATCCGGGAGTGCCTCCACGGCGACCACTTCGCGGCCCAGAGAAAGCGCAACACTCGTCATAACACCGACATTTGCACCTATATCGACCATCATTCCATCTGCAATACTGAGTTGACGCCGAATCAAATTGCTTATCGCTGGCTCGAAAGTGCCCTTCGCCTTAACAGTAGAAGTGATCGCATCGCCCGAATGAAAAAGCCACGGATTTCCATCGACCGATAGAAGCTGAGCCTGCCGGACGCCGCAGTTAAATCTGCTGGAACGAGCTGCGTTATTGTCACGTACAGGAGATTCACTCAAAGCTGTACGAATGTACCAGCACGCGATACAGGCGGCGCAGAAGGCGCAAACAGTCACCAAAGTACTCCTCTTAACAAGTGACGCAACAGCCGGGAACGAACTTTTCAACCGCCCGGGGTTCGGTTTCGCCATACTCACCACTATTTGTGCGCGATGCGTTCGCGGTAATGCGCACCGGGGATGGGAAATGGCGATCGTATGCGTCGTGTGAGCTTTGAATCGATAGCGACCGTGTATGAAGCCGGAGTGACCTCGTACTCACCCTTGAACGACATCGCCGTGAAAACTTATAGCGTTCGCTCTAAAACTGATAGTATTTATTCACTACGTACTAGATTACTAAGGCTAAACATCTCTTGAATATGTCGCGAGATTGCCGCGCGCAAGAGCGCTACCAAGAAGAGGATGTCACTACTAATACCAGTAAAGACACTGCTGAAACATTTCCAACGTTTCCTCGTCGGCGTGAAAACGTTCCATACGTATTTCTTCGTGGCGATTTTTAACATCTTCAACCGCCGACCGTCGCCTGGAAGACAACGTCACGTAGTCGTAGTGCTTGGCGATAGTTTTCATCGCATCGTGACGTTTTGATCTTCTCTCGTTGATTTTGTCACTTCCAAGATTTGGGGCTTCGTGCTTTCCGGCTTGTTTCATGCTGCAAGCACAAAGTTCTAGATCGCCTCCATTTTCCGGTCGAGGGCATCTCGCGCGCTTTGTACCGATGCCCAAGGTTGTTTGCAATACAGCACTTATCCAAAAGTCTTCCGCATTGTAAAGTAAAGGAGGGGGCGCGCGAAACGCGGCCTGTAACCAGACCATCCTCCCAGCCCACAAATGACCTCCAAAATCGTATTCATCATCTTCGTCAAACGTATCAACCGGACCTTCTTTCCAGTGACCTCGCCAATCGAATTCTAAAAACTTTTCGTTCAAAAATCTACCATTTCTCGTCGCCAAAAAGCCTTCATCGACGACACGCAGCATGTTCTCAAAGTACCTCGATCCGAACATAACGTCATCATCCAAAACAATAAACGTTGCGTGTGGAGTCGTTTGTACGAACATCGGCGCGAGAAAGCGACCGTAATAACCCGTTTCAACTTTAGAATGCACGTGATATACGTGTGGTGGAACACCCGACCAAGCCTCTGAGCTATTCCATCGATGAAGCGCGTCGCTAATATCCACGTGCTCCCCGTTTTGAACGACAACGATGGCAGTTCTTTTCGTCATCAGCGTCGTCTGTTTGCTTATCATTTTCATCACTTGTGTGATTGTTTTACGTTTCCAAACCGTCACGACGACCACATTCTCGTACGGCGCAGTGGAGTGTTCATTATGAAACGAAGACGATACTGGAAGTGTCTTTGGCGGCGGCGTTCTCAACATTGTCTCGAGGATGCGCACGATGTTTCCAGCAGCATTCCCATCGCCATAAGTTTTCTTCGAGCCTGACATGGATCTATAAGAATCGGGATCTTTCAGCAAAGACGCCGCTTCGGTGTATATACTTTCTGCACCGTGACCAACTAGTTTTGCGGCGCCCGCGAGCACTCCTTCTGGTCTCTCTGTTGTGTCTCTGAGCACTAACACCGGTTTTCCTAGAGTGACCGCTTCCTCTTGGATACCTCCCGAATCTGTCATGACGAAAAAACTCTCTTTCATCATGAATAATAAATCTGCATGGTCTAGAGGTGGTACTATCAGCAATCGCCGTAAGTGCGTAGTCGTTGGCGGCGCGTGGTCCGACTGTACAAGGCTGTGGAATGTATCAACGCCGAAGTGCTGTTCTGCTAAGTGCTTCACCATAGGGTTCAAGTGAATGGGATAAATCACGACGACGTCAGGGTATTCTTGCAGAAGCTTCTCTATGCTTGTGAAGATGTTGAGTATGGGTTCGCCAAGGTTTTCACGTCGATGAGCGGTGAGAAGTAACAGCCTCACGTCGCGCAGAGTGGATACAGTCTTCACGACTTTGGATAGCTCAATCACTCGATCACTCGGTTCAGTCTTTAAAATTGCATATAGGGCATCGACAACAGTGTTACCGGTTGTAAACACATTCGTGCGTCTACCCTCGTCGTACAGATTTTTTGCCGCGTGTTCGGTGGGTGCGAAGTGATACGTCGCCATAACTGAGATACACTGTCTATTGACTTCTTCGGGAAAGGGTGAGTAGATATCACGCGTACGAAGACCCGCTTCGATGTGTCCAACTGGTATTTTCAAGTAAAACGCCGCCAAAGACGTGATAAACGCTGTCGTTGTATCGCCCTGCACGAGCACCGCGTCTGGTTTTGACGAACGTAGCACGCCGTCTACCGCGCGCACCGCGCTCGATGTGAGCTCTGCGAGCTGTTGATTTGGCTTCATCAGCGCTAGCTCGTGTTGAATTTTATCTTGCAAGCTGAACTGGCGCAGAACTTGCTCAAGCATCTGTTTGTGTTGACCCGTGGAGATCAGTATCGCACTCAGAGTCGACGATCTGGCCACCGCTTGAATCACCGGAGCCATTTTCACAGCCTCTGGTCGCGTACCGAAGACAATCGCGATTTTGATTTCAGCAGAATAGGCCGTTCTGTCGAAACGTTCTGACTCGATATCTTTCATCGAGTCCAACGAGGGCGTGGGAGGATCGCCTTTTCGCGGCCAACCGGCATGTTTGTTCACCGATAGCAGGGCGGCGAAACACAACGAGACTAGCGAGACTAACGAGACTAACGAGATCAGAGTTCTCGCTCTTCGGCGATCGAGGACGAGGATACTTTTTAACCGTCCCATCAACTCCGCGATGTATGCTGGCGTCGGAATCTTCGGGCACGCGGACGTCCTTCACGGAGGAATGAATCGTGGTTCGCCCGGGCTTCGCTAAATTTAGCTCGGTTTTGGCCGTTCATGACTCAAGAGTATGGGTAAAGGGTGAGGACTCCGCCGGGGTGTTTTTACCTCGTGCAACTTTTTTAGAAATCGATCACTTACAGCGACAAGCTAGTAGATGTGATACACTTCATCGGAATATCCGAAGATTTGCACGATTTGGCTGAGAAAACGAAGATTGTGGCGAACACCGATGGCGAATCGCTAACGAGGTTGCGTGAAATCACAGCAAATGCTCGCGCATTCATGCAAGAATTTACGTATGAGCGCGTCGTCACGGACGTTTCACATCGCCTGAATGAGCTAGCCCTAAGTATAGTATAGTATCAGAAACAGAAACCTCCCGGCGACGTTTGTTCGCGAGCAAAGAAACGGCAACCTCACGAGCATCTTTGGCCACTTGAGCGCGCCAGTCTTCGTCGTCGCAAGCGGGAGCCGTCGTTGCCTCTGCTCCTCCCAGCGAGGCTGAAGATCGCTGAGAAGCCTTCTTACAACCTTTCCGTGCCGTCGACACGGTCGGAGACGCGCTTCGGCGCGCGCGAGGGTGCGTCATACGCGACAGAATCTGGCCCAAAAGTTAACGTGCCCATCGAGCTCCAACGGTCGTGTTCCGTCAACACCCACGCACAGAATTCAAACTTAAACGGTCGGATATCACGATACGCGGAAACATCGGTTGACTCCGCGCCGCCCGGACGCGCGCGCGGCGCGAAGTGGCGCGCGACGGCGCGACAAACGTCGACGTTAATTAAATTCATTATTTTACCCTCATACATTATTTTCGAAATGCGAGCTATACCTAATACTATGCGATCAATCGGGCCTGCGTCAATAAGTGATGATGATTACAAGTAGCTATCATTGATTAGTACTCGATGGGCACGTTAACTTTTCGATTACGAAATATGCGATGCTACGGCAGGGGGAGTAGCGCCCATCCCGAACACCACCATGGGAAACCCGCTATCGAGTTACACTAAATGAAAACTCAAATCTATTTTCACTTCGCGTACGTACGCTAGGCGTGAGACTCTACACGGCGAGGTACGCTAAGTAAGATATTGAATACGATGTCCAAAGTATCGTCCCCACAGCTTCTTTGTATCGACCAGCATTTTCAATCCAGTTCAAGCGCGCTGCTTTGTTTGACGTGACGAATTGCGGCTTGAACGACACGAACATTCCATCGAAGGTTAGCGACGTTGTGTGACTCCATGTCCTCGATCGTTCGATCCCGTTGGTCTGGATGCTTCATCCAGAAAAGAGCCGTGGTTCGCGGCCATGCCGGATGCTCTCGTGCGGACGCTCTCGTGCGCACCATAGAACGCAGGTTCGGGTGGCACTTGCTCATCACGTGCCACAAGCCACAGGATTCAAAGCATGGTGGACTTTGATGCGTGAAACAGGTTCGTAGATGACAGCCGTTGTCACGAAGTCAAAGCTCTTTATCGGCGCACTTAAAGTGTATGCAGTAGACCAGATCCAAAAATAAACACAAGATAGTTTCGTCCTCGGAGCGACCTTCGGTGTAAAAGAATACAGACTGAGAGACTCACAGAACTAGCCTCTGACAGAACGTGGAGGGTAGAGGGGTCACCAGTGCTTTAACGATCGAAAGACTTTGTCGAAGTGCCGCGTGTACATGAATTTCTGTGGTTTTATTCTCCCCGTTATCTCTGACGCGTGTCGGATCAATACCAGGTATGATATATGGGTGAGTAATTTGTACATGAATACGGGAAGCTCGCCTAGGTTACCCCCGAAGGAGTAATCACTTTCGCGCCCCGCCGAACCGCCGTTCGTTTTCTGCGCGCCGGTGCGAGTGGCGTCAAAAGGCGCGGCGTCGCGTGGACATCGCGCGCAGCACTCGCGAACGCCCTCGAGGCGCGCGCGGTATTCGCGAGCATGTCGTCGAGATAATCTGCGAAAATCTAGACGCGCTCGACCGAGACGCCCGTCCGCCCGCATGCGCATCCTTCTCACCGGTGGCGCCGGCTTCATCGGCTCGCACGTCGCCGAGCGCCTCGCGTCGAGGCATCCCGAGTACACGGTGCGCGCACGATTTCGACCCCGTGCGCGTGCGTCGAACAACGCACGGACTTTGCACCCATCTCTCGCGCGAACGACTGACCGCGAACGACTCGTCGCGCTCGACAGATTGTCATCCTGGACAAGCTCGACTATTGCTCGAGCTTGAAAAATCTCGAGCGCGCGAAAGAATGCGCGAACGTGCGGTTCGTCAAGGGCGATGTGCGTTCGTTCGATTTATTGAGTTACGTCTTGCAAAGCGAGCGCATCGACACCGTCATGCACTTCGCCGCGCAGAGTCACGTGGACAACTCTTTCGGGAACTCGTACGAGTTCACGAAGAATAACATCGAGGGCACGCACGCGTTACTCGAGGCGTGCGTGCGAGCGCAGAAGACCGAAATTCGACGATTCCTGCACGTGTCCACGGATGAGGTATACGGGGAAAATCTCATGGATTCAAACACCGAGCACGCGTCGCTCCTGACGCCCACCAACCCGTACGCCGCGACCAAGGCGGGCGCGGAGATGCTCGTCATGGCGTATGGACGCTCGTACGGACTACCGTACATCATCACTCGCGGAAACAACGTGTATGGGCCGAATCAGTATCCAGAGAAGGCGATTCCAAAGTTTTCAATCCTCGCGAAACGCGGGGAAAAGATTTCGATACACGGCGACGGCGACGCGACGCGTTCGTACATGCACGTTGACGATGCGTCTTCGGCGTTCGATGTCATTCTCCACCGCGGGACGACGGCGCAGATTTATAACATCGGCTCGCGCGAAGAGCGGACGATCTTGTCCGTCGCTCGGGATGTCTGTAAGCTCCTCGATCGCGACCCGGAAACGACCATCGAGCACGTGAGCGATCGAGCCTTCAACGACCGAAGATATTTCATCGATTGCTCAAAGCTTTTAGCGCTCGGATGGCGACAAGAAAAGTCCTGGGACGTCGGTCTCGCGGAAACCGTGCGTTGGTACTCGAATAACGACTTGAGCGCCTACTGGGGCGAATTCTCACCTGCGTTGCGCCCGCACCCTTCGGCGAGCGCGGACGGTCGACGACGATCGCTCGAGTTTGATTTCACAAACGAGCTTGATGATTGCACGACACTGGCTTTGTAAGTGTGAGTGATTGGAACTCCAGATTGTGGTTCAAATTGGTCCAATCCCGAGTCGACGAAAGTCTTTTTCCAAGTTTTTTTCCAAGAATTATTTGCGTACATCATCAGCTTGCACTCGCCTCCCGGTTTGAGAGTCATGAAATATCCTTCACGGCGGGTTGTACATCGGCGATGTGATGCAGAACTCCGAAACTAAAAAGAGGATCAAAATGGTCGTGCATGAATTCATCGGTCTGTATATCTGCAACGCGCACCTCACCATTGAGTTTGAACAGTTTGAGTCGCTTCTCAGCGAGTTCTACACTTCGCAAGGAAACGTCGATGCCTGTGTAAACCGCGCCAGCTTCAGTAAAACTTTGTGTCGCGGTCCCTATACCGCAACCAACCTCGAGAACAGATTGTTTTCGTACGCGTCGAGACTTGCGAATGCCAAAGTGTGGTTCTCGACGAAATATTTACGCCGCGTCACTTCTTCAAAGTATTCCTTCGAGCCGAATGTTACAAGGGCGATCATCGTAAAACGTTTTCACGAACTCATTCGACTCGCGCATGGCGTCGCTCACGACCGGTGTACTTAATGTTAGTGCGCGTGTCAAGAGCGTTGTTGCGGTAGTTTCGACGCAGAGGAAAGCAGTGGTGAGTCAACACCGAGGCTGTGGTCCGCGGTTGCGTTCCTACGACATATACCTAACAAAGTACCAGGGATAATAAAGTCCAGAAAGAGACATGCTTTAAGAGAGTGGAGTGATCTTGGGCCAGTCGCCGTCTCTGACGTTGCAACGTCGCAGAGCGAAGATGGCTACCACTCGATCGATCTTGCAAACAACGCGCGCCAGATTCGTCGGTCTGGGCCGACTCGGACTATGTACGGCTCTCAAGTGTGAACAAGCTGATTGGGATATCGTTGGTTCGGATGTCTTTCCGGCGCACGTGGACAGCATCAACGAAATCACGCTTCGTTTGACTGAGCCAAGAGTCGAGGAAGCGCTTCGATCGAGCAAACATCTGCGCGCAACTTTAAAGCTGCGTGAAGTGATCGATCGCGTCGATATGGTCTTCATCCTCGTCGCCACGCCCACTGACTCTGGAGATCAAGCGTACGACACAAGCGCGCTCAGTCGGTTTTTTGAGTGATATTAGCGACTTGAACCCCGAGAACAAACACTTGATGATTTGAGGCACGGTGTTACCTGGCTAGATCTCGATAGGTGTAAGGTATCCTACGTCGCATATGAATCGAATTGTCCTGTGGATATCATCGAAGAGTCCCAGCTGCTCGAAATCGCGAAACGACTCGTGCGACGGGGGAAGAAAGTGACAGTTTTCGACCGGGTGGCGATTGTTCACTTAGTGCGAGGAACGTACGGGCAGTTGTTCGATTACGAAATATGCGATACTACGGCAGGGGGAGTAGCGCCCATCCCGAACACCACCATGGAAAACCCGCTATCGAGTTACACTAAATGAAAACTCAAATCTATTTTCACTTCGCGTACATACGCTAGGCGTGAGACTCTACATGGCGAGGTACGCCAAGTAAGATATTGAATACGATGTCCAAAGTATCGCCCCCACAGCTTCTTTGTATCGACCAGCATTTTCAATCCAGTTCAAGCGCGCTGCTTTGTTTGACATGACGAATTGCGGCTTGAACGACACGAGCATTCCATCGAAGGTTAGCAACGTTGTGTGACTCCATGTCCTCGATCGTTCGATCCCGTTGGTCTGGATGCTTCATCCAGTTGCTCATGAGTTCCACAGCATGCTCGGCACTGTCGAAATACGTCACATGCGGGGTGGTGTAAAGGTCACCTAATGATACCCATTGTTTCAGCGCTTCAGGATCGCATGAATTTGGATCATGACATACCCCAGTATCGTCAAGACAGCAGAACTCCACTGCCTCAGCGTTTTCGTAAAAAGATGGTGAAGCACAAGGGACATTACCAGCTACTTTGTGAGGATAGCCACGGTTTTTTGAAAACTCATCGAGCATGAAAGTCAACGATGGCACGAAAAGGGGGACACCACTCGCGTAAAGTTCATGAAATGCGGAACTCGGCATACTGTATGGGAAATATACTACGGCTTGCTCTGTTGCAAATTCCGAAGCGTGAGCAAAACTCGTTGGGCGACTTTTCATGGGAACTTGTGACTCCATAGTGCGCCCGAGGACTCGTATTCTATCAAATGTAATCGATATGCTTGAACTACCTTCGTTGTTCGACCCCCCCCACAAGATGAAGCATGACTCGTTCGTAAGTGTACGCGATGCGCCCAAACTCTCCAAATACTGTGTTGGCCATGTTATGAATAGACGTTCAGGTTCACGACATGTGTAGAACTTCATGTATGCCCGATCGTACTCGCTCCCAGCAAGAAGTATTGGCGCCTCGCGTAGAACGCGCATGAGGCTTTTACGTACAAATGACGTGTGATTTATCTTCGAATGAGCCACCTGGTGATCAAAACGATGCGTTGTGCGTACTATCAATTTATGTGGGGCAATCTTGTTTAATAGAAGACAAAGGGCGGTAGGAAAGTCCGCCCAGAGCACATGGAACGTAGATAGCATCTCGCTAGCCTCAGCTGCGAAATCATCCAACCATTTCTCGTCTGCTGGATCGATAGCCATGGGAAAACCTCTTACACGCTGTGTCAATCGATTCAAAGCCTCAGATAATGCATGATCTCTTACGCAAGGAGCAGAATCGAGGACTTTCTCGTACCAAATAATGCCTCCACACACGATATTTTCGCGACGAACTCCAGCGTTATGAAGTTGCATCGCTGTGTCTTTCGCGGTACCACCATGCCAACTTAAAACCAAGACGCGGGTGCTCTGTGTATCCAAATTAGCTGACGCTTGTAATCTTGCAGGTGATTCTTCATATCGTTCCATCTTGAAATGTTCATCGTTCCTCTCTTCGACATTTGCGGTTTTGTAGGTTTCGTTATGTGTGAGCTCTAAAAATCTTGCTCGGTGATTTTGTTGTCGTCTTTGCTCCGGTGATGGATGTGGTGTGATACTTTTAAATCTGCTGTCACCAATATCGAACAAGAACAGTCTCCAAAGCAACACGGCCACAACCGCAAACAGAATGACCGTTCGGCGAGCCATAGTACCGGAATCGCAAGCTACTTTCAGTAGCATGTCGAAGCGCAACTCCAAGAGCGTTCGAACGTGAATCGTATTCACATATATTCGTGTTCAAGACTACGTACGTGCCGTACCGCGAGTCGCTTCAACGCGTGCCACAATCGCAAGCGCCACACACTCGAGACAATTCCCGCACATTTTTTGAGGAGCTTTTTAATCGAGTTTGGTGTTGTGTCTATACATGGACAGTCACACTTTTCCCAAAATTAGCCCTAAAATGTGGAGAGCTCGAATTAAACGTTCCGTTTCGATGATGATGACAAAATTAGTCGAAGGAAAAAACGCCCGAACAAATCATACACATACAAATCATATACATCGTACACATACAAAAAAGAGCCGTGGTTCGCGGCTATGCCGGATGCTCTCGTGCGCACCATAGAACGCAGGTTTGGGTGGCACTTGCTACTTGCTCATCACGCGCCACAAACCGCAGGGTTCAAAGCATGGTGGACTTTGATGCGTGAAACAGGTTCGTAGATTCCAGCCGTTGTCACGACCTCAAAGCTCTTTATCGACGCACTTAAAGTGTATGCAGTATGATATTAGGGTGAGTAATTTATACATGAAATTTATCTCAACTTCGTGCGAGATCCGAGGAAACGACGAGCACGGTGGCTAAGATGTGAAAGATCTGTGATTATATCATGGATAGATATTAAATCAAAAGATCTGGCCACCAGCGCATCAGACACGCGGTGAGTTGGTGACAGCGTTGAAACGTGAACATGGTTGAGCTTACCTCGCGTAGCTTGATAACGGGTTGCCAGCAGAAGTATTTGGTTCTTCGTTAGGTACTTTGTATGCTCCGTAGGTAAACATACGCCCGTAAGCGCGGCGTACGAGCTCGATGATGGCGGGTCGATCGTGATGTTCCGGACGTCGTACCTCTCGAAACGACGATGGGCACGAGAACGGACATCGTTTCGAGAGTGTGCGATGCGACGTCGTTACCGAAAAATGTTTACACGAGAAACGGCGGAAAAGCGACGAAAAATAGTAAGTGGGCGTCGCTTTCGCGAGCTAAACTCGATGTGGTGGAGGACTTGATGCTTCACGGAGTCGGACCCGTGGTCTGGATCGACCTCGACACGCTCGTTTTCGTGGACTTGGCGCGCGCGTTTCAGCGCGGCGCGTCGACGTGGTTAGTAGGTTATCAGAGAGGAATGCAGTGTACCGGCTTGAAGAGTTGCGTTGGGTCACACTTTCGTTCCGTGCGTCCGGAGTTTGACGTGCTCGGCGACTTGTGGTCGCTCGATTTAGCCGCAATAGAGAAAGTGAGAGATTACGAACGCCGATGGGTGTCGTCGCGATGGGTAAGAAAGCCGCCAAAGTACGATCTCCAGGCGTATTTCAGTCTCATGCTCGAAAATGGTGTACTGGCCGAGAACGTTTTGCTTCACAACATTCTACCGGACCTCAATTTTGGTTTCACGTGCTCAAACTTTGAGCACCCAACGTCGACTAATATGGAAATTTCTGTCGATAGCGACGACGCACAGCGTCTGAGGTGCCCTATTCCAAAAGGCGTGAAAATGTCACCGCGAGTAGGAACTCTTTCGTTCACCGCGTGGTCGTTTCAAAAGATGTTTTTGGATGAAGAAAAGCCGACGTTTGATTCGCTTTCTGACGATCAAGATGTTCGCGCTTGGTTCGCGCGATGGTTTTACTCGCCGCTCTGAAAGAATTCGGCAGTAGTTGTCGCTAGATCGTAATATTTAATACTATACCATACCTAAGGCGAGCTCATTCAGACGATGGGAAACGCCCTTGACGACGCGCTCGTACGTAAATTCTTGCATCAACGCGCGAGCATTTGCTGTGATATCACGCAACTTCGTTAGCGATTCGCCATCGGTGTTCGTGATAATCTTCGTTTTTTCCACTAAATCGTGCAAATCTCCAGATATTCCGATGTAATGTATCCCATCTACCAGCTTGTCGCTGTAATAGTGCTTGAAGTTTGACTTGACGAGGAACAGGACGCTCCCGCTTTCCATGCGCCAACGGTTTCCCCACGCGTCGACGTTTCCGTCGATTTCGAGGATACCTTTGTGCGTGATCCAATGCTGTTCCGATACGCGCGGGCTAATACGTACATTCTTTTGTCCTCTACACGATTGTACCCTTCGCGTGATCTCGAGGTCGAGCCAAGGAACATTTATGGATGATTGCACCGCTCGCACGCGCGGAAGTTTAACGCACGCGGTAACCCTTTCGTTCCCGTCGACGCGAGTGGACTCTTCTACTTCGCATTTTGTTGACATACCGGACGTCGAGCCTCTCCAGAACACGTCGGATTTGCGTTCATCGAACGGAATCTCGCGTTCACGCAGGTTCCGAAGGAACAGTTTGAACCCGTCGCGCTTGATGAAGTGGAAGTTTGGCGCGAGCACGACTGATTCGTCGGTGAAACAATTCGCATTGATAGAGTGCGCCAGGATGAAAACATTCAAGGATTTCAGCTCCCGTTGCAGCTTCCTCGGTAGAGACGCGTCGTCGTCAATCACCCATAGGAGTCGTATAGCTACGCCGCTTCGTTCTCCGCGATTCTTCCGCTGTTCCGAGGCGACGTCTCGGAGAAACCGCAGGGCACTTTTAAAGTAGCTACGATTCAGCGGTTGACGCCTACGTGCGACGAAGGTGTACGAAGACGGGGAAGATGCTTCCGGATGAAAGGTGAAACACGCGACGTCTTTGCCCAAGCCACGTAAACTGGATTTCAGCATTCGTTCCCTCACGTCGCCGCAGCAGTTCCGACAGTGCGTCCAAGCGTCTTCTCGTATCCAAAGTGCACTGAAACTACCCAGCAAGTCCGCGATCGTGCGCGTGACGATCATGTATGATGACGAGAAACAAAAGCAGAGCAATAGAAGCAAACCAACTCGTCGCGCTCGTGTCTTCGCCATCGGCCCGCGTGTACGAAAGGAACAAACGTCCAAGTGTGAGCAGTACGTTTTTATCTCCTCAATTCAGAAGATTTACTGCGGTGCATGAAGCCTCGATAGCCTCTTCATGGCGACGCACTCTGCCGGGAACGACGCACGAGCATAATCCGCCACTCGAAGCCTCAGACGCTCCACGATTGGCTTCGGGCGAAGCACTGATGCAGGCCTGCGAACGACTTGCACGTGTGTTGCGTTCGCATCGCGGCCTTGTAGTGGCACTCGCCGCGCCGTTCGCGCTCGTGCTGTACTTTAGCCATAGCTCTTTGGCTTTCAACAGTCGCAGCTCGAGTGACTCTGTGCCCTTGGCGGTGGTGAAGCTCAGCGGACGACCTCACGCAAAGCTCGCTCGCGCAGCGATAAACCCTGGCGAGTTTTCGATAGGAGTCGTTTTATGCAGCACGACGCGAGGCGTCGAAAACGTAGAGTGGGATCACCTGGCGCTCACTTCCATAATGTTGCCCTCGCTGAAGAGCACCATGGAAGACGAATACACATACTTTTTGTACATCGGCGTGGACACGGATGATGAAGTTTACTCAACGCGAGAAGCGAAGAGTACGCTTTCTCGTCTCGCGGGTGACAACGTATCCGTCATCATAGACGCGTTCCCAAGAGTTGGCCAGCGCATCCCTATGAACCAAATATTGCGCCGCGCGTACGAGGACGGGATGGATTACATCGTCCGCGTCAACGACGATACTGAATTCGCCAGTATGATGTGGACTACGCTTTCAATTTCAGAGCTCATGCGAGGAACGCCTGCAAACATCGGTGTCGTAGGCCCCATCGTCAGCGGACCTCCGAATGTCAACGGGAATATTCTGACACACGACATGGTTCATCGAACACACATGGACATCTTCAACGGCGAGTACTACCCAGAGTGTTTTGAGAATGCATGGATAGATGATTGGATCACGCTTGTGTACGGACACAGATCGCGAGCTATATGGGAATGGCGAGTCCATCACCACACCGATCACCACGGCACTCGATATCGTACGCAGAAGCGGCAGAAACGATGGCTCGTCGGAAAAGTCAAGGATGGTCGACGTACTATAGACCTCTGGATACAAGCGCGGAACTAGCTAGATTAGTGGATTGTTTCACGAGCCTAACTCGTTGCATGTTTCGATGTTCGCTCGCGCCACGCGCTCCTTTAAGCGTGTTCATGACTCACGCGCGCGTCTACACCGTGCACACGTGAATGCTCGCCGCGAGTCGGCGTGTGACGCGCGCCACGACGTCACAGGCCGGCGCGAGAAAGTGCGAGGTTTGAAACCAATAACTATCGAGGGAGTGGATGCCACTGTCGAAACTCAGGCGGCGCGCGTTCGTCAGCTCGTGTAGCCGTTCTCGTCGCCGACTTTGTAAAGCGAAGTGCCGTCGTGAGTCGGTCAAAAGGCGACGGCGCGAGTCGCTGTGACGTCGAACGTCGCGTGAATCCGGTCCATCGTCGCAAACGATCGCGCGTCCATCTCTCCAGACTGATTTGGTCTGCGACGTCGAACAGTAAACGTTCGACGAGCGCGTGCGAAGCGAAGTGTCGGCGCGTGGTGGGCGAAAACAACGAAGGATGTCCGCGCGGCGACGAGCGCGCTTCCCGGTGACGTCGTGGACTTCTGGAGACGCCGCGCGGTGGAGTTTTTATGCATGCGCCTTTTGCGCGCTCCTCGTGTTGCGCTCGAGCGCTCGTCGAGGCGTCGAAACCGCGTCGAGCAAATATACGCATACGCGAGACTTTGAGCACAAAAGTCGAACACCAGAGACGGTGGTGTGGTCGACGGATTTGCACGCCGGTCCAATCGGATGTCAAGTATCGATGTTTGCGACGCTAAACATCGACGTCGAAGCGGAAGTGGATGTTCCGAATTGCAAATATTTCCAAAACGGCAGAGGCGAAAACCTTTGCGCCTCGGGTCGGGGTCTTCGAAACGATCAAAATCGTGGATTTTCTCTCGACCCTCACCCGAACAACACGCGACGAAGACTTTATACGCACTTTAGTGCAAACGGGGATTTTTCGCGTGCAGATGTTGTGTTTTGTTCGCACCCGGCGGCGAACTGCGAAATATATTTACCGTTTGATAAATCGATTCTGATTTACAACACGCAGAGACTAGAATTCGGTCGAGACGACGAATTCATTTGGTGGCGAGAACCAATCATTGGAGCAGATAGACGCGAGCGCTGGGAGCATTGGGTACACAATTTGAAAGCCATCTCACGGTCGAAGGCCAACGTCGTGGCGGCGAATAACATGTACGACGTCACGCACATGGAGTACTTCACAGGCATCGAGACAAAATACATTCCTTCGTGGTGCGGTGGTCTCCCGCGAGAGATCGTGGAGAAAAGTTCATATCGACCTCAGCACAGGGAGATTGTTCTCACGCCGTACCGAGTTAATCTGGAGTATGCGAAAGAGACGATTCCCGAGAGAGGCTGGCCAGACCAACGTCGTAAGATGTATAAAAATCCATTGACGCACCCGATATTCGATGATCTTATGCAGCTTAAATCGAGATTTGAGCTCATCAGCATGAAACAAGCATTTCCAAAACATGGAAAATTCAAAAGTATCCATGACTTTCAAAACTTTCGCGCCGTCGTGCTGATTCCGTATGTACCCTCGACGATGTTCTTCTTTCAGCTTTATCGCGCGTGCGTACCGATTTTGGTGCCTTCGCGCAAATTGCTGGCGCGTTGGGTCGCCGAGCACGGCATACTTTGGGAAACTTCATACGGAGATCCTGTGCGCGTCAATGAGACGATGCACTCGCACTTGTCAAATCCAAGTAATTTTGACGCCGTGAGCAGGGAGCGTTGGATGGAGTTCTACGACGTGTATCAAACTGAAGTGTTTCCACATATTTTGTACTTTGACAACTGGGAACGCGCTGCACAGATAGTTGAAAGCACAAATTTAGAAACTGTTTCCGAAAACATGCGACTTCACAACGTGAACGAGTTTCATCGCATCAGAAATTTATGGCGTGGCACGTTCGAGCAGATGGCTACGAACAGGAAAGCTCGCGGTGGATCGGTGTCAGCGACTAGAGAATCGCAGCCACGTGTGCTTTCTGTAGACATAAACACTGCGTTGATGCGCCAGTACGAGCTCGAACCGCTTTCATTCGCGACTGAGAGCGAGGTATTGGGCTTTTTCAGTCGAATTACTCGGGGTGGTATTTTCGGTCGTCGATGAAGCACGCCGTAGAGGAACCGCTCGTTTTAATCAGCGCTCTGAGACTGTGTAAAAGTCGATGTTGATTTACATTAATGTACTAGCGCATAAATAGGTCGTATTTTTAGCTTTGTCGATATTCAAAATATTGTGACACAAGTTCCTGGGTCGCGAGCGAATAGACAGACTGTTCGCATTCACTACCGACTGCGAGGATGTCGCGGACGCTGATTCCGTTGTTTTCTTCAAACAAATCGAACACGTCTTTCGGTTGGGTGTGCGTTTCGAACTCCCCACGATGCGTGTGCACGTCGAGCAGGCGCGCGCGCTCACGCACGAAAGCCAACGATGACCACGCGTCGCGCGCGCGCGGCGCAGAGTGCGCGTCGACGAGCCGAGCAAATGTCTCGCGCCGCGCCGCGCACGTTTTGTGTGCGTCCATCTCATCACGTGATGCCCTATAAATTCGTAAAATACGATACTTGCGACGTACAAGACGAACGGTGTTTTTATAAATTGTGGCGACGTTTTCGCCCAGGGATATTTCGCGCCCGTCGCGTCGCCGCGGTCATGGCGGTCGCGCGCTCGTTACGTACCGACGCCGTCGCGCGCGATGTCACAGGCGAACGGAAAGCGCGGGCTCCGCGGTACCGGTCTTCGCCTCGCCCTTGAGTAACCGGTTCCGTTGCCGCCGCTTCGGCGCCCCTTTCACCGCCGCGCCGTTCGGCCCGGTCACGTTCACGGCCACGGGCCTCCCGTCGGCGTTGCTGACTTCGTACTCAACCTCCTCGTCCTCCCACGCCGACCGGAACCCCGCGCGCGAGATCCCCGTTTGGTGCACGAATATCTCTTCGCTTCCGTCGTGCGGTGTGATGAACCCGAATCCTTTCGTGACGTTGAACCATTTCACCTTCCCGCGCGCGCGCGCGCCCATCGCGCGCGGCGACGTCGCGTCGCCCCACGCGCGCGCGGCGCGGAGTGCGCGTCGACGAGCCGAGCAAATGTCTCGCGCCGCGCCGCGCACGTTTTGTGTGCGTCCATCTCATCACGTGATTGTCTAGAAATTCGTAAAGTACGACACTTGCGACGTACAAGACGAACGGTGTTTTTATAAATTGTGGCGACGTTTTTCGCCCACCTGGGCCGCGGTGGGATATTTCGCGCCCGTCGCGCGCCGCGGTCGCGCGCTCGTTACGTACCGACGCGGTCGCAGACGAACGGGAATGTCGCAGACGAACGGGAAACGCGATGGCGACGGCACAGGCGACGCCGCGCGCGGGGACTGGAAGGCCGTCGTCGCCGATGAGTACGCGCGCCGCAGCGGCGTGTACGCCGCGCCCGACGAAACCTCGTTCCCGCTCATCGCGTCGAGCATTTTTTCGGAAGAAATCATCGCCGCCGTGGACTCCATGCTCAGCGGACAGCTCACTATGGCAAATAACGTTCGCGAATTCGAGCAGGCGTTCGCAAAGTACGTCGGGGCGCCGTTCGCGGTGATGTGCAACTCTGGCAGCTCGGCGAATCTTCTCGCGCTGGCGGCGTTGACGAATCACCTGCGTTCGAAAAAGCTCTGCGCCGGGGACGAAGTGTTGATCCCGGCGGTGTGCTGGTCCACGAGTTTGTGGCCGATCGTACAAATGGGCCTGATTCCAGTGTTCGTGGACGTGGACGTGGCGACGATGAACGTGGACTTGGACGACTTGGAAGCGAGAATCACGGATAAGACGCGAGGCGTGCTCGCGGTGCACGTCCTCGGCAACATGTGCGATATGGACAGGCTGATGGATATTTGTGCCCGTCGCGACTTGCTCCTCGTCGAAGACACGTGCGAATCGCTGGGAAGCACGTACGGCGGGAAGTGCGTGGGGACGTTTGGGAGTTTTGGCTCGTACAGTTTTTACTTTTCCCACCACATCACCACGGGCGAAGGTGGAATGGTCGTGTGTCAGACTCAAGAAGACGCCGATCTCGTCCGATGCTTGCGCGCGCACGGCTGGACGCGCGAGCTTTCTAACAAAGATGAGTTACACGAACAAAACGCGCACATAGATTCGCGTTTCATGTTCGTCAACGTCGGGTACAACTTGCGCCCCATGGAAATCTCTGGGGCTGTCGGGAAGTGCCAGCTTCTTCGTCTGGACTCGATGAACGCCAACAGAAAAGAAAACCGCGAGCGCTTGCTTCGAGCTCTGCAGTCGCACGATAAATGGAACGATCAATTCCGCTTCCCGGTCGCCCCGAATGCGTCCGCCGACCCGGCGTGGTTCGGCTTCGTGGCCGTGCTTCGACGCGATCTGCAGAAGCGCCTGCCGACGTATTTGGAATTTCTCACCAGACACAAGATTGAAAATCGTCCAATCATCAGCGGTAACTTTGTGCACCAGCCGGCGATCAAAACTTTGGGATTGAGCGTTGACCCGAACGGATATCCTGGCTCGGACGAGCTGGGCACGTGCGGGTTTTTCATCGGCGTGCACACGTATCGCCTGTCGGATGCGCAGATCTCGTACCTCGCCGACACCATGCTCGCCTTCGACTTTGACTGCGCCGTGAACAGAAAAGTCGTGCTCGTGACTGGTGGCAGCGGTCTCGTCGGTCGAGCGCTCAAAGAACACGTCAAAACATCGGCGAACACAAACGATTCATGGATTTTTACATCTTCCAAAGATGCTGATTTGTGCTCTTACGACGAGACGAAGAGGCTCTTCGAGCGATATCGCCCGACGCACGTCATTCACCTCGCGGTGAAGCTCATGGCGGGCGGCGACATGTCGAAAATGGCGGCGAGTCTCATTCAGGATAACAACGCGATTAACGCTAATGTTCTTCGTTGCGCGCACGAAATCGACTGCGACAAGGTTGTCTCTGTCTTATCTTCTTTCGCTTACCCGAAAGACGTGAGTTTGCCGATCACAGAAAAGCGACTGCACGACGGTCCTTGCCATCCGTTGTATGAGTCTTACGGTTCGTCAAAGCGTAACCTCGAAATTCTATCGCGCGCCTACCGCGCGCAACATGGTAGGAAGTTCGTCACCGTCATTCCGAGCAATATATTTGGAACCATATCGCAACTGCGCGAGGGTGGTCCGGTCATCGACGCGCTCATGAGCAAGGCTGCGCAATCCGCGGCTACAGGTTCTGAATTCACATGCAGAGGCACCGGTGCGCCGTGCCGTCAGTTCTGCTACGCACCCGATCTAGCGCGCGTGCTCATTTGGTCTTTGGAACATTACGACGAAGAAGAGCCAATAAATGTCGCTGGGGAAGAGATCAGCATACGCGCCGTGGCGGAGCTCATCGCCAACATGTTCGGCGTCGAGAAACGCTTGTCGTTTGACGCGTCGTTTCCAGATGGGCCCATGTACCGCACGCTAAGCGATGATAAGCTCCGACGTCTGTATGAAGGTTACGAGCAAACCGATTTCGAAACGGCACTTCGAAGCGTCGTCGCACGCGTCATCAACGCGTAATACATCGGCTGTTTGACGATATACATCTTGTAAAAGTCGCATTTGTATGTCGCATACAGCTATGATGAGATAGTTCAGTAAGCGTAGCTCAACGCTTTGTAAGTTGATCTACAAACTCTATAAACTCTACTTTTTCGTGCCGGCAAAGCTGTAGTGCGCCGCGCAAATCATCACGATAGCAGCGCCGGCGACAGTCGACTCGGACAAGGTGGAGTAATCCATAAAGTATGCGGTAAAAAATATCAGCGCAAACTTGTTGGTGTTGTTGAGTATCGTAATACTCGTCGGGGTGATCAAGCGATTGAGCTGAAACGCGGAAACGCTCAAGCAAAATCCTAGCGTGCACGAAACGAAGAGTGCGACGCACTGCGATTTTGTCGCGCCGCTCGCCATAAACTTTTGTAGCGTCTCGTTTTCTCTTTGAGCGAACCCGACGATGGCGCACACGGGTAAGGATAGTAAGTTATTATAGTACGCCATGGTCCAGCTGTTCATATCGAGCTCGTTCACGAGCGATTTGACCTTGATTTGATACGCCGTCGTCGCCGCTACGTTCACCGCAAGCCAGGCGTACCCCGTAAAGTCAAAATTCGAAGCCGCGTCCAGATCGCCCGACGCGTACACCAACGACCCTGCGCACATTCCTAATATCGCCAAAATCCTCGGTTTCGTCTGCACCGTGCCCAGACAAAAATAATCCGCTATGGCGATCGTCACCGTACCTAAATTTCTTTGCACTATGAGCGTCGTCGCCGTCACGAACTTGAGCGCCAGCATGGACGACGCGAGCATGGCGTAAAACAAAAGCACGAGCGCGAACCAACGTTTGGCTTTATGTCGCCGCACCGGCTCGATCTGCAGACTCAGCACCGATTTCCCGAACGCGAGCAACACCAGCGTCACCGCGTTTTGCGCGAACAGCACCGCGTTCGGGGCGGGGAAGAACCCCATGATTTGTTTATTCAGCACGGTGAGCGCGCTGCCGGATAGACAAAACGCCGCGGCGACCAAGGTGATCGTGACGACCGCCATCGCGACGGCTGCGTGTCGTCCGCCGTCGCGCGCGATCGCGTCGTCCGGTTTCGCGTCGACTCGAGGCCCGCCGTCTCGCGAGCCGCGCCGACGACTGACTCGCGCGCGTTTTGAATTCGTCCGTCGATTTCCGGAATTCCAAAATTCCACGTCAAAATTTTGCGCCGCGCCGCGTCCGGCTGGCGCCGCACCACTCCGCACGGGCGATCGCGCCCGGAAAGCGATCGGATCGTCGGGAAACTGATCAATAAACGACGTGCAATATTTTGATAGCATTAATATATTATTAAATATGATAATTCAGATCCGTCTGGTCATCGCAAACCCTGGATCCTTCGGACTGTGCTGATTCGACCCCCTGGAAATTTCAGACAGTTTCCCAAACGAGGCCCGTTTTTTCAAACGCCACCAGTGAGTTTTTTGAGCCCATTTGACCGACCGTGACTCAAGAACGACCCCCTCATTGTGTACATTCACTACTCTACGCGCGCGACGCGCCCGCGAACGCGCGAGAAAAGCGCACGGCGCGGTCGTACACGAACTTTTTTCTCTTCGCAGCGACTTTTACGCGTCGAGACGTCCCAGCGACGGCTGGGGATCGCCATTTGATGCGATTTTGGACGATTTTGGCATTCGAGTCCCACGTGCTAAGTTGAGTCATGACTCGTCAAATTTAGTAAAATTCAACACGCTTTTGCGGCGCCGTGAACGCGCACTTCGAAATAAAAACAAATTCACATCGCGTGAATCATTTGAGGTAAGCTTGAACGTTCAGAATACTCCGTGAAACTGCCTTGAACACCTTCGATTAAGATGTCAAACGTGTCGAATTTGGTACTTTTTTGTGAATTTGGGATATTTCACGCCGCGTTATCTCTCAATCGCGCGCTTTCCCCGCACGTCGGTTGACCTACACGCTCGTGAAATGTCTGAATGACCCCCTGTTTCAGGGGATCTGGAAACTGTCTGAAATTTCCAGGGGGTCGAATCCGCAAAGTCCCGGAAATTTCGAAAATTTGGATTCCTGCGCAGCGGGTGTCCCGCGATGATGATCGAAATCGTCTCGCATCATCGTATTCAGAGATGTATGAAATCTATGAAAATACGAAATGTGATTTAAATCAGTTTTTCCCGACGCCGCACCGACGTTCGTTTCTGCGCGCGCCGGTGCGCGCGGCGCCAATAGGCGAGGCGTCGCGTCGAGATCTCGTGAGCGTCGTCATCGAGCGCCCTCGAGGCGCGCGCGGTATTCGCGAGCATGTCGTCGAGATAATCTCCGAAAATCTAGACGCGCTCGACCGAGACGCCCGTCCGCCCGCATGCGCATCCTTCTCACCGGTGGCGCCGGCTTCATCGGCTCGCACGTCGCCGAGCGCCTCGCGTCGAGGCATCCCGAGTACACGGTGCGCGCACGATTTCGACCACGTGTGCGTGCGTCGAACAACGCACGGACTTTGCACCCATCTCTCGCGCGAACGACTGACCGCGAACGACTCGTCGCGCTCGGACAGATTGTCGTCCTGGACAAGCTCGACTATTGCTCGAGCTTGAAAAATCTCGAACGCGCGAAAGAATGCGCGAACGTGCGGTTCGTCAAGGGCGATGTGCGTTCGTTCGATTTATTGAGTTACGTCTTGCAAAGCGAGCGCATCGACACCGTCGTGCACTTCGCCGCGCAGAGTCACGTGGACAACTCTTTCGGGAACTCGTACGAGTTCACGAAGAATAACATCGAGGGCACGCACGCGTTACTCGAGGCGTGCGTGCGAGCGCAGACGACCGAAATTCGACGATTCCTGCACGTGTCCACGGATGAGGTATACGGGGAAAATCTCATGGATTCAAACACCGAGCACGCGGCGCTCCTGACGCCCACCAACCCGTACGCCGCGACCAAGGCGGGCGCGGAGATGCTCGTCATGGCGTACGGACGCTCGTACGGATTGCCGTACATCATCACTCGCGGAAACAACGTGTACGGGCCGAATCAGTATCCAGAGAAGGCGATTCCAAAGTTTTCAATCCTCGCGAAACGCGGGGAAAAGATTTCTATACACGGCGACGGCGACGTGACGCGTTCGTACATGCACGTCGACGATGCGGGTTCGGCGTTCGACGTCATTCTCCACCGCGGAACGCCGGCGCAGATTTATAACATCGGCTCGCGCGAAGAACGGACGATCTTGTCCGTCGCTCGGGATGTCTGTAAGCTCCTCGATCGCGACCCGGAAACGACCATCGAGCACGTGAGCGATCGAGCCTTCAACGACCGAAGATATTTCATCGATTGCTCAAAGCTTTTAGCGCTCGGATGGCGACAAGAAAAGTCCTGGGACGTCGGTCTCGCGGAAACCGTGCGTTGGTACTCGAATAACGATTTGAGCGCGTACTGGGGCGAATTCTCACCCGCGTTGCGCCCGCACCCTTCGGCGAGCGCGGATGGGCGACGACGATCGCTCGAGTTTGATTTCACGAATGATTCTGACGATCGCGCGACACCGACTTTGTAATACGCGCATCTATCTTCCTCGGGCGCGAGTATCACTTTGCGCGTCCATGTAATTATTTGCGGCGCGCTGTTGGAGGCGGGTTGAAAAACACCCCGCGTGGCGTCACGCGTCACTCACCGCCTCGCTTCGCTCGATTATGACACGCGTCTCAATCGCTTGAGAGGAGGCAGAGAAAGCATGCTTTCCTAGCAACAGCCTTTATTTTTCGACCGAGGCGCGGACGAGTCGCGGGGACGCCGCGACGGCGTTCGGTTTTCGCGAAGGGAAACGACGCACTGAGGGGTGACGCGCACGACCGTTGGGGCGGAGGGGCGTTTTTCTAAGCGGCGATGGATCATGGATGCCAACCACCACGGACGTTTCAAGCGAGGCACTCGTGTCGACTGTGGTTCGTTTTCACCGTCTCAGTGGCGTGCGTCGTCGTCGGATCGCGCGGGGCGTCGTACGGAACGTACGAGAACGACGGCGGTGTCACTCGGGAGCGGCGCGCGGATCGTGCGCGACGACCGGCTATAGAGTCTAGATCATCCTTGAGCGAAGTGACTCGTGAAACGTACGAGCGCGCACGAACGGTCTTCGAGGAATTTTTAAATGAGCGGAGCGCGCAGTGCGGGCGCGCGTTCACGGAGACGCGCACGCACTTTGGCGCTCCCGTGGAAACACCTCCATACCCTGGGGGACCTCCTCCTGGTACCGGTGCGGTGCTCACAGAGATGGTGCGAGCTGCGGCGGCGGCGTGGCATAGAAACATGTCGTACGTGATGCGTGGTAAATGGGCGTTGGTTTCGGATAGCGACTGCGCTGAGGCAGAGTTTCAAGGATTTGCCTGCATGTTCCCAGGATTGTCGCGCTCGTGTCGAGCCTTGGAAGGTGAAAACCCGATGTTGAATTTACAAGACGCGCAAGACTTCTGGCGTCACTGGAGCAAAAATCTCAGCGTTGATGCGATTTTTTTATTTGGGCTCGCCGCGGATGCGCTGACAGACGTCCGTCGCGCGAGCGTCAAAGTGAAGAGTTTTCTCGAACACGACCTATCGAGTGCATTAGCGGGATCTGAGAGCGAAGGAATCGCAGTCGGTATACATTTTCGCAACCGTGGAGATATCAGACTCGATGGGAGATTGAGGATACCTCTGGAGCGTTACGTCGAGTGGGTGGATGGGCTTGGGAATTCAACGAAAATTCGTGCCGTTTACGTCGCCACAGATCACGATGGACTGGATGTTCGCGAGCTCAACGAGCGTTTTCCCGGTCGTTCGTACGAATTCCGAATGATCAAGCGTTTGTGGGCACCAGCGACCGCCACAAACCTGTGGCAGACGACGACGACGGCGACGGCGGGTGGTTTGAAGTTTGAAACCGCGAAAACACAAATGGTCGTCGAGGCGTTGAGCGACATCAACATTCTCTCGCACTGCGACGCATTTCTCGGCTCGATATCAAACTTTTTGCCCTTCATCATGTCGCTTTTACACGCGCGGGATCCACTTCGTGAACGCGGTCGTATTTGCGGTTTCATGAACACAAACGTAACCACTTTCGGAGGTCACGCCGCGGCGGAAGAACTCACGAAAGCTACGAGCGAATTCGCCTCGGGGCTGGATGACGCGCACGCCGGAGACGTAGGATCAAAGGAAGCGATCGTTTCGTGTGTTGGGGATAGATCGTTACGCGACTATTGGATGGTGCTTTACGGGCATAACATTCCGAGCGAGACCGTAGACGTGCTGCCCCTGCGATGAACGTAGAAATGATCCATCCAACACAAATACTACTTGTAACTACTCGCAAGCTATTTTGTTCGCTATTTTGTTCGTTGTCGATACGATTTTATCGGCGTCCACCCTCGTCGAGAAGTCTTTTGATTTCCGCGGTGGGGTACTTTGACTTGTAGACAAAGTGCGGTAAAGGTCCCGCCGGATCGAGATTCTGGACGGGATCTGTTTGAGGCACCCATATATCAACCTTTCTGAGCCATTTCGCGGATATCGTGAATTGTTTCTCTTCGTGCCCGCCGCCGGGATACGGCCAGATGATCAAGTGCGAATCTTTCGCGAGGAAAAAGGACGAAAAGCCTACGCCGCCACCCGGGCAGACAAGAGTTGACGCGTTGAGAAATACGTCGATTTGTTCTTCCAAAGTGGTGTCAGGCGTAATGACGTAGTGCTTGACATTTTCGGCGCCGCGAGTCGATCGCAGCATACCGAGCACTTCCTCTTGATTGTCAAAGTCGTAAAAAGAGTACGAATCTTCCCGTCGCTTTGTGACGAACACAGTCGCGTTCTTCGAAGCCTTACGTTCGGGGTCGCGCCCGATGTTGCGAATGATGTGATCTCTGTACCCTTCGACGTCCGAGGCGTTCGCATGTAATATGCGTGCCAAGTGGTCTGGAGATCCAATGACGAGATGTTCGTAACACGTCGTCTCTCCTTGGGCGAGCGCTCGCAACTCTACGCCTAAAGCCCGCGAGAGAACCTCGACGTGTCTTTCGCACGCGGGGACCGCTAGGTGCGCGGTGTGGGGTAAATTCACCGGGTGGGCCGTCGTACAATTCCTCATCACTAGAGCGGTGCGCTTCGTGCTCGCGCTATTCCAATGTGTTGAATACGACGAAGGTGCATCGTCAAGGTTTTGTGACAAGAAACGAAGACGCGTCCAAATCCCAAAAAAGTTGTCTGCAAGCATATGCCCCCAGTTTCCAGCGGCAAAATAGGACGCCAACGTGAAAAATCCTTTGAGTTCAATCGGCCATTCTCGATTCTTGCCGTTCGCGTCGACGTGAGAGAGTGTGGTTGCGTACTGAATGTCATTGGGCATCGCCGCATCCACGCGTACGACGCCGTACGACACACCAGCGGAGTAGTCACCGCTCGTCGACTGAACCGGATCCACCGCGTACACAACTCCTCGCTCGAGCCCCGCTTGCGTGAGCAATTCTTCGTCTCCAAACAATGTCACCTTCGCGACGTATGGCGGGTCCAGAGGAGTCGCGCCGTACGCGGACTGTCTCGGAAACGACACGCAGGCGTGCTTCACGTAACAAGAAAACTGCGCTTTGCCGTTGACCGCAAAAGTTCTCTCGCAGCGTAGCTTTGACGCTCGGCGGTGCGTTCCCATCGCGCCGTCAACGCTAAACGACGCTGTCTTTGAGCTGTGAGAAGAGTTGTCAGTGCTCTCTCTCTCGCGCTCTTCACCGACCGAGGTCGTCGACGTCGACCTCGCCTCGACCCGTGGGTTGACGATATGCGACGACGTGTCATCAAATCGCACGCGCGCCGTTATCGAGGCGAGAAGACGAGTTTCGCCTCGCCACGTGAGGCAGACGCTCGCGAGCGCGAGCGCGAGGACGAGGAGAAATAGTCCCGCGCGTCCAGGACGACCAGTGTGACTTCGCAGCGCTGAATCCATGACACGCGTTCGCGCGCGCGATCGACCGGGTGAATCATGGTGCCATCGCCGTCGCGAGAGGTGTCTCGCGACGTTTTAAACGCTCGATCGCTTTTGTGAAGTCGTCGAGCTTTGAGGTGCGATGTTTGCAGAATGACCTCTGAACCCGGCGGCGGTTTGAAGAGTAGTCTACCCGAGGTGCGACTTCATCGTGCGAGTATGTTTGGATCGCGAGTATTTGTACTGCATTACTTAGTACTGTTACAAACGTATTCAGAATACTATCACGGCACTATTGCACCGTGTTACGTTCCCGCGCCGACAAAAATTGCAGTCTTTGTCGACGTCGCGATCATCCATCCATAATAGTCAACTTATCCCCCGGAAGAATTTCACGGATATCAACGCACGCATCACCTTTAGGTTCGAAATTTTCGTCACACCAAGTACACCCCCCATGATGTACGCCGAGGCAAGCTGAACAGTTGGCAAAGTGAAGCAAGTACGACGCGACGGCGGCGCCCTTTGCCCGCGGCGGTTTGTGCGCAAACCAATGCTCTAGAAAGCTGTAATGAAAAACTGGCCCTATGTTTACGACTGGGTTAATCTCTACTTGAAAGTGCGCGTCGGTCACGGTTCGCGCCATGAACGCAGCTAATTCTCGGAAGAAATCGCTGTGTGGTTTCCCCGCCGCCATGACGCTGCTCAACACGTCTATTTTCGAACTAAAATCAGCCAAAAGAGGAGAGATGACGTCCGGTTTGCTCGAATCAAAGTGCTGATATATCCCACCGCGACTCTCATCGCCCGGTTCGAGCACCATGAGCGCCTCGAACTCGCTCAAAATTGGCCGCCACGACTTCTTGCATTCCACGTCCAAGTCAAACGCCAATCCTCCAAACTTTTCAAGTAAAAGCGGTCGCGACATTTCCGCCAATTTCAACCCATGGTTCGATCGCGAGCTGTTCATTTTACGCACGGCCTCGTCCATGCCCTCGATTCCACTTTCTTTGGCGTACTCGTCCAAAAACTTGGCGATGCCCTTGTCGGTGAAGAACACGTATCGCAAATCCGGCATGCACTCGAGGAACGATTTTATAAACGGCGCTTTCACGGCCGGCACGCACGTGGTCTTCCACGTGAGAAATCTCGTGTATTCTCGTCGCGATGCGCCCTCGCACGCGTATTCGGTTTGCGGGAGATCGTTTCCGCGCAAAACGTACTCGTCCCAAACGCGCGTGGGCGTCGCGCTCGCCGCGCCTTCTCTCACCTCGCGCACGCGACGAGGCGCGTCGCACGGTGCGTCACCATCGTCGCCGTCTTCGCGCGGATCGTTCGCGAATGCATCGTCGCCGCCGTCGGACGTCGCGCGCGCGAATCCACCGTCGCCCCGTCCCGAGGCTCGCGACACGTCGGCGGCGAGCCCAGGGCGCGCGCGCGCCCGCCTCGAGCCCGAGAACAGGCGTCGTTCGCGCGACGACGCGACGACGCACGCCGTACCGAGCAGCGCGACGGCGATGAAAACGCGCTTACTCCGCCCCGCGCGCACCTTGCCCGTCATCGACGACGACCGCGCGTTCGCGTTCGCGTTGTGGGGCGACGTCGCGACGGGCGCGCGTTCGCCCCGAGTCGTCGGCGCGCTTCAAAGCTCGACGCGGAGACGAATTCGATCGATCCGACCATCGCGCACCGCGAATGTCCGACGCGTCACGCGAACCGGCGCGCGTCGAGTAGAGCGACTCGGCGCGCGCGCCGCGATGCGCGTGCTCGTGCTCGGGTCGAGCGGGTTGATCGGCGCACCCTTGGTGGCTCGTCTTCGTCGCGCCGGTCACGATGTCACGGAATGGGACGTCGCCATGGATCGCGCGCACGATTTAACGGACGCCGCGAACGTGCCTGGCGCGCGCGACGCGATCGAGTCGAGTGATTTCGTCTTCTTTCTCGCCTTTGACGTCGGCGGCGCAAAGTACATCAGTACTCCCACCGCGAGTTTCATCCATCGAAACAGTCTCTTGATGGCGAACACGTTTAGTTTACTGCACGGCAAGCGGTTCGTTTTCGCCTCGAGCACGATGTCAAACATGGACGTCCCTTACGGCACTTTAAAACGTCTCGGCGAGCACTACACGAGCGTGCTCTCTGGAATCTCTGTGCGATTCTGGAACGTCTACGGTCCTCAAAAGTACGGCGAGAGATCGCACGTGATCACCGATTTTATTCACAAGCTTCGAACGACCGGTTCGATTACCATGATGACTTCTGGCGCAGAAAAGCGCCAGTTTCTGCACACAGAAGACTGCGCGCGGTGTTTGGAAACAATCGCCGCGCACTACGACGAGATGCCACCCGTAGTAGACGTCACGAGTTTCGAGTGGACGACTGTTAGGGAGCTGGCTGAGTTGCTTTGCGATGACGTGGTCGCTCGTAACGACAACCGAGACAGCCACACGAAGTCGAACGAACCGAGTCCGTTCATCCTTAGTTACTGGCGCCCCGCGATAAGTTTACGAGAAGGCATCGCGCAACTGCTCGCAGAATCAAGGACGGCGAAACGTTAAAGACGTAGTGCGCAAAACACGTAGCACTCTTAGTAGTTTAGCAGTAGTGTTCAACTTAGCCGTAAAACGATGCTTTAAGACGCCGAGATGGAGAATGGCTCGTCCTCACTCCGCAGCGCTTTGTCACGCGAAGACGCTCGCGAGTCAGAAGTACGATGAGACATCACTACAAACCCACACACGTGATCTCACAGTAGCTTTACGATGCCGCGATTCAGTAGGAAACGCGCGTTGAGCATACTTTTTGCGTGCGTCGTCACGAGTTCGATTTATTTCTACGCTTCGCACACGGGACGTTCGAAAATCTCGATAGCAGTCGACGACATCGCGAAACGTGCGAGTGCGCTCCATTCGCCACGCTCGCGAGATGTGGAAAGCTTACGCAGCGTCTCTCGTCGCGCGAGCCCGGTTGCGAGTTTTGACTTTGAGTTCGCCGAGTTGAAGTTTCAAAGAGTCGTCGACGCGAGCGCCGTCGGCGACGCCGCTTCAACCACGCCGGCGTCTATATCGTGCGACTCCGCTATTAACGACTCCGCGCGAGTCTTGACGGATGATTTCAGCGAAATCCTGGCGTGGGCATCGGCGGTGCGGCGCGAGTCGAAACTAGTGCATCTGGTGAAGTCAGCGACGCCGAGGGTGTTCGTCACCGGCTTGCTACACAACAGCTGCGTGCTCATGCACCACTACGTCGTCGAGGTGTTGAAGTTTATTCTCCTGTACGGCAACGATGAAGGTTTTGAGAATGTCTTCGTATCCCTGTACTCGAGCGGCGACGGTGACTGCGCGGTGTTGACGCTCGAAGCGTTCAAAGAACTTTTAGACGCCATCGGCGTTCCAAACGTCATCAAGACTCGGCAACGCGAGCGTATTCCTGGCATGGCGCGCATCGACTTTTTGCAAAGCATTCGAAACGCGGCGATGGAACCTTTATATTTGAGTGATACACCGTACGACGAAGTCGTGTTTCTTTCTGACGCATTCTTTTGCGCCGGAGACATTGTGCGCTTGCTACGTCACACCGAAGCGAGCATCAAGTGTGGATTAGATTTTGATGGTACCACGAACGCGATGAAGTTTCGAGACACGTGGGTCGCGCACGACATGAGTGGACGCATGTTCACCAAAGAGTTCCCGTTTGTGCACGACGTCGTCTCGTCGCACGCCTTGAACGGCGGGGCACCTTTCCAGGTTTTGTGCTGCTGGAATGGCCTACTGACCTTGCGTGCAAAAGTATTTACTGATCTCGGCGTGCGGTTTAGACGCTCTTTAGACGATACAGAGTGTCACGCCGCGGAAACCGAGCTCATTTGTCACGATTTTGCGGCGCTTGGACACCCGAAGATGTTGGTTGATCCGCAAGTGACGGTGACGTATACAAAGGCGGAGTACGTCGCGCTGAGTAATTCGCGCTCGAGCCCGCACTCGTATTCTTTGAGGCGCACAAACATGTTCTCGAATGAGTCGATCGCTACGGTGGAGACGTGGGCAGAGCGCCCGTCGAGCACGGAATGTGCCCCACTCGATGGGCACGCGGGCGATCATCCAGACAGAGGACGAATTCGACACGTCGATTGGAACGCGCACTACGCCGAAATGGGTGTTCCTGTTGCATCGGAGAAGAAGATTACGAGTTTACACGCCTGTGACGGTCCTTCGGCGAGCCAGTGCGTGCTGAGTGGTGGTAAACGCGCATTTGTTTCGCGCGACGCGATGAGTAGATGAATAAAACATTCAGATTTGCTGGCAGCGGTGATTGGAACGCTTGCAGTATGACTTTCGTTTGACGTGATGAAACGTGTAGTAACCTGTGCATTATAACTATCAACATTTATTACCAATTTTAGACTACATTTGAATACAGAAACGTCGACCCGATGACGAGCGCTATGCCGAGAGATGCCGTAACGCTCAGGTTGTGTCCGTCGTTGGCGAACACCGTCGTCGCGAGGGCGCAATTACATATGGAAATAGACACGGCAAAGCATTTGAGCACGTTCCCCGCGTATCGCAACACCGCCGCGACGACTAAACCACCGGCGGCTTGTAGCGCGATGACGAGCAACACGACGCTGTCGTATCCTTGAAACACGCTTTCGTTCGCGCGCAAGCGCTCTCCATCGCGCCACACTGATCCAATCAACGCCACTGGAAGTGAAAAGCACGCCAGTTGTGCGTTTCGGAACCATACCGATCGCTTTTGAGCGTCCACTTCTTTGTACATTTTCTCTAAATACGCCCCCGCGAAACCAGACGTAAACGCGGCGGTGAGCACGGCGACCATACCTCGCAGAGTGTCTTCCGGCCGCGCTCTATCCGACGGCACATTGCTCCGATGTCCTTCCTCGTTCTGTACCATGATCATCCCACACACGAGCACCAACAACGCTACATATTGTTTACGCGTGATTCGCGTTCCCAGGAGCACGACGCTACAAATCGCGCTCGTGAGAATTTTGCTCTGCGAACACACCATGTATGCGGTCGGGCTCAGCAACCGCACGCCCTCGAAAAGGAGGTTGTTTTGTATCACGTACAGCACCGATGGGACCGCGAGCCGCGTCGCGTTGGATGGCACCTCGCGAAGCGCGTCCCGGGCGGCGCTTTGTCCGTCGGACGCGACCAACAAAATATAGCTCAAAACGAGTTTGACGAGCTCGGCGCTCGCGATGACTGTGGATACGACGTAAGGCGTCGCGGCTGTTCGATACGAAAACTTCGTCATGAGCACCAAGGCGGTGTTTTGGATCGTCAAGATGAAAAGCGCCAGCGCTTGATGCTTTCGCGACGCTGACGAAGTGACTGGAACGACGCCTGATGCACGCGTCGTGGTGTTTGCCTTTCGCTCCAGGTAAGGTGCCTGCATATGTCGATTCGCCAACGCTGTTTCGCTGAACGCAATACTCAACTACACTTCGTTACTGCGATGCGACGTAAACTTCCCGTAGGACAGCGACGTGTCGCGCGAAAATCTTCGCGAGCGCCGAATGAAGATTTCGCCGCGATGCGTCTCTCGGCCGAAGGATGAGCGGAAGTGTATATCACGCTCGCAGGCGCGATATGTTGTCGAAACTGCGCGGGGCGAAAATTTCACCTGTTGAATTAATTTCACCGCGTAAAATTTAAGGGCGAGTAAGAGATAGAAATTCCTTGTCGGAATAGCGAGTAATTTTCCAATTTTCGCTATTCTTTTTTTTCAAAAGAGATGGGCCGGAATAAAAACGCTCCGTGCCAACCTCGCGACGCGTTGCGCGCGAACGACGCGCGCTCAACGACGAAAGATCAACGCATGACGTGAGCGAGACACAATTTCACGAGCGTGGCGTCGCGACTCGACCGATATCACGGTGGTGCGCGCTCATTCAATTTGAGGTGCTTTTCCAAAAGAGTTAGAACATGATGTTACAACAACGACGCACGGCGCGCGCGACTGCCCGCTATCGACTATGAAACGGTTGAAAACGATGCGCGCGCGTTACTGTTAATTAATGCGCGTCACGGCTTCCACCATCGCGCGCGGCACTGGCGCGGCGACGGTGACGCTTCGAATTGTTTTTCAAAAGAGATAGCCGGAAGAGCGTTGTCGGCATAAGACCCCCTAAAAATTAACTCGTCACGTGACGAGTCGTCGCTATGCGAACAAGATCCTTGTCCGCGTAAATCGGCCCGATTTACGCGGATAAAAAGCTTGTCCGCATAAGATTTACGCGGATAAGCCATCTCTTATGAAAAAAAACGGCCCTTATCCGCGTAAATCGCCGATTCTATTTTCGAATTTCGCATCTCTTAGTCGGCCTAACGCGGTTAACGTTCATCTAGACCGACGGTCGGGTATGTCCTGGTAAAACCGTTGTCGCACTCTGAGGCCCCGCGCACATTCGACAGACGTCGCTGTTTTGAAGCGATGCGAAACAAACGAAGGACGCGACGGCTTCGTATCACGGTGATTTCCATTACGCTGGCGTCATCCATGTCGTTCATCATGTACCGTAGTCTTTCGTCGTCGTCGTCGTCGTTGAAAACGCACCGTGACGACGTCTCGCCACTTGAACGTTCAATCGCTGACGTCGTGCGCGACTTAAAGGCTACGCGCGAGCGTGTGTTGCGCGATGTTTTAGCGACCGCAGTGAGTACGGATACGACGGATGCGCGAGAGGTCGAAAACAGTTCGCCGATCGCGGACGCGCTCGATCAAGCGAAGCGAATCATCGAGAACTTTGACCGCGCTGGTCGCTCGAACGCCAGAGAGGATGAAGCCGAATCACTCGAGACGTTACGTAGTGTAGTCGAGAGCGTGAGTGATGTACAACGTTTAGCGGCAAATCCGAATTCGCCGGTGGTGAGGCGCGCGAAGAAGCGTTCAGAGCTGTTCAACAGAATTCACGACGCAAATTTATGGGGCAGCGCGGAGTCGAGATCCGGGGGCGGTTCGACGAAAGCGACGACGAGTACCGCGGCGAGATGTATCGGCGAATGGATTCGAAAGTATGACATCAAGACTTTCTTGGACTTGCCGTGCGGCGACGCGAATTGGCAAGCAGGCATCCCTGGGATTGAGAACGTAAGATACACTGGCATGGATATAAGCGTCGGCGCGCTCGAGACGGCGAAGACGCGCATGTCTGAGGTTCAAACCGATATCGACGATTTTCGCACGCATGATATCGTCGCGTTACCTATGCGCCAACGTTACGACGCCATCATGCATCGCGACGTCGTGCAACACTTGTCTTACGAAGAAGCCCTGCGAGGTTTGTCCAATTTCGCGAAGAGCGGTTCGACGTACTTCATCGTCAGCACGCACCCGAAATCGACGGAGCGAGGCGTGGAATCGGACGTCGGTGTAGCGCGCGATATTGGATACACGTATCAAAACAACATGCAGTCGGAGCCATTCAACTTCCCGCCGCCGTTGGAAATGTGCGACAACTACGCGAACAACGACGCTTCAAAGATTGCGATTTGGAGAATCGCGGACCTTCCGAATTTCGAACGTAAGCTCGCGCATATTTCAACGCACGAAAGCGGCGCGCGAAAGATTTGACGTTAGCGTAGCGCGGGTTGTCATTCGCCACCACGCGCTCGAGCGTCGCGCGCGGCGACGCGCGGCGCGACGCTCGAGCGCGCATCGACCGGCGTCGCTCGTTCGCACCAAACCGCGCGCCAAACGCGCGCGGCGCGTTCGAACGTCGCCGTCGCGCGCGTCGCGAGAAAAGGCGCGAAATCACACGCGCGCGCGGCGCTAAGATTGCGTGTCCACGTGATCGTATTGCAGTGATCCAAACGACCGTGTGAATAAAACTCGAAACACCATAAAAACCAACGCCGCGCCCGCGTCGCGCGCGGCGTCGCGCGTCGCCGCGCGCGAGGGCGTCTCGGGGTTGGGCGTCGCGCGCGTCGAGCGACGCGCCGCTCGCGGACGGGCGAATCGAATCGTGCGCGCGCGCGGCGCGCACGTCGCGCGGCGCGCGGCTTGCGGCGCACGTCGCGCGGCGTGCGCGCGGCGAGAGGTCGCGCGGCGCGCGGTCGCGCGCGCGCGCGACGAATTCGACGACGTTCCGTGAGCCGCATTCCGCGTCGTCATCCATCGACGCTCACGGCGTCGGGATCGCGACGACGACGCGCGCGCGCGGTGCGTTAGGTGCGTCGTGTTGTTGAATAGTGCGCGAGCGCGTCGGTGCGCGTCGGGGCGATCGCCGCGCGCGTGTGGCGAGCAAACACGCGTCGGGCGCTCTGATAGATTTGATTTGATTTGTTTGATGTGTTTGATTTGATTAGTGATATTGAAGTCGCCGTCGGCGCGGCGCGTCCGCGGTTCGGTCATCGCTACCGCGAAGACACCGCGGGACCACCGGTGCATTCAGCTGGTGAACGATTGACGTGTCTCGCACCGAGCAAAATCCCCGAGGCTTGCTTGCGTCGCTTATAGGGAGTTGCTTCGTCGCACACACGCTGCGAAAAAAAAGCGTGTCATTATTAATTATTTTATTTCTGATGAGATCAACCTTGGCGTGCTCGAAGATCCATCGAGCCGCCTTTAATGCGGGTAGGATTGCTCGCGAAAATGTGGCGGTATCGATGTATGCGTCGCCGGCCGCAGCGGACCTCGCCGCGCCTAAGTAGACGAAACACTAACTGAAGAATAATTCCAATGAAAAAATTGCGAGGGGCATGGTCAAAACGCAACGTACGGGATTTGACGATGCTCAAGAGTCTCGATTCATTGGGTGGGGCTAATCATTACGACATATGTCGAACCGCGTAGCGTTCTAACGTCGCCTCTTTGCGTTCAAAGTGTATGGAGGAATTCAAAATAATTTTGCATTCAGTAAAATAAACCAGTGTAATTCGTGAAAACTAAAATCTGCAAGAATCGAGCGACGGGCGCGAATTACGACTGCTGGCTCCTCACATCGATCCAGATGATGACGTTGGTTGTCTGCAAACAGCGATGAAACCAACTTCGCGTCGAGTGCGTGCCGCAAATAATTAATATTTAAAATAAATATTTAAAATAAATTACAATGAATTCCCTCGGATTGGTGATGTTGTTCGCTTTAACGCACGTTCAAACACTCGAGCGTCATCCTCGCCTCGTGCACTCCTTCGTGACGCTCAATTGGCTGTCTATGTGCCACACCACGGTCACTCTACCTGTCTAACTTTGACGAACAGCGCGTTGAAGACGTGCGTAATTATTTAATTAGTATTTGTTTTCAGGAAATAAATTTTGCGGCAGACAATGGTGACCTTAATCTCACACGTTAGCGACCTGTAGACGCCGACCTCGTTAATCTTATCCGTTTACGCGAAAATGGCTTCTTTCTGCACAACCATCTGCGTATTTTGGAATTATTTCACGTCGATTGCTTACATAAATATTTCAAAGACGGCCTCGTTTTCGTGGTCGCGGAGTGCGTCGATGTCGATTCTCCGGCACAATTACCCTGCCACGCTTCTGCACTTCGCGCGCTGATACTGATGAGCGCGACGACGGCGTCGTTCGAATTCGAGACGCCAGTCGGTCGGTTTCAAGCCGCGCGGCGCAGCGACAAAAGTTAGAACAGAGCGAACGTCCACGCGCTCGCGTTTTGCGCACGACGAGGCGTTCGTGCGTCAATGTCACCCATCAAGCGTCGCGCGACGCGCGATGAGATTAGTGGCGCGTCGTGTGGGAACACGGACGAGCGAACCAATTCTCGTGACGGGGGTGTCTTCGTCTCCGGCGATGATGACTGTCGCACGCCAGATTCGGATTTTCGCACGCCTGGTTCAACGTTCGCCGGTGTTTATATAAGGGGGGTTGTCACGCAGACCGCCAATGTCTCAGTAGTGGCGTGTGTATGCACATCGAACAATGGTGTCTTTCAGTGATGGCGTGTGTATTTTTGTAATGTATGTTTCCGTGATGGCGTGTGTATTTTGCAATATATCAGTACTAAGTATATATTACTTTCCACGCCCTAATGTATGGGGTGTTAGCACTTCTCGATCGCCACGCGCGCGCGCTTGGCTTTTGCATGTGAAATTTCGCGAGTCATCACTCGAGAATAAGTACACCGCACGCACCGATTCTCGCGTCTTAAGTCCGCGCCGTCGCCGAGATATCAGTCGATGTTGAGCTCATTTTTTTGTGGGCGACGACGCGAGGTAGCACTCGGTGACGCAAAACGCGAGCGCGGTCGATTTGCGGCGTGGTATTACATTGTCATCTACTGTTCAATTCCTAGTTTGTCATTTCGCTATCTTTTCGTACATTTGTTTCGTCTAGTTTTCTTCGTCGCTCGGGACGTCATCATCTTCATCGTCTTCGTCGTCATTTTCGTCGGCAGCGCCGCTCGCATTCACGGGCCGCCCTGGAAGCTCCTGGTCGGAGTCGGGGTAGAATTCGGGATGGTGCACGGAGAGGTACTCCAAGCATTCATCTTTGATCGCCTGCTTTCTGTCACCTTGCCTCGGTCGCTTGTTCGTCGCGACGCCGTAAATCACCCTCCGCGATCCTCAACTAGTAGCATCATCAGTTAATACCATCAAACTGAAGTTATTTTTATGAACACGATATCGATAGTTTGTCCAGACGGACGAGATGTAAATCAATGAAACTGAGACCGTGTCTCGAGCAGAGACACTAATCGCCGTGTGAGACAACACCGATCAACGTGATGTCGCAACATCAGTTTATTACCTTCGCGAACTGACGAGTAAAATTCACCAGTGATGAATGTGGTCTTCAGCAGCCGCCCGCTTTAGGATTTTGACTCCTTTGTGGTCTAACGTCAATGTAATATCAAGATGGGTTCCGGTTGACTACTGAAACCACCTGCGGTGAATTACACGATTACATTGATATGTTTCGCCAGTTCAACGGCATACTCATAGAGTTCTACGTCGTATTTGAACTTTTGATATAAAGCTGCCTGAACTTGTACATCGCCTTGATAAAAATCCTCGTCCTTCACACTACGTAGAGTATTGTTTGAGCTACGACTCGAATCAATCGTGAAGTTGGTAACACCAAGATTTTGAAAGAACACGCGCAAATCCTGATCGTATGTTTCTCTGACCAATATTGCGCTGAAGTGTCGTAATCGTTCTTTCGCGGTTTCAAGAAGAAGGGCCATTATTTCATCTCTAGTCATCGTCGCTAGTTGCGTGGTGTTCTTCAATGATGTCGCTGTCGCTATCGATTGTATGTCATCAGTTCTTGTTATGCCAGTCAAAGAAAATATTATATGCCCTGGTACGCTTTCACGATGTGTGTCCATGAGGAGGTTTTCTCTGAATGAATGCGATGCCAGTCTAGCCGCATAGCTTGTCGCAGACAGCTCGGAAATTTGCTGCGCTGTATACCCGCTCTTTCTGAAATAGTTGACGTTATGCGCGATATGACTGTTATACATGTCGTATGGATGTCGAATAGCGGTGGCGTACACCCAAGGACGTTCAGTGCTTGTGTTGAAATGAGGTGACATAGGGTGCTCCATCCCAAAAAATTCAACTCGTCGTCCCCCGGTAGTCAACTCAGAGAACAAATCCTGCTGCTGTTCGAAGTCACCGTAGGCACGCGCGTCAGGTCCGCAGGTTGGTGAGGTCACTAACTCACAGTTACAACTCCGGTTTCCGCGCACTCCTGCTCCTGACGCATCCATGGAGCTGCACAGCGTTGTCCCACCAGCCTTCTTCAAGTGCACAAAATATACTACACTCTGTCCCTGGCGCGTTCTGAACCGCCTAACAGCATCAATATCACTTCGCTCGTATTCCGTCGGGATGACGTGCTTTGCAACTCGTTTTACCAGATCATCACCAGAGTTTCGCAAGTATATCGATGAGCCCCACGTGGCGATTAAACACCCTATGACGAAGATTCGCGCTTGCATACGTCGTTCACGGTGGTTCGAAAACGAAATAGTTGCATCCAAGTTTGTTCATGTCGTAGCGCGTCACTACACACCGCGCGCGTCCGGGTGACGCTGATTGGCGCGGGAAGCGGCCGTGGCAGCCTATGAGAAACCTTGGGTATAAGTCGCGATGGTTGCCGCGGAACTGGCTAAATCCAGCCTTGTTTTTTGGGGTGGGGTAAAACGACCAATCGTGACTCAATATCCGTTTATATATTTAGTGCACACTTTGCGAGCTATACCTTATATGATGGTGAGCAATCGGGCCTAGTGCGTCGATAAGTGATGATAATTACAATCAGTTGTGGTTAGTTCATTAATGAGTGTTAACTCGTCAATTAGTCCCGCTAGGTTACTAGGGGAAGCTACTATATTTCATATTTTACTCTTCAGATTTCTAACACACCTCCTTAGCTTTCTCTAGTCTGAGGGCTTACCAATACCTTTGAAAGGTTGGATTTCCTCACTTTCGACCTTCTCGAGATATTCTTGAAATGTGTGCAGAGCGTCACTCTTCACCATACCTTCACTCAACCTCTGGTTGATGAAGTCTCGTATGTCCTTCGAAGATATATGACTTAACATCACGTTGAAGTGATTAGAACACTCGTGAACGTCTGCTGGACCTGAAAAGTTCTTCTTGTTCGGCAATATCTTTGTCAACATATCGGCTAAGTTGTGTGATGATCCTATGTTAAATGGCTGTATAATCCCTTCTCTGTGAGCATAATGTTGGATCCAGGAGTATCTTATTTCCATATGCTTGTTTGACTTAGACGACATAGTTTCCATTGCCTGTCGAATGGCTGTCGTATTATCGCAGAAGAGTGGTACTCTTGACAGTTTAAATCCAAGCTCTCGAAACAACAAAATTTGAAAGAATAAATCTTTCGCGGCTTCATACATTGCCATGAACTCTGCTTGCGCTGAACTCGTGGCTGGTATTCCTTGCAGTTTGCTCTTCCAATTGGTAGGGCCGCATGAAAAAGATATATACCCCGATGTGGATTTTCTTCCGCATCTATCTTTCGAATTTAAGGATAACTTTTGGCCTGCCCAATCCGAGTCTGTAAATCCTGCAAGTCTCACTATACCATTGCATTCAGCACCGTTGTAGGTTAATGGAATATTGGGGTTCCTCTTGAGATATCCAACCGCTCTGCATAAAGCGCTAAATTGCTTATGCGTTGGGTTACTTGCTACCCTTCCAGCTAGACTGCATACCACAGCAAGATCTGGTCGAGTAGCAGTATTAAACCAATTCAGACTTCCCAGCACTTGTTGATATGTTGTCCGCTTCATCCTGTCTACTGCATCTGTGTCATCCTCCTTGGCGAGAACAAACGTATCTGATGGTAGTAATGGCGAATTGCAAGCATTGATATCTTGCACAGGACATTTTGCCAGAAACTGCGCAATTGAATATTCTTGGTTGAGTGTGTAACAATTCTTCCCTAATCTCTTTATATGGATGCCGTTGTACACCTTTATCCTTTCAAATTGCGAAACTTTGTAAATTCTGGAAAATTCTTTGTGGAACTGCTTGACAACCTCATCGTTCTCAGCGGTTATCAGAAGATCATCTACCAATACTGAAATGATCATGAAGGGCTTGCTATTGCTCATCTTAACAAACAAACAGCTATCCTTACATAATTGGTTCAAACCCAGAGACCTTAGAGTCTTGGTTACATGCAAATACCAACACCGTCCCGCTTGCTTTGTGCCATACAAGGGTCTGCGTAACTTGTAGACCATTCCTTTCGGAAGCGGATGTGACCTTGGGGCCTTGACGTATATATCATCTAGGAGTTCCCCTTGCGTGTAAGCTTGGGATACATCTATCGTAAAGATGTCCCATCCTAATATCGCCGCCAAGTTTATGAGTATCCTAAATGTGGTCATGGAAGCAACGGCACTAAATGTGTCGTGGTAGTCCTTCAACCAAACTTGGGTGAATCCTTGCACTACCAATCTAGACTTAAGGGAACCATCTGGTTTTACCTTATCTACCCATTTGGATCCACAAATATTTGCATCTCCGGCTTCAACAATACTGACCTCCATTAATGTGGTTTCGAGCAATCCATTGAGCTCTTTTGCTCTGCTCTCTGAGAAATCCACACTTGACTCATCAATAATTTTACCGTATTCTTCGCCTTTTGCGACGGCTGTGGCTAGCACACTGTGTGCTGCCCTATTTGTCGAATCAGCGTTATTTAGCGCAGGATTCAATTTTACCGTTTTATCGCCGTAACTCCCGCCCTGGAGCTGGATATGCGAATACTTACATGTGAGGTAGATAACCTGTTTCTTGAGCTCATCCTCAGAAACTCTACCATTCTCTTTGAAGTGGTTAACGAGATGTTCAATATCGTCAGTCGGTTGATCAGTCCCAACATCAGCATTGTTCTCTGCGTCAACACCTCCTTCAACTTCTTCAAGGATCTCTGGAGAAAACCCGCTAGGCCCCCAGCCTGGATACTTATCCTGAAGGCTACTCTGGTCCATCCTTGTCCGTTCCCTCGCAAATTCGAGAAAATCCTCGACTAGACCAGCATTGGCGTTATTGAGCGCCGGAACTACATCGCTAGCGTTATTGAGCGCTGAGCCAGCGTTATTTAGCGCTGCTTCGGCGTTATTGAGCGCCGGAAATGGTTCGCTAGCGTTATTGAGCGCTGAGCCAGCGTTATTTAGCGCTGCTTCTCCCCCGGACTGCGGATAATCCTCGTCAAGATCGTCATCTTCGCAATCACTTTCAGATTTGTATCCTTGGTCCTCCTTTTGAGAATCCAACAAATCATTCAACCAATCGTCCAGGTCACGGCGGTCGGAAAGCTCCGGTGGGAGGATAACAAGCTCCGGTGGGAGGATACTATTGTCGGTTAGCTCTGTTCGGTCTCCTGTTAATCCAGGATGCTCCCCATTCTGTGCATTCACCGACCCAGCGTTATTGAGCGCCGGTCTATTTACATAATTTTCATGGTCGAAGATCAACTCCGACGTTTCTTGAACATAACCTGGTGCTGATCCTTGGCGTTTCAGGATGCTGTTGGACAAAACCACAACATATTTCTTCGGGTGCAAAGTTACACTAGAGTAACCTATGAACCACACTGGAAATCTACTCACACACCAATCCGGCCTTGAAGCCGGGTGCTGATTACTCAAATTTTGAGCAATCACATTCCGCGCCATATACGCCTTACAACCAAATGGATGTAAGACTTGGATATCCACACCGTGTCCAAAAACTTCATAATACGGAGATTGCAACTTATTGTGCACTTTGACTCCAGTTATATTTCTTACTGTGGCGGCGTACTTCATGGCATATACCCAAAACTCACTCGGCACGCCACTTGCTATCAAGAGCTTTTTGGCGATTATCTTGAGTGCTTGATTCGTCCTTTCTGCTACGCCATTTTGCCACGGATGTCCTACATCACTCTTGGAAAATACCATTCCATGATCATCACAGAATTTTCCAAATGTAGACTTGATATCGCCACCACCATCGGAGTGTATCCGCTTGAGTCGAATTTCTCCATCTTGATGGTATCTTCTGCGGTGGTCTTGTATTAACGCTAGATCGCGCTTAAATTCCTTAAGCGCATGTGTCAGTGACCTTTCCTCAACGGTGGACGGCCGATTGCTCTCTACGGGGTAGACCAGCTGGAATCTGGTATACTCATCTGTAACGGTCAAACATGCCTTTTGATCTACAATCTTACAAACCATAGAACCTCTTGGCGGTCCGAAAGTCACGTCCATGTGGACAATTTCAAACGGTTTTGTACATCGCTTGGTACTCCTCTTACCGTGATTCGTTTGTCTTGTATGACCTATCTTGCATGTGACGCAATTATCGGCAGCATTATTCAACTTTGCTTGTAGCTCGTCCAGAGGTTTGTCACTTGTTATCCAACTATTGTTGAATGCAGTAAGTAATGTATTACTTGACACATGGCCAAGTGTATCATGTATTAACGTCGGTATCCAGAATATGGGCCGTTTTGACGATATATCTATCACCGGCAATCCATCGTGACGTCGACGAACATTAACATCATGATATTTTCCATCTTCATCTGGTAATTTGATACTTCCGCCGGAGTCATTTAGGCTAATCGGGTAACCTGTGCATGATAATATTCCGGCTCCTGGAAGATCGGCTCCAGGGGCACAGTTTGCCTCGAAATGGAATTCAAAATGTTTTCCTTCCGTGTCAACTAGATCAACCTTTGCAACTCCTGATTTGGTCACTACCGTAGTGCCGTTGATAGAGGTCAAGATTTCGTTTCCTCGAGACTTCACGTTGTGCAACTTTAGTGCATCATTTATTACACTCACACACGCTCCACTGTCGACCAGTAAAGTATTTTTGTTGCCTAGATGATATGTCTCGAGGATTATCGGTCACTCGTCTTTCTCTTTTGGATCAGACTCGTTCCCTCTTGGTTTCTTATTGGCAAACTTGTCTACCCGCCGCTGCAGATCAGGACGTAACGGCGATTTACACTCCCAATACCTGTGACCTTTCCTGTTACAGTTGAAGCAAGCTCCTTTCGGCTGAAACTTCTTCCGCTTCAGATTATTCACAGCAAGCTGTTTAGGTGATGTCTCCTGATCGAGTTTATCAGCTATAACAAGCTTATTCGTGCATTTGGTAAAGTCCAGTTTGTCGCGCTGCTGGGAAAGTAACTCCTCACACACCTTTTTGACATTCGTTCGAGACAGCGGAGACGCCAACAACATAACGAGTATTGTTTCGGTGAAACCACTGAATTCGATCGTTTCCGAAGTGGTGAGTTCGTTCCCATTTATCGTGAACGCAGATTGAACCTGCCGACGCAACCTCAGCCCGTTGTTGAGTCTAACTTGACTATCATTTGGGAGGGAAGTAAACAATTTTCTTTTGTTACCCAAGAATTCCGCCATGTTTCCGGATCCAGTGTACTTTATGTCATTTAACCGATTCTCTACGAGAGTTTGGATCGTTGAGTAAGGGTCTAATTCCAGAAGTAATCTGTCTAACAAAGTAATCCCCGACCAAGTCGCTCTTGACGCTCTCATGTCGCTTACGAGCTTCTTGAGTTGTTCAGGAAATACATTTGATAAATCAAAAACGCCGTCAGCCAGTTCTTGATCCGCAACATCGAGCGGTACCAATGTCCTATCCGGATGTAACTTCTCATAGTCTTTCACTGTAACACGATTATTCTCAGCGTTAGCAGGTGGTAACCCCGGGAGTCCGTTGGAATCCCTTTCATCCTGCATTACGTTGTAAACGTATTTACACAAATCGATGTTATCACGGAATGTAATATCCAGCGAAGCTACGATTGCGGTGATCCTGCAAAGATCCATATTGGCATTTTTATACTTTGCATCAATGTAGTGGCGCAACAGCTTATCCGCAGCGATCGACACACTGACGGCCTCCGTTTTCCTTCTTCCGTTGATTTTAGAAGATGTAAACCTGTAGTTCAAAGATTGAACCATTAAATCTATAAATTCGACTACGTTGTCGCCTTGAACACCGCTCTTGAAACGCGTGAACGACGCCAGGTCCGTTGGTAGGAACGCTTCCGACATCTTGCTTTGGTTAAGCGTTTTAAGGCGTTACTAAATTTAGAATCTTCTAAAAATAGAACGATTCGCTCTAAAAATAGAACGACTCTTTACAAACCGATCGAGGCGCAAAAGGCACTCTTCCGATTGACACTAATCGTAGGTCCACGCTAGCGTGCTGCACGTCGTCGCAGATGGCAGAATCGTACGATGCGAGCTATACCTTATATGATGGTGAGCAATCGGGCCTAGTGCGTCGATAAGTGATGATAATTACAATCAGTTGTGGTTAGTTCATTAATGAGTGTTAACTCGTCAATTAGTCCCGCTAGGTTACTAGGGGAAGCTACTATATTTCATATTTTACTCTTCAGATTTCTAACACACTTCGACTATGTATCACGAATGCGGATCCTCGCACTTGAGAAACCTCGGATTTATACGTCGCGATGGGTGTCGTGCGTGAGAAACCTTGGGTTTATAAGTCGCAATAGATGTCGTGCGTGCTTGGCTTGTCTGATGCTGATTCATACGCGCTAAGTCTATATGTAGGTCTAGTTCGTGTACAAGTAGTGTAGACATGCACGTCAGCAACAAAAAACTCCGCCGGTGCATTTGGCTTGAAAAAGTTCGAGCTCTATCACTAGATGCGACCTACCAATGATCACACCGTTCGTGTTCCTCTTAACCAACTTTGCTTGTGTGCTTCTCTGTCGGATATCTTGTCATTCTTGACCTTCTCGAAATTTGTCTCTATCCAATCCATGATCCACTTGCCCCACTCATGAATATGGCGACTCCAGACGTCGACTTCATTCCAAGATCTGATTTTCCAGGAAATAATTCTTCATTTACAAAGTTCGAATCACTAAACGCTGCCGGACATATACTCGAGTCCTTCCTGAAGTACAGTTCTACGACTTAAAATGTTCGTCAAATCAAGATTCGATACAAAGTGCGCAAATTCCGAATCGTCCAGAAGGCTGCGGCATAGATTTGTTTTTGCAACGTAAAAACGGCTTGAAAACTATCGGCCTTGAGAAATCTCAAGACAATGTCAATGTTGGCACACGTCAGCTCATCGGCGCTCACACACTCACTAAGCGCGATCATGCCGAGTCTGCAAACAGTGTTGTAAGTCTGGCTATCATATTTGTATTTGCTTACTGCGCTCTTTTCATTTTAAAGAGGATGCCGAAGCGGATTTAAAGTTGGCCACGTTGAGAGGCTCAGATAAGAGCATGTATTATTAGCTTGTATTCTTGATAAGCCTTTCCGGATAGAATGCGTGACGAGTTACGACTCAACTGCAACTGTGAACATCAATCGAAACTGAAAGTTCAGAAGTTGTGACCGCTCGCTGGAAAATTGACCCACTACCGACGGTGACAGTCGCCGTGGCGAATTGTTTTTGTTTGGGCACTGCGCAGACGAAATCGAGAATTTTGGCGATATGAGGTGAGGACTATGCGAGGCGGGGGGAGAGTCTACGCGGTCTTGGTCCCAGTGGCATTCCTTCCTAGCCGACTGCGTCTCTGTAGGAACGTTTCGCCGTCGATGAGCTACACCAGAAGTATCGCGACGGCATATCGCGACGATGGGCGCCGCCGCCTAGGCGCGGGAAGTCTGATCCCGGCTACGAAAGATATAAGACCCACCCCGCGTTACGAAAGTCTTGATACAGTGTATGGTTTTTCATAGTGCAGTGCAACGAACGTGTCGAATACGATGACGCGTGAAATGAAGGGGAAACGACGACCAAACGGGGTTCCACAGCGCGCAGGGTTCGTGCGTATTTCGCGCGCGGCGTCTTGTCGGCGTGCTCATCCATCGCGACGAAAGTGGGCGAGGCCGATGCACGTTGGCTTTTACACGTTCTGCGCGTCGTTCGCCGATCCGGCGTGGGGACGCGGTTCTCGCGCGCGCGTCGCGCGTCGCGCGCGCCGCGAAGGCGACGACGACGACGATCGCGCTTCCGAGACCCTCGTCGCGCGTCTCCGCGCGCGTCGCGTCGCGTGCGGTTCGCGCGACGCGTCGCGCGCGCGCGACTGGGCTCGTTCGGTGCGTTGCGCCGCCGCGGTGCGGTGGCGGCGCGCGCGACCGCGCGGGCGCGCGTTTCAGTGATGGCGTGCGTGATTGCATAACGCCCGTTTCAGTGATGGCGTGTGTGTCTGTTGCGATGATGGTATATATGGCTCGTTTCGAAGTAAAATATGTATATTAGATCGTATTATGATACATTTAAGTCTATCTGTGTGATCCATGGATACATTTTCGTTCGATTGATTTTTTCGGTCGCGAAAGCGCGCGGTCGCCGGGTCAACCAACACCTTCATCTCCGGGGGGGATCGAAGATTGTTTTTTACGGTCGCGCGCGCGGTCGCCGCGGACGCCCCCGCCCTCGTCGACGCCGCGCTGACTGTCGCGCGCTGACTGACGCGCGCTGACTGACGCGCGCGCGATCGAACGCCGCGAGTGGGGAAAGGCGAACGCGCGACGTCGTCGCGCGCGCCCCCGCGCGTCCCGGAGCGAACCGCGCGTCGTCGTCGTCGCCGTCGCCGTCGCGCGCGTACGCTTCGGAACGCGAAAATCGTTTTTCGTCGCGGGGGGACTGCGGTGCGGGTCGTCTCACACTTCGGGACGCCGACGATGGTGTCGTCCGGCGACGCCGACGTCGACGACGCGGTCGAACGACGCCATCGGCGCGGTCGCGGTCGCGCCGTTCACGATCTTCTGCCGTCGTCCTCGACGGCGCCAGCGCGCGCAGCGGCAGATCTCGCGGCGATTCAAAAAACCGATACGATCGACGATCGCGCCAACGCGAAACGCGCGCGAACAGCGACGGCGTCGCCCGACGAGAGTTCCCCTCCCATGATTTCGTTCGACGATATGTTCATCGATGCGCTCGACGGCTTCACGACGTACACCGAGGCGAAAACGAACACCGTCCCGCCGGTTGAAGCAGCAACCGGTCGAGGCGCGCTCCCGAGGCGGTTTTGCAAGAGCTGTCGGAAAGCGCTCGACGTGTTTCGTGATTTCGACGGGGAGCTGAAGACGTGTCGACTGTGTTTGCGCGTGCGCAAGAAGGACGCGAAACGCAAACGCGCGCTACGGCGGGCGGACGCGAAAAGGTCGGGCGACGGCGACGGTAAAAAAGGCGCGGCTTCGTAGAGAAGCTGAACGCAGGGAACGACGACGAGTCGCGGATGCGCGCGAAACGATCGATCTTTGATTCGACGCGCCTTCGGTATAGTAGTGTGTTTTGCTCTGTAGCGACACGGCGATTGGGGTCAGGCTCAACGCGCTGGAGTCGGCGAAGACGGCGCTCGAGCAAGTGGACGTGGACGTGCGCGCGCTCATCGGTGCGCTGAACGCGACGGACACGGTGATGCGCGCGACAAATGCTGAGTTGAAGACACGGTTGGATGCTTTGAATACCACGGACGTAGAGATGAAAGCCAAAGACACCGAGTTGAGCGGGCGAATTGATGCCTTGAACGCCACGGATACAGAATTGAAGACCGCGGATGCGTTGCTGGGGAGCAGAATTGATGCCCTGAATACGACAGACGCGGCGTTGAAAGCCGAGGATGCGAATCTGTCGAACAGAATCGACATCCTGAACGCCACCGACGCTGTACTGAAGGGCGTGGACGACGGCTTGTCGAGCCGCATCGACGCCCTGACGAACATTTACGTCAACGAGCTCAATCTCACGGACGAGCAGCTCATCGTCACCGACGCGACGCTTGGCTCGCGCATCGACAGGTTGAACGAGACGCAGTACGAGCTCAAGGGCATGGACGCGGGTTTATCGATTCGAATCGACGCGCTCGACGACTCGAAAGCCGAGCTGCAGCGCGTGGATACCGAAGTCGCCGCGGTCATAGCGTCTTTGAACACCATGGGTGAGGAGCTCAAGTAGCTATTTTTTTCGAAAACACGAGTACTACTATGGCTACTATCTCTACTCCAACTGGCCGCGAAGCCGCGTGGACCGAGCGACTGGAGTCCGTCAGGAAGGATGTCGAGCGATGTTTTGGTCACTTGAAGAAGCGCTTTCAGATACTTCGCTTGCCATCTAGCGTGATATCGTTCGCCCAGATCGTGTGTCTCCTAAGGTTGAGTCAAGCCTTCGTGAGGACTAACGGCGCCGTCAGTGGTCGGGGCGTCGGTTAATTCAATGTCTCTGTCTTCTTCGTGTGCGCTATTGTCCACAAAGGCGCGCGTCGCAATGCGCGCCAGCACCACGCGCCCGGCGTCATCAAGCGCCCGCCCAACGTATTCAACGCTTGTGTGAGGGCTAGCCGCATTTTAACGTCGCACGCTTGCGACGTTAACTCGGTTTGTTCCGCAACTTCGAGGTGGTTGTGTATGACTCGGAGGCGCGCGACGCCGTTTTCGCTGCGCCTTCTGATGTGCGCATGCTGTGCGCTCGCGATAATTCAATCTCATATTGCTTACAGCCTTCGGACCAGGCATTTCCTTCTCTTTTACCTTGTGACAAAGAAGTGGATGAATCAGTGAATACTGGTATGCTCTGATACTTGAAACCCATGGTCGGGTAATTCTATGTCTCTGTCTTCTTCTTGTTCACATCCAACGTATTCGACACTTGTGCGACAACGAGCGGAGTAAAAATTTGGCTAAATTCCTGGGCAAATACACACGAATGCACACTGGGCGACTCTAGCGGCGCGGCGTGATCAAATCACCAATACGTTCCGTCGACAGAGCTCTCAAAAGAGGTGATCGCCACCACGGCGCTGTATGCCCCATTACCGAGGACGAAAACGAACCGATACTCGCCACCATTTGATACACTGAAAACAACACTGCTCGCGTCAGATCCGTGCGCGAAGATTTTCGTCCAAGATGATGTCGAACTCTCCAAGTACACATCGCATGAATCGTCAAAAATCAGAGACATAGTGTAAGAACCACTCGCCAAGGCGTACCAGCCAGAAATTGTGATCCAATTGTTGTTTGTGCCGTAAAAAGAATCGCCCGACGGTCCGCACGCATCGATCCAGCAGTGCCAGTGATTGCAAAATCCAGTGTTGAACGTTCGATCGGGCTCGTCTTTCTCCAAACACGGTTGACCGTCGATCGTCTCCCATCCGAGACCAATTGACCCCGAAGTCTTTGAGTACGCCATGCCCACCTCTCGCCATGCACCCTCGCCACATTGTGTGTAATCGGAGACCCATGTGGAGGCGGCACACGTAGCGCTGAAAGAAAAGACTCGTTCTTTGACGACAGTTTCCGAAGGACGGCTGCTCCCTGAATATGAAGGTGAACGGTACCACACGTCACTGGATGACGGTCTTCCGCTTTGCGTCGTTTGACTCACCTGATTAGGACTCGGTGGCGGCGGACTCGGTGGCGGACTCGGCGGCGGGCTCGGCGGCGTCTCGCACGTTTCTCCCGACCAAGAGCCGGCACACACGCATGTCCACTGCGTGCCGTCGTACTGCAACTTTTCGCCTCCGGGAGGTATACATTTTGGTGGTAAAGTGCTGTTTGAAAGCGCGTCCACGCGCGCGAGAAGCTCGTTGATTCTGCTCAGCAACGCCGTTTCGTTCGCCTTGAGTTCGGCGTTCGTGGCGTTGAGCGCGTCCAGTCTGCTCGTCATCGCAACATCGCTCGCCTTGAGTTCGGCGTTCGTGGCGTTGAGCGCGTCCAGTCTGCTCGTCATCACGGCACTCAACTCTACTTCCGTGGCGTTCAGAGCGTTCACGCGCGATTCTAAAGCCGCATGCGTCGACTCCACGGTATCAACTCGACTCGAAATGCCCACGCTCGAAGACGCGCCGCAGTACACGTCGCCGTCGACGCGCACCTTTTGTGTCTTCAAGACGATTTCGGCGTCCGTCCCAACGCTCTCCACGTACACGTCGCCGTCGTCGTTGGCGACCGTGACGCGCTTCAGCGTTGAATCGTGCGCCACGGGCTGCGCGGGGCGTCGAAAAGCAAAGAACGCGGTCAGTCGACTCGGGTCGGGCGGTCGGGGCGGGGAGCGAGAGATCGTTCGTTCGTTTGACGACGGTCGGTGGCGCCACGCACCCAGCGTTGTGCGCGCACGACGATCATCGCCGCGGCGAAAACGCTCGCGAACGCGCGGATCGATCGCGCCGCGCGCGGCGTTCGACGCGAGGGGCGTCGACGGCGTCGTCGGGCATCGTTCGCGGGGGGACGAAAGACGCTGTGAGGGTTTCGCCGCGCGATCCACGTCGACGCGAAAGAAGCGCGCCGTGCGCGATCGCGCGGCGTCGAACGCATAGCGGACGTACGACGCGCGCTTCGGCGGCGCGCGCGATGATCAGAGACGTCGCGCGCTTCGGCGACGCGCGTGCGGGCGCGGTGGCAGGAGCGGAGAAGAACGGCGCCACCGTCCGTCAGATTCGCAAAGACTGCGTACCGTGAACGCACGTCGCGATTTCCCGCGCCGCGCGTCGCGCGTCGTCGGGTGCTGTGGACCGACCCCGCGGTTTTGTGCGAAATGAAACGCGAATGAAATCGGCGCGGACGTGATTCGGATGCGGTGGCGTTACGTTCTGTTCCGATCCGCGTGCGCACGCACTTTTGTCACGTACTCACGCACATTTGTGTGGCATGTGATTACTCATGTGTGAAAAAAACGTTCCGAACCGTTCCGCACGGTTGTTCGAGGGTCGTCATCGGCGGAGAACGACGACAAAATTAAGGGGTATAAAGATTAGCGAATATGTAAATGTAAGGAGTAACCATGGGCTCCAACGTTAATCGCCTCGAAATGCTTTCCGTTATCGATGACTTGCATGAAAAGTATCAACATTTACACCATAAATCGAAGCTCTAAACCCTAAACATAGTTTTCGTTTTTTTTGCTCAGGTTTCGCCAGGCACGTGTCAAAAATTGGCAAATTCTGAAACTCGTTTTTTGCTAGGGTTTAGCTTTAACGTCTCCGAACGCTCCGACGGGGAGGCGATGACGCCGCCGCCACTCGTCGACGCCTCCGTCCGCGGTCGTTCGCGTCGACATAGTTCAAGTGGTACCCTTGGACGACGGGCCCACCCGTGCGCACCCACGGGTGGGTGAAGTGCGTTTCCGTGGCGCGCCGTCGCCGTTCGGTCCTTCGCGGGCGACCGTAGCGCAACCGGGCGATCTCCGTGCGGGCGGCGCGACGCGACGCCGGTGCACGCATCGCAAGGGGCACACGCCGGGGGCACGGCGCCATTCGCGGCGAACGGTACGCCACCACACACGTTCGCAGCGGCGGACGGCATGCGTGGGCGGGTTGGAGGCAACGTTGTATTGAAAATTGCGTACAGCACTGTTGGGCAGACCGGCTCGTTGAAGCAGCATACGGATCTACGAGCGAAAGCATTTTCTCCGTCGAATATCATAGGGAAACAGCATGATAGATCAGTTGCACGGTCGAATCACAGTGCTCGAGCATCCTTCAGTTATCATACGTTGAAGGTGAAAATGATTTTAACACTCGTATCCATCGCTATATCCATGGGAAATACACTTGCGAGTGGTAGCATAGCGCTCACCGACGCAACGTTTTCTACTGCGATCGCTAGTTGCCTCGAGGAGGCAGCGTCGGATGGCCTGTGTACTTCTTACGGCTTTGCAAGTGGGTTCGGAGCGATGCCTGATTGGGACACGGGCAATGTCACGAACATGGGTAGTGCATTTTCGTCTAAATACTACTTCAATGCATCCATCGGGAACTGGAACACGTCGCGAGTGACGTATATGGGTTCCATGTTTCAGTCTGCGTATTCGTTTAATCAGGACATCGGGAACTGGAACACGTCGCAGGTGACGAACATGTATTCCATGTTTCAGTCTGCGAATTCGTTTAATCAGGACATCGGGAACTGGAACACGGCGCGAGTGACGTATATGGGTTCCATGTTTCAGTATGCATCTTCGTTTGATCAGGACATCGGGGGCTGGAACACGTCGCAGGTGACGAACATGTATTCCATGTTTCAGTATGCGTCTTCGTTTGATCAGGATATCGGGAACTGGAACACGTCGCGAGTGACGTATATGTATTCCATGTTTCAGGGCGCATCTGCGTTTGATCAGGACATCGGGGGCTGGAACACGTCGCGAGTGACCAATATGGGTTCCATGTTTCAGTATGCATCTTCGTTTGATCAGGACATCACAAACTGGAACACGTCGCGAGTGACCAATATGGGTTCCATGTTTCAGTATGCATCTTCGTTTGATCAGGACATCACAAACTGGAACACGGCGCGAGTAACGTACATGACCAACATTTTCCAAAACGCGACGGCGTTTCAGGCGAAATATACATGTTCGACCGTTCAATCTGGACCCATCGCATCGTGTTCGCAGTGCGTTGCAAACTGTGCCGCTTGTAGTAACACTGCGTCGGGTGTTTGTAGTGTTTGCATGACTGGGTACACATTAGACGGAGGAATGTGTGCGGCACCCGCTGCGGCGCTCACCGACGCAACGTTTTCTACTGCGATCGCTAGTTGCCTCGAGGAGGCAGCGTCGGATGGCCTGTGTACTTCTTACGGCTTTGCAAGTGGGTTCGGAGCGATGCCTGATTGGGACACGGGCAATGTCACGAACATGGGTAGTGCATTTTCGTCTAAATACTACTTCAATGCATCCATCGGGAACTGGAACACGTCGCGAGTGACGTATATGGGTTCCATGTTTCAGTCTGCGTATTCGTTTAATCAGGACATCGGGAACTGGAACACGTCGCAGGTGACGAACATGTATTCCATGTTTCAGTCTGCGAATTCGTTTAATCAGGACATCGGGAACTGGAACACGGCGCGAGTGACGTATATGGGTTCCATGTTTCAGTATGCATCTTCGTTTGATCAGGACATCGGGGGCTGGAACACGTCGCAGGTGACGAACATGTATTCCATGTTTCAGTATGCGTCTTCGTTTGATCAGGATATCGGGAACTGGAACACGTCGCGAGTGACGTATATGTATTCCATGTTTCAGGGCGCATCTGCGTTTGATCAGGACATCGGGGGCTGGAACACGTCGCGAGTGACCAATATGGGTTCCATGTTTCAGTATGCATCTTCGTTTGATCAGGACATCACAAACTGGAACACGTCGCGAGTGACCAATATGGGTTCCATGTTTCAGTATGCATCTTCGTTTGATCAGGACATCACAAACTGGAACACGGCGCGAGTAACGTACATGACCAACATTTTCCAAAACGCGACGGCGTTTCAGGCGAAATATACATGTTCGACCGTTCAATCTGGACCCATCGCATCGTGTCGATCGGGGTCACCATTTCAGAATTCGACCGAGTTGAAGCTTGCGGTCGACAGCTGTTTACTCGCGGATCCAACAGGAAATTGTGATTGCAGAAGTTCTCTGGTCGACTGCCGGGCGGCGAGCGGCGATTCAATATCGAAATGGGATACACGCTTCGTAACGAATATGAGCTCCTTGTTTGCAGGATCAGATCAATTTAACGCAGATTTAGGTGCTTGGAACACAAGTGCCGTTACTTCGATGTCGCACATGTTTCATGGAGCCGCTGCGTTCAACAAAGACATTAGTGGTACGTATAATGCGAATATCTTCGCGTGGGACGTGAGCGGCGTGACGGACATGACTCGAATGTTCGAAGGCGCTAATAGTTTCGCTCAGGACATCAGCTCGTGGAACGTGGTGAACGTCGCGAGCATGGACAGTATGTTTTCGGGCGCAAACGCGTTCAACGCGCCCATCGGCAGTTGGAACACAGACGGCGTGACAAACATGTTTCAGATGTTCCACTCAGCACATGTGTTCGATCAACCAATCGGAAGCTGGAACACGGAACGGGTGACGAGCATGCAGTGCATGTTCATGTATGCGCGTGAATTCAATCAGGATATCAGCTCCTGGAACACGGTCAACGTGGTAAATATGTGGGATATGTTTAATAGTGCGGATGCGTTCAACCAGAACATTGGGTTATGGAACACAGAGGAGGTGACGGATATGAGATACATGTTCTATAACGCGGGTGCGTTCAACCAGCCCATAGGGTCGTGGAACACCGCCAATGTCACGACCATGCGATCTATGTTTCAGGGCGCATCTGCGTTTAATCAGGACATCGGAAACTGGAACACGACTTCTGTCACGGACATGTACAGCATGTTTGGTAGCGCGACGGCGTTCAATCAGAACATCACGGGATGGCACACGCCGAATACTGGTATTACTTGCGATTCATCGCAAACGGCGTGTGGTGATACAGGGTGTTTTGACATCGGTAATTGTGCTGCTGCGATGTTTTCCGGTGCGACAGCTTGGTTAGCGAGGTATGCTCGCATGGATGGGAATGCGTCGAGCACCGATGGACCTCCGTCTCAGTGGGTCGGCCCGACACCATTTTTGAGTCGAGACGCTTTAGTCGCGGCGGTTGATAATTGCTTGACCGAGGACGAGACGGGAAGTTGCGATTGCTCTGATTACGACGTCGATTGTGGCGCCGCCGTAAAGCTGCCGATCACGGAATGGGACGTGAGCCTCATCGTGGATATGAACGAGCTATTTAAGGCTCGAGCAGCTTTCAATCAACCGGTTGGTGTTTGGAACACTAGTAGCGTGACGGATATGAGCGGCATGTTTGAGAGCGCATCCGCGTTTAACCAGCCCGTTGGTAACTGGAACACGGGTAGTGTGACGGACATGAGCGGCATGTTTGAGAGCGCATCCGCGTTTAACCAGCCCATTGGTAACTGGGCCACGGGCAGTGTGGCGGATATGAGCGGGATGTTTGAGAGCGCATCTGAATTCAATCAGAATATTAGTAGCTGGTCAGTCGCTTCTGTGGTGAACATGCAATCCATGTTTTCCTCTGCTTCATCCTTCGAGCAAGACATCACTGGATGGATTTCAACTAGTGTCACGACGGACATGGCGACGGACATGTTTCTCTCTGCGACAGCTTGGCTGCGAACATTCGCACGCACAGATGGCGAAGACACCCCCCATGGTCCACCATCCGATTGGGGCGAACCGTGTGGCAATGGGTGGTACGATGAGAAAGTTCAGGGGGAGAAGGAGGATGACTTTTGTGAGCCAAAAGTGAACGGGATTGAAGTGAAAGGATGTGCAGATGACTGCAAAGTAAAAACGAACTGGAAGTGCGACAATGTCGACTTGCTACGCCCCGGTGATGACTTCGACAGCTACAATTGTACGTGCGACAACCCGGTGGGCACGTATGCATCACCTAATCTTGATAATGATTGTGCTCGCACAGATTGCGTTTATGTCGAACGGTGTCTCGCTAACGGCCTAGGCTGTGCGCCCGGTGCCGGTGGAATGTGGGACGTGGGACGTGGAACGTGGGACGCGGTGAACGCATGCGGCAAGTGCTTGAGGGCCGCTGATATTGCCGAGCTCCCACTCAACGAACGAAGTAGGCACAACAAGGCTGGCTATTACAAGACTGGGCAGACGTGCACGGCTTGTCCTGCGACATCAGCCGCGGGACTTTTCGCTGCGGCTGCGGTTGTCGTCGTCCTCGCTTTTTGTGGTTTCAAAGCCTCTCAATTGATGGGCGCTCAAGCGACGAACAATTTGAAGAAAATTGTCGAGTCGCTGCAGTTCTTCTCTCTTTCGCTCAGTATGAGTATCAAGTGGCCTGGGCCCGTACTCAATCTCGGTAAATATTTGGAAGCTTTCACGTTCAGCATTGAGTTTCTACGACCCCAATGCGTCGCTGCGGGGCTGGATTGGCTCAATATATTTTTGTCCTCGGTGTTTGTCGTTCCCGCTCTCATCTTCATAATCATCGTCGTGAACAATAGACGGGCGAGGCACCGTTACAAAACAACGGTGCGCGCGATCGACAGTGAACGACACGAGGATGGCGAAACGGTCTACTGGATCGAGAAACCAGGGTTCCTGTGGGGTACGCGGAGAGCTTACGAGTCCAAGGGCGGAGATAAGATTGTTCGTGAGTTGCAGCGCCAGTATCGGTTTCGAGCCGCGCTTCGATCTTTCGGCGTACTGTCACTGACCATCCTGTACCTTCCCATCGTGCGTATGTGCCTTCAGTCATACGATTGCATAAAGATAGACGGCGTGGATGGGCTTCGATTGGAGCATGACATAGATATCCTCTGTGAAAGCGAAGGGCACGTGATCATCCAGGCCGCCGCCGCGGTGATGTTGGCCATTGTCGGTATCGGCATGCCAATTTACGTCGTTATGCAAGTTCGTAAGATCCGTTTGAGTGGTAAACTGGATGATCCGCAGACTATCGACTCGTATGGTCCGTTCTACGACGTCTACCGGCGCGAGGAGCTCACACATGATCACAAATTGGAGATTGCGAGGATTCGACAAACCGCGGTCGAGTCGTCCTCATTTCGACGAGGCGAAGGCACGAGCGACGAACGTCCTTTCGATGCAGCAACTGATGATATTGCAGAAGAAATCGCAAATGAAGTCAGGGTCGACACGGAAGAAGATTCAAGCGACGTCGATCGTGTTGACGTCGAGGACGATAGTGGCACTCCACCACCTCAGAAAGTTTCATCCGGTCTCGGTAAGCTCGCTCGGGCGTTAACGATGACGAAGTCTGCTTTAGGCCGGACGACGTCAGCGAAAGCGCGCGAACGGGCACATCGAATGCACTGGAAGGACAGGTTCGCGCTTCACTACCTGGCCGTTGAACTAGTGCAGAAGAGTTGCGTCATTTTGACGACGTCTCCGATAGTGGCCGAAACCGCGGTGAGCGGTTGGGCTCTGGTTGTCGTACACTGGTTTACCGGCGCCTTCGTCTACGTGTGTCAGCCTTGGCGCATCATGACGCTCGGCTTCGGCAAATACAAGGTGCGAAATTGCTTGAACAAAGTCGAGTCCTTGGCTGGATTTTTGCAGGGCGTGGGACCGTTCTTGGCAATGATCTTCCCTGTTCAGAGAAACGAGTTCGGTGAGGTGAAGCAAACTGTGACACTCTCAGCCATAACTGTCCTGCTGACCATCATAATCACCGGGCTGCTTTCTATTCGTATCATTGTTTTCGTCGGCGAACGCGTCGCCGTCAAACGAAAGAAGATGGATATCGACAAGGATCCCGAGAAATGCATGCAAAATGTTCACAAACAACTGGTCAAGCTCGCAACCAACAGAGCGATTGTGAGCATGTTTGCTTTCAAGGCAGATTTCGACATTAAGCGCCGTAAAGCACGCGCGAGGCTGGAAGATACTCGCCAAGCGATGTTATCGCGCATCGATATCTTGAAGTCACAACAGACCGACGAGGACCATTCCGATAAAATTACCGCGTTGTACGAAGTGGCGAATGAAATGGCACACATCGTGAATACGATCGTACCCCAAGCACCGCCAACAGGTCCAAACGCAGAAGGGTGTATCGAATTGCTGGATGAACAACTGGCATCAATTCTCAAGGACGTCGACGTCCGAGCGCAGGCGAACGCGTTAGACGCTCCGAATTCTGCGGCGGTACATATCGTGATGAAGGTCCACGCGTTCGATACAATCATATGTCGACTTGACGAACATTTGCTCGAATTCGCGGCGGCAGAACGTGTGAGTGAGCTCGCCGAGCTGGGTCGAAGACACGCTGAATTACGACATACGCGACGTTGTGTCGCGATAGGTTTCGGCGACGCAGAGCTTCGAGCTACTTTCGATGCGCTAAGATCGTGCATCGAGGCACTCCGCCATGCCGTTGAGAACGACGACTTCGAAGCTGTATTCACAACTTTCAATGGTGGGAAGGAGATCATTGATTCTCACTTACGATGGTGTCGGGATCAATGTGAATTGTTCAAGAGCGCCGAGGACGAGCACCCCGATTTCCTCGAGGACGAGCCTCCACTGACGACCGAGTTTTTCAAGGCGACAGTCAAGGTGATACAATCCCATGAAAAGCAACTGTCTAAATTTAAATCGGAATGTATTCGTAACTGGCCCCCGCTTTTCAAGAACTTTGGCCGCGTCAAGTACATACAAGGCTTTGCTGAGCAACTTCAGAATCAACTCCATCTCGATCTCAATGAAAGCACGCCGGAGGAGGCCAAGGCTGTTTTCGATCAGGTGTTGGCCTTCACAGATGGCTTCGCGCTTTGGTGCGGCGATTTAGTGGCACAGGTCGAAGGCTCAGATGTCTTCATCTTGTTTGAGCCAATCGCCCGCGCGATGGTGGAAAGCTTGAAAGCCATCAGAGCAGACGCTGAGTCGCAAAGTGCACTCGCGAGGCAAGCATTGAGTACGATAGATTATGTGGTGACGCAACGGGCGTTGGCCGCAACGACGCGGTCGGGCTTGCAGACAGCACTCGCGGATGGTACGTCTGCGCTTGAAGACCAGCTCGCCGCAGAAATTGCAGACATGGACGCTGCGAAGATTTCTCGAGAGACTACTTTCGAGACCGAAAAGATGCGCACCGAGGAAGCTTTGAATACATTAGAGCAAGAGTTGGACGGTAGGCGAGCGGTTTTAGAGGACGACATTCGATCGCAACAGGACACTATCGCGCGGCTACAAAACTTGAAACGGGAAGAGGCCGCGGCATCGAGCTCTATAAACCCGTTGAAATGGGAGCGTTTCAGTCGAAGCACTGAGCTCGCCGAAGCTGTAAGTGCACTCCGTATGAGCAAACAAAACTTGAAGAATGAAGAGCTTGCAAATGAGAAGGCCCGCGGGGATGCGCGTAAGGCGGTTCATTCGTTGGAACGGGGCCTGAAAAAGGACCTGGTCGAATGTGACGTCCGAGCAAAGAAAATCCGAGACGATGTGGCAAAGGAGCTGAAGAAACAAACTATGGATGCTCAGAGGAAGACACCCGAAGATGCTAAAGCCCATAAGGCTAGTCTGGCTTCCAGGCGCGCGGTGTTCCAGCAACAACGCGCCGCCGCTAAACTCATCGCGAGCGAAAGTAGAGAAGCTACGCGAATTCAAGCACAGCTTGCATACTACATGCGAAATTTAAAGGCGCGCGAATCGTGATATAACGGTCGACTACGAGGAATACACGCATAGTCGAAACATGAGCACCCTGTCGCAGAAGGAGCTGAGTTTCCGCTTCGTTACGGATGAGATTGTGCGAGAAGACATGCCACATTCAAATTCGGGGCGATGGCTCACAAATCAGGCAAGAGAAGACAGGTGCACGTGCAAACTCTCAGCGGAACGAGTTGGTCGTCTCGAAGATCTCGGTGTTTGGTGAGACCAAGCCGACGCACAGGAGGAGCACTTCGATGCCTGGAGGTACAGAAGATGTAACTCATCTTAAGCGTACGACTATTCAGACCTTGGGGGTTCCGCTTAAGATTTCTTCGGAATGGAATCTCTGAACGCAAGGCGTGGATGTACATTAAACCATGAACGAGGCGGGCCACGGTTCGATTTTTTGGATTACAAGTGTAGGTCTACTTTTACGTTTCGTGGACTCTGCTTGAGTCGGCCGATGTCACCATGTCAGTCAGGTGCTTCGAGTGCACTAGAGACGTGACCGCCCATACACAGGACGTCGAGCTCGGCGTGCCTGATTTCACGACTCGGCGACCATGGTTTGAAACCGAAATGACCATCGGCTTCAGGCCCAGGCGCGGCCGCAATGCTACTTTAAACTTAATATTTTTTTTTTGAAAAAAGAGTAGTAAGAGTAATAAAAATAAACTTTTTTTTGTTTGAGTTGGGGCACCCCAACATGATAAAACCGCACATCGCGGCGAGCCGCGCGACGACGATCACTTCGGTCACATTTCCAGTCAGTGATTCTCGTCGTGTGATTCATCGTGTTTGACGTCGACGTTGATGTACCACATGTAAGATCTCTTCAGAACCAATCGTGTGAGTGAAGTGTTCAGGCCAAGTCGCGTAACTCATCTAGCGTAAATTGATACTTGTCGAGACTGCGCTTTGAAGGCAGCGTGCCACGCGCTCGAGCATTCTTGAGGCACGTCTTACGCAGTATTCTTTTCGCGTGCTGCTTGTAATAATTGAGTTGTCTGTAGTTACCATCGCCGCCGTCACGCTTCGGCGTATATTGGGCTCTGCTGTAGGCTTGACTCTCGTCCACGTTCTCGTGACACGCGTGTTTCTGGCTGCGTCCAGCAGCTCGGGAGTTGAATAAGCCGTCGCGCTTCTCTCTCATGTATGCACTTTTACGTTGATGGAGCTCTCCAGCTGGAATGTCCTTTTCGAGAACTCTCACGTCCGCGTCGCCAAACGTGAAGATTGGATGTCGTGCGTATTTATGCGAGGCAAGGCGCGCTCTGAGCGAACCTGTCGTCGATCCGATGTACGTTTTGTCACATTTCGCATTATCGCTAAACATTTCGTACACGCACCCCGTAGGCATTTGTCCTGGTTACCTATCCATCCCTAAGAAAATATTGTTGCCTCCTCCTGCGGTTTGCAGTCACATTCGAGAGACCATAGGTACTCGTGTCGCTGCGTGGGGTGCAAGGTCCGGGGTGTAGATATCGAACCGCCTGATTTCACACCTGGACGTTCGTGATCCGACGAGACCTGACGAAATGACGAACTTGTTTTGTCGTCCCCAAATTCGTCAGCCCGTCGTTCGGTCACACTTTGTGTGTACCAATGATGAAAATGACGAAATGTTAAAATATTTTAATGTTTATTTTTATTTTAGATCTATGACAAGCAACAGTGTAGACCTTTATGAAAACAGTTCGTCATTCGTCATTTCGTCAGGATCCAAACCATGGTCTTTTCGGTGTCTTGTTGAGTCTTCATATTGCAAATGTACGAATCACAAAATTAGTATGAACACCAGACGACCGCCGGCGCGAGCTCCGTCTCCCCCGTGTACCCATTGTTCTTCAGCCACTCGAAGCACCCGTCGCGGTCAATTTCCCAATAGACGCCCTTCTCGTCCCTACCTTGCCTCAGGTGGTCCTCTTCCATTGGGATCCTGTGGCCCTTTTCCTTCTTGAAGAAGTCCTTGAGCTTATTGCCGACCTTCGTCGCGCTATCTTGTCCACGCGCAGCCGCTGGCAACCACGTCTGGTATTCGATGAAGATGTCACTGTTGCGGATTTTATTTCCAACCCACTTCTCAGGGAATTCAACAGTGACGCAATGCTCAAACCATCGAGTGAACTTGGGCATGCAGCCACGCTTCATTTCCGAATACGCGTCGGTCGTAGGTCTCGTGCGCTCCACATGATAACCGGTACGGAGAAGTTTATATTTATTAATTAAAGACTCGCGCGTGTTGGCGCTAAATGATTTTATTGCTGCCGAGAGACTCAAGTTTGGCCGTCGTTTGAGTCGCATCGATGGGTCGCGCCCGCCGATATAACGCCGGCGTTTCGGACACGATCTTGAAAACAAGCACTGGTTGACTTGATTGATTAGGAAACCTTATCCGTGCCTTTTACGCTGAGCCCGGTCATGGACGGCTTCGTCGGCATGGTGAACGCGGTGTAGTCCGCCGCCGTGGGCACCGTGATGCTCGTGTCGTACGACATCCCGGAGCACGCCGACGCATCGGCGGGAGCAAGCATTTCGACACCACTTTCGAGTTTCAAGACGTACCGGTCGCCAGTCGATGGTTGTTTGAACGTGGTGCCATCGGGGATCAGGACATCCGGACGGCGATGGTAACCATTGTTGTCGTCGCACTCCTCGTTGCCATACTGGTCGACCTCGGGCGCCGCGCGCGAACCAGTCATCGGATTGAAGCAAATGAACGGCGCGTCGCCCAACCAACCGCCTTCGTAACGCACGTTGAGATTCACCCCGGAGTAGTCGGTACCGGATGGAGAGCGCAGCAACACGGCGTCCGTGGGTATCTTGCCTTGAAGCTGGAGAGGCGCATCCATGAACTTCTTTGACGCGGAGTCCGAAGGATCTTCGAGCCACGCCATGCCCTCCCAATTGCTTGAGCTCCACTCGTAGTGCACATCCAATTTGTTGGGTTCCTCGCAAACGTCGGTAGTGGCGGTGCAACTCAAAGTGTCGAGGTTCGCAGGTGTAGCTTCGAAGAGAACCATATGAACTTCTCCCGAGTCAAAGAATGAGTTGGTTGGGTCCATTACGACTTCAGCGCCGAGGGTGCCGGAAACGTCTTCCTTCAACGAGCCGGTATCTTTGTCGAAGACGTACTTTTTATAAGTGCTTCGAGCGTCGTTGTATCCGTTCGGCGAGCCGTAGAACTGGCTGTCGTGACTGCTCGCACTCGATAGCTTCGTCTGGTCGATACACCGCTCGCCGCACGTGAGTGCGAGGTGGCTGCTGAGCGACCCAGGGGGGACGGTTTGCGCGTCAGACACTTTGAAGTGCGTCAGGTTAAGCAAACTCGCAGAGCCTCGGCCGAAGATGCTTCCCCAGCAGCGTATGATTTGGTTGTCAATGTCAGCCATCGTGAGCGCACGCGGAGTCGTGATTGAGTTCGTGTTCAGCGATCCACCGTTCCAAGTTCGCTTCGACGACAACACGAGTGCGTTCGCGTCGGAGTCATACCTGAACTTGACCTCAACTTCTGCAGCGTTAGTGTCATCCCAGAACCAGCCTGTGATCGTCGCCCCTTGGTAGTCGCTTGCGCTTCGCACCGTCGCCGTGAACTTGTACAACACCCCGCGTGAGACTTTGAGCCTCTTGTTCACGTTCAGTATCGGATCATCCCAATCGACAATTTCCTCTACTACGTTCCCGTCGGTGAACGCGGTTTGAGCGATAGTCTTCTCGGCGGTACTGAGCGCGGTGTCGGAAATGTAGTCGTAATCGGAAATGTAGAGATTGCCCGGATAGTGCAGATCAGCATTATACGTCTTGCCGTCGCTGCCTGTAGCCTGAAGATGCACGTAGCTTTGAAGGTTCACCTTCGCCCCGTTGCTGTCGTACGCGCCGTAGCGCTCACCGAAGAACGATCTGTTCTCGAGTTCATCGCAGAATGACTGCCCGTACGCCTTCGTCTTGACGAGCGTAGCGGTAGTCACCAATTGACCCGCTTGTGTCGAACCATTATCAAAGTCGATGGTCTGGAAAGAGGCCTTCGTGATGTCGTTTTCTGCGCGCGATTTAGCACCCGCGGTGAATGAATTGCTGCCTCGTGTCACCTCTTCCCACCACGTGACCCCGGTCGCCGTGCAATCCGAATCCGCGTCGGTGGTTTCGCACTCGCGACGAACCACACCTTTGATGCGTTGGGACGCGGTCGAGCCAGTCGGCGATTGGTACGTAAAGGTAAAGTTTTTCACCAAGATTTTGTCAGACTTGATGGCGACGTCATCGCGCTTGACGATCATTTCCGTGTCGATGTTCGGCATTTCTGGGGTATCGCTGAGGGCTACCCAGACGTTCGTCTTGAAATCACGGGTATCGCTCGCGTCGTCGATGTCTGGGCCCGTGGCGTTGACGACCCAACGGTACGTAACCTTACCCTTGATTCGGTCGCCGTCGCTGTTGTCACAGTGGAAAGGATCGATCTCAGCGATGTATGGGCCAGTGTTCAGGTTCGCCGTCCAGTTCACCGAGGCGACGTAGCAAAGAACCATGTTTGGTATCTGGAAAATTTCGGTACTTACAGCGTCGACGAACGTCTCCGCCGGCGGCGCCGTGGCGTAGTCGGACGTCGAAGAGAACGAAGACACTTCGAGAGGCGTCACCTCGACGAGCGAACGACCATCGATTCGAGACGAACCAGAAGACGTCGTCGAAACACCCTCTGACGGGATCATGGTGACTTTACGCGGCGTCAACGCCGCCTTGAGCGCGTTCGTCTTCGCCGCGCCCGACAGCCCGCTGACGGTGGTCGGGGTCGGGGCCGGGGCCGGGGTCGCGTCGTCATCCCTGAGCCCGATGCCGAGGCCGGTGCCAAGGGCGACCACCACGGCGGCGACACCAACGATCGCGATCGCAACGCCACGTCTCACCATCGTCGCGCGTTGAAATGCGGCGACGACAAGTGGCGACGGTGACGCGATCTGCCCGCACGCAATTCAATTCCTTCGGGTCACCTTATCTTTTGGAGCCCCCGGAAACGCGACTGTTTACCAATACGATGGTTCCCGGGTATTGATTACTGGGCCTGTTGGCGCCCCGCGGGTGTGTGTGTGCCAGCCCGTAGGGTTTAAGGTTTAGGATCCGAAATATGGAGCCTCGCTATTAAGCCGGGGATCCTCCGCGGGCACGCGCCCCCGCGGGCGTGTGTGTTTTCGCGGTCGGTCGGACGGGAAGCCTGTTGGCGCCCCACGGGTTTGTGTGTCGGTCCTTAGCGTTTGGGGTTTAGTATCGGACATACGGAGCCTCACTATTTAGCGGTATGACCACATATATTAATTGATTTATACCATTCATCCCGCGCATAAAATCGGGTAGATTACTGTACAGTAATCTACCCGACTTTATGCGCGGGATGAATGGCATAAATCCCATAGTATATGGGGACCGGACCGGCGGGACGTGTGATTTTTTACCGTAGGGGTCATGATTGGTCGTTCGGGGGTACTCGTATGAAATAATGAAACACCATACTTTTATTTACATTTTGGTTTATTAAAAAAACCCGTACGTGCATTTACTACAGAATTGACCACTTTTCGCGCGGGTTTCACCAGAAAGCTTCAAAAATCGTGCCTTTTCTAAAACTCAATTTTCGCTAGGGTTTAGCGCCCCCGGTTTTCCGAGGATGCGGGCAGATCTCGCCGTCGGCGCCACTCGTCGACGACCATGGCCTCCCCGTCGCTCGATGCCGTGCGTTGGAGCGAATACCGGGCGCTCATGCAAGCGTGGGAAGCGTTTAACCCACACAGGGAGCTCCTGCGTCGGTTTTTACAGAAGCAATCGCACACGGAGCAGTGCCCACCCGGCGTCCCGTACGTACCAGATCTGCCGGAGCCGGAGTACTTCGCCGTGAAGAGACGAATCGAGGCCGGGGAAACCGTTCCATGTCCTGGATTCTTACGCGAACGCGACAACCGGCGCAATCAATGCCGCTGCGGGGCTCCACTCAGAGTTGATGACACTGGCAATATCTCCTGCACTTCCAAAATTCCCCGTCATGAGAACTATGGTCCTGTACCTCGTTGCTGTTGCTGGGCCGAAGAAGAGCACGCTCGTAACCAACGACATGACATGCCGCCGTATATTTTAAGGCCGCCACCCATAGTGTCCCCCCCTCAAGTACCACCGTCGTCTCAAGTGCTCTTGAGCTTTTTGGAGGGGGTCAGGCCAAGCATGAACGCCAACTACCTGCGATGCGTTCAAGACATAGACGAAGAGCTCGCTCGTCTGAATGAGCAGCTTGCGGACAACAGCATTTCAACGACGAGGCGTGAAGCGATTCAACAGCATATAGTGAGCGAACGCTCCAAACTTGAGGCCAAAGACACACAGTTACAAGATTTTTTTAACACGACGACCGCACTGGCAGAATCCGTGCACACGTTCGAGCACAGAGTGGCAGAGAAATACCAGAAAGCTGTGGATGCATACATTAAAGCGCAACTGGATGAAGTGGTCGTACCTCCGGATAGTAGAGGGAATCCAAAGTTTAAGGACTCAGTCGATGGCATCGACAGAGAGTTGGCCAAGTTAGAATCAGAAAATGGAGGCATCTCCAACGACAGCGCTCGCGCTCGCGTCGCCTCCAAACGTAAGAGCGTGGAAGAGTGTGAATCAGAGCACAAGCGCCTCAAAACCACTTCGGTTGAGTACAACTTGTCTATTTTGAAAGGGAGTTTGGAAAAAGACAAATCTATGTCTGCTGAAGACAAAAGACGCTGGGAATGCGTCATAAACGCCGTCGGGTTGTTACGAGCAAACGATGCACCAAGAACGCCGTAGCAACAGTATGGGCAAACAGTTAGGCGTTCTCCATGGCCTCCATTCGCGCGACCAGAGCGTTGACGCGCTCTTCGAGTTCGTCGATGCGGCGTTGTTTAGCGTCGTTCGCGCTCTCTACATCGGCGCGACATAGAATAACGATAATCTATATCTGCTATATCTGCTTAATATTCTGCTTAAGATTTCGGCACCCTCGCTTAAGATCTCTTCAGAATGGAATCTCTGAATGCAAGGCGTGGATGTACATTAAACCATGAACGGACCACGGTTCGATTTTTTTTATTACAAGTGTAGGTCTACTTTTACGTTTGGTGGACTCCGCTTGAGTCGGCCGATGTCACCGTGTCAGGTGTTCAGAGTGCACTAGAGACGTGACCGCCGATACACAGGGCGTCGAGCTCGGCGTGCCTGATTTCACGACTCGGCGACCATGATTTGAAACCGAAATGACCATCGGCTTCAGGCCCAGGCGCGGCCGCAATGCTACTTTAAACTTAATATTTTTTTTTTGAAAAAAGAGTACTATAGTACTTTTGGTGTTTAAACGTGTTCGTGATATGATTGATAGTCCGTGATTATACGTCGACTTTTGCGGGCGCCTGTTGGACGTAGATGACTTGCGGCTGCTGCGGCCGCGTCGCCACGGCGGTGGCGATGAGCTGGTCGCGTCGGTACGCGAAGCACCCGCACCGCCCACAGTAGCAGCACGAGACGATGAGCAACGTCAGGCCGACGACGGTACCAATGATGATGCCCGCGATCGCGCCACCGTCTGGTTTACAGCAGTCGTCACCGCAGCATACGTTTTGGCCGCCCGTGTACATACTGCACCATTTACCGCCTTTTTTGTGGAGTGGTGGGCACCCGTGGGCGCCGTCCCAGCATTTGGCTCCATTGGCAACTTCCGTGGCGATTTCTGTTCCACACGAGGTGTAACTGGAAATTGTGTCCGTACACTTGGACGGGCACGATTGGTCGATCGAGTTGCCATACGGTGGCGGTCCCGCGCTGCACCCGAAACAGTCTGAGCACACACCGACCGTCACGCCGTTGTAGGTCCCGGTGTTGTAACAGAACTCTTCGCTCGATGCCCAGGGGTTCGCGCTCGCGTAGCCGCTCGAAACAACGCAGTCGGTGTGGGTTGAACACGTGTCGCCCGCGTCCGCGCGCGCGGTGTGCGCGACGGCGAGGCCGAAAACGAACGGTACGAGGAGGTTCTTAAACATCTTTGGCGTGGGTTTATCTCGCAAAAGGATTTCAGCGAGGCTTGAGGTGCGCCGCAAAGTGAGGCCCGGAGATCCGGGGATCCTCCGCAGCCCCGCGGGCGTGTGCCTGGCGTGTGCCCTTCGCGGTCGGTCGGACGAGGGGCCCGTTGGCGCCCCGCGGGTTTGTGTGCCAGCCCCAGGGTTTAGGGGTTAGGATCGGACATATGGAACCTCACTAATTAGCCGCATGACCTCATACATTAAGTTATTTATATCTAGTCATCGCGCGAAATGGCGTGGGTAAATTACCGTACTAGGGTTTCCGTAAATAAAATACGTACCGAAAATAATGAATTAATTTACACGGGCGTGCCACGACGTCGTCGCACGCGCTCGTGAAAATTTGGTTGACGGCTTGGATTCGAGATTTTGGGGAGGTAAAATTCGGCCAAATCCCGCGCATATATTACTGTACAGTAATCAAAGCGCGGGATGTGGCCAAAGTCTTTGGGTCACAGCCCCTCACTTTGGGGGCTGCAGTGACGGGATGTGGGAATTTTACCGTATGGGTCGTGACTCGTCGTTGGGGGTACTACTATGAAATCCCATAATTCTATTGTACATAGGGTTTAGAAATTAGGGTTTAGACGTCAAAAATCGCTCGGGTTCCATCAGAAACGTGTCAAAAACGGGCCTTTTCTGAAACTCGATTTTTGCTAGGGTTTAGCGCCCCCGGTTTTCCGAGGATGCGGGCAGAGCTCGCCGTCGGAGCCACTCGTCGCCGCACACGATGACCGATTCAGTCGCGCACGCCTCACCGACATGGAGAACGTACTCATTAAACCCGTCGCTGCAACCGGACTGGATGAACGGCACGGCGGAGGTAGAGGCGGTCAAAACAGCGGAGGATGATCTCGAGCGCTCGTACAAGAACAAGCCGTTCTTCAAGGACGCAAGCTACGAGGCATTCGCCAGACAACGAGACGAGTATGACAAACCGACGCCCGACGGCCTCGAGGAGTTCAAGCGCATCTTACGGTCGAATTATCTTCGCACCGTAGAGCGCATCGATAAAAATATCCAAGTTCTGGAAGCCCAGCTACAAGACGAGAATATCTCTGAAACGCGACGGTCGGTTATCCCGCAGCACATCGAGGACACTCGTGCGAAATTAAAAGAGCAAGACAATTCATTGAACGCGCTGTGCGCCGATGTGGATGCGGTTATCGCAGATTTGAAAGGCTTGCCCGATAAAATTGCCGACATTAAAGAGCGCGCCTCTGAACAACTTCAGCGACACAAAAGAAAAAGGACTAATGCATCTTTGGAACGCAACCTCGAGGAGTTGAGCGATGCGTTGCGCAGCTACGAGGCGAAAAAAGAACAGGAGAGGCTCACCCTTTGTGAACACCAAATTCGCCAACAGAATCTGCCATTGTCCCAGTATGTTCGCTACTCAGGGGGAGGAGTTATCGACGTTGTTCATCCTGTGGGTGTCATCGGCTGCGATGGTAGTAACCTCAGCGTTGATGGTCGTGGTGGTCGTGGTGGTCGTGGTGGTCGTGGTGGTCGTGGTGATCGTGTTCTTTCGGTTAATCGTCAACGTTACTTTGAAGTGCCACAATGGCGGCCTGAATGGGGACCTGAGAAGCAATTTTGTGCGTGCAAGAGCTTCCAAGAATGGTACAAAGTCGACGCCGGAGACCTTCTTTACAGCGCGCTTCGTGGCGTAGAGGGCGCGCTAAAGGCGCTCAGTGGTTCGGGAGATGACACCTCTTCGCTTCGACGGCGCTTGGGCGATGCCAATTTGGACGAGGCAAGCACAGGGAGTTAATATATGTGGACGTATATTTTGTTGTCCACGAATGGCGCGATATAGAATAACGATATCTAGCCGCTCTCCACCGCCTCCAGTCTCGACACAATGTCACTGAGCTCACTGCGGAGTTCGTCGATTTGCTGATCTCTCGATGCAACGGCGGCCTCTAAATCGGCGATTTGAGCGTCGTGCTGTTGCTGTATGCGGTCAACTTCCTGTAATGCTGCGGTTGAGAGCGTTGAAATTGCCGATTCTTGGAGGTGCTTGAAATCGGTAACAACCTCACCGTAGACGAACAATCCGCGCCGCGCGCGCGCCAGTCCGGTGCGGGGTCGACCGAACTAGCCGTTGGTCGTAGTTTCCGACCGTTTGAATTTGAATTCGCTGCGCGCGCGGCGCTTGAAGACGACCGTTGGGGCCCAACGAGCATGTAAATCTTTGAGGCAGTTTTCGCCGCGCATGACGCGACGTGGTGTGCGTCGGAGTACGTCTCCGGCCGTCTCGACGGCGCGGAAAGGTTGCAAGAAGTCTCCTCGACGCATTACATTAAATCTAGGGTTTAGAAATTAGGGTTTAGACATCAAAAATCGCCGAGGTTCCATCAGAAAGTTGTCAAAAACGTGGCTTTTCTAAAACTCGATTTTTACTAGGGTTTAGCGACCTCCGGTTTTTCGGCGGAGGAATTGCGTGCGGGCAGATCTCGTCGTTGTCGCCACTCGTCGACGCGGCGATGCTCTCAACATGGCAAAGGTGAAGATAATGCTAATATTGTCGATGGTGTTGATACTGCGCATGCCGAGCGCACTCGCAGGCGCACTCACACACGCACTCCTCCGTGTGGGTGGTCCACGTGTAAGGCAAGCTGTCGAAAAAGGGATGAAACAAGGCATTATGGATTCGTTTCCAGGAGGCGTCCAGGACCTCCTCGCATACTTGCACCGCCACAGAGAGGACGAAATCAAACAGGAGTTTGGGTGCATGGCGCTCATGATCATGTGCCGGGAAAACACTGAGAACAGACGCATCGCCGGAGAGCAGGGCGCGATCCAGGCCGTCGTGAACGCCTTGAACCGCCACAGAGAGAACAAGGAAGTGCAGAGGGACGGACACATGGCGCTCGTGATCATGTGCGAGGACAACACCGAGAACAGACGCATCGCCGGAGAGCAGGGCGCGATCCAGGCCGTCGTGGACGCCTTGAACCGCCACAGAGGGAACAGGGAAGTGCAGAGGGACGGACAACTGGCGCTCGCGATCATGTGCAAGGACAACACTGAGAACAGACGCATCGCCGGAGAGCAGGGCGCGATCCAGACCGTCGTGGACGCCTTGAACCGCCACAGAGGGAACAGGGAAGTGCAGAGGGACGGACAACTGGCGCTCGCGATCATGTGCAAGGACAACACTGAGAACAGACGCATCGCCGGAGAGCAGGGCGCGATCCAGACCGTCGTGGACGCCTTGAACCGCCACAGAGGGAACAAGGAAGTCCAGGCGAACGGGCACATGGCGCTCGCGAGCATGTGCATTAACAACACTGAGAACAGACGCATCGTAGACGCGTATGGGCAAACAGTTAGTTATTCTCCACAGCCTCCATTCGCGCGACCAGAGCGTTGAAGGACAGCGGGCGCAGTGATGATGCGCAAATAAACGCACTGTACGCGATTGCAAACGAGATGGCGCACGCTGTGAACATGATCTCGATTCAAGGTGTCGCTGAAGGCCCGGGCGTTGAAGAACGAGTAAAACACACACAAGATTTCCTACAGCAACTTTTGTCGGACGTCGACATCAAACTTGAGATCGAAGAAAAGCAAAACGCCGAGGCTCTGCGTGTGGTATTGCGAGTGCACGCGTATGGTCGTGCCATGAAAATTATCGAGGATCACATGCTAGAATATGCGCGCGCTGAACAAGTGGAGGAGCTGGCCGTGCTCGGACAAGAATCTGCGGCACTGTTAGAAGAACAAAACCTCCTTTCCATGGGTTTTGGCGTCAAGGAGCTGAATATGTCGATACTGGCAATCGACGCGGAGCATTTCACTGTGCACCTAGAGAAAGCTACTTCCCTGGACGAAGTCGGCAGTGCTGTGGCCATTCTCAACGCCGTCAATTCCATTGCAGTCCGTCATCTCGAGTGGAGAGATGCGAGCGTTGCAACTTTTAGCCACCTTGAAACCGAAGAGTCCATTGGTATTGAAGTCAAAATCAACAGGGACGTACTATATTCTGCTGCGATGCTTCTGAAAGATCACGAATCCCAGCTGAACCAAGAACTGGCGAGGCGCGCGCGCGAATGGAAGCTTCTGTTTAAGAATTTTGGAAAAGTGAAATTCAACCAGACGCTTGAAGAAATGGTTCAGGTGGAGCTCACCTCGCCTGAAGGCGCGGACGCTGATTTAACACGCCGTGCTAAAAAATTTGTGGATTGGTGCGTGGAATCTTCACAGCAGCTGAGCCGAGGGGAGTTTAACCAGCGTCTTCCTGGGATTACGGAAACGGCATATATCAGCCTAAAATCCCTCGCACAGAAGTCTGCCAGTTCGCTCGTTAAGATCGCACAAAAAACAGCTGCATCGAGGCGTAGCAAAACAAAGACGTCAATATTCGGGTTTGCGCGCTAAATCCGCCAACCGAACGCCAGAATTGTTATGTTACGCTCGATGATAACATGGTTGGGTTGGGGCAAATGCCCACAAATCAGCGTCAGGCGAAGGAAGACAGGTGCGTCTGCAAATTCCAAATTCTCGGCAGAACAAGTTCGTCGACTGGAAGAGCTCGGCCGGTTTGGAGACAAACCCGCCATATTGGAAGAGCACTTCGCTGCCTGAGGGTACAGAAGATGTAGCTAATCAGAAGCGTGCGACCGTTAAGACCTTGGGGATTCGACTCGCTTAAGATTTCGGCACCCTCGCTTAAGATTTCTCCAGAACGAATCGTGTGAGTGAAGTGGTCAAGCCAAGCCACGCAACTCATCTACCGTAAATTGATACTTGTCGAGACTGCGCTTCGAAGGCAGCGTGCCGCGCGCTCGAGCATTCTTGAGGCACGTCTTACGCAGTATTCTTTTCGCTTGCTGCTTGTAATAACTGAGTTGTCTGTAGTTACCATCGCCGCCGACCCGCTTCGGCGTATATTGAGCTCTGCTGTAGGCCGGACTCCCGTCCACGTTCTCGTGGCACGCGTGTTTCTGGCTGCGTCCAGCAACTCGGGAGTTGAATAAGCCGTCGCGCTTCTCTCTCATGTAGGCACTTTTACGTTGATGGAGCTCTCCAGCTGGAATGTCCTTTTCGAGAACTCTCACGTCCGCGTCGCCAAACTTGAAGATTGGATGTCGTGCGTATTTATGCGAGGCAAGGCGCGCTCTGAGCGAACCTGTCGTCGATCCGATGTACGTCTTGTTACATTTCGCATTATCGCTAAACATTTCGTACACGCATCCCGACGGCATTTGTCCTGATTACCTATCCATCCCTAAGAAAATATTGTTGCCAAAAGTGCTCCTCCTGTGGTTTGCAGTCACATTCGAGAGACCATAGGTACTCGTGTCGCTGCGTGGGGTGCAAGGTCCGGGGTGTAGATATCGAACCGCCTGATTTCACACCTGGACGTTCGTGATCCGACGAGACCTGACGAAATGACGAACTTGTTTTGTCGTCCCCAAATTCGTCAGCCCGTCGTTCGGTCACACTTTGTGTGTACCAATGATGAAAATGACGAAATGTTAAAATATTTTAATGTTTATTTTTATTTTAGATCTATGACAAGCAACAGTGTAGACCTTTATGAAAACAGTTCGTCATTCGTCATTTCGTCAGGATCCAAACCATGGTCTTTTCGGTGTCTTGTTGAGTCTTCATATTGCAAATGTACGAATCACAAAATTAGTATGAACACCAGACGACCGCCGGCGCGAGCTCCGTCTCCCCCGTGTACCCATTGTTCTTCAGCCACTCGAAGCACCCGTCGCGGTCAATTTCCCAATAGACGCCCTTCTCGTCCCTACCTTGCCTCAGGTGGTCCTCTTCCATTGGGATCCTGTGGCCCTTTTCCTTCTTGAAGAAGTCCTTGAGCTTATTGCCGACCTTCGTCGCGCTATCTTGGCCACGCGCAGCCGCTGGCAACCACGCCTGGTATTCGATGAAGATGTCACTGTTGCGGATTTTATTTCCAACCCACTTCTCAGGGAATTCAACAGTGACGCAATGCTCAAACCATCGAGTGAACTTGGGCATGCATCCACGCTTCATTTCCGAATACGCGTCGGTCGTAGGTCTCGTGCGCTCCACATGATAACCGGTACGGAGAAGTTTATATTTATTAATTAAAGACTCGCGCGTGTTGGCGCTAAATGATTTTATTGCTGCCGAGAGACTCAAGTTTGGCCGTCGTTTGAGTCGCATCGATGGGTCGCGCCCGCCGATATAACGCCGGCGTTTCGGACACGATCTTGAAAACAAGCACTGGTTGACTTGATTGATTAGGAAACCTTATCCGTGCCTTTTACGCTGAGCCCGGTCATGGACGGCTTCGTCGGCATGGTGAACGCGGTGTAGTCCGCCGCCGTGGGCACCGTGATGCTCGTGTCGTACGACATCCCGGAGCACGCCGACGCATCGGCGGGAGCAAGCATTTCGACACCACTTTCGAGTTTCAAGACGTACCGGTCGCCAGTCGATGGTTGTTTGAACGTGGTGCCATCGGGGATCAGGACATCCGGACGGCGATGGTAACCATTGTTGTCGTCGCACTCCTCGTTGCCATACTGGTCGACCTCGGGCGCCGCGCGCGAACCAGTCATCGGATTGAAGCAAATGAACGGCGCGTCGCCCAACCAACCGCCTTCGTAACGCACGTTGAGATTCACCCCGGAGTAGTCGGTACCGGATGGAGAGCGCAGCAACACGGCGTCCGTGGGTATCTTGCCTTGAAGCTGGAGAGGCGCATCCATGAACTTCTTTGACGCGGAGTCCGAAGGATCTTCGAGCCACGCCATGCCCTCCCAATTGCTTGAGCTCCACTCGTAGTGCACATCCAATTTGTTGGGTTCCTCGCAAACGTCGGTAGTGGCGGTGCAACTCAAAGTGTCGAGGTTCGCAGGTGTAGCTTCGAAGAGAACCATATGAACTTCTCCCGAGTCAAAGAATGAGTTGGTTGGGTCCATTACGACTTCAGCGCCGAGGGTGCCGGAAACGTCTTCCTTCAACGAGCCGGTATCTTTGTCGAAGACGTACTTTTTATAAGTGCTTCGAGCGTCGTTGTATCCGTTCGGCGAGCCGTAGAACTGGCTGTCGTGACTGCTCGCACTCGATAGCTTCGTCTGGTCGATACACCGCTCGCCGCACGTGAGTGCGAGGTGGCTGCTGAGCGACCCAGGGGGGACGGTTTGCGCGTCAGACACTTTGAAGTGCGTCAGGTTAAGCAAACTCGCAGAGCCTCGGCCGAAGATGCTTCCCCAGCAGCGTATGATTTGGTTGTCAATGTCAGCCATCGTGAGCGCACGCGGAGTCGTGATTGAGTTCGTGTTCAGCGATCCACCGTTCCAAGTTCGCTTCGACGACAACACGAGTGCGTTCGCGTCGGAGTCATACCTGAACTTGACCTCAACTTCTGCAGCGTTAGTGTCATCCCAGAACCAGCCTGTGATCGTCGCCCCTTGGTAGTCGCTTGCGCTTCGCACCGTCGCCGTGAACTTGTACAACACCCCGCGTGAGACTTTGAGCCTCTTGTTCACGTTCAGTATCGGATCATCCCAATCGACAATTTCCTCTACTACGTTCCCGTCGGTGAACGCGGTTTGAGCGATAGTCTTCTCGGCGGTACTGAGCGCGGTGTCGGAAATGTAGTCGTAATCGGAAATGTAGAGATTGCCCGGATAGTGCAGATCAGCATTATACGTCTTGCCGTCGCTGCCTGTAGCCTGAAGATGCACGTAGCTTTGAAGGTTCACCTTCGCCCCGTTGCTGTCGTACGCGCCGTAGCGCTCACCGAAGAACGATCTGTTCTCGAGTTCATCGCAGAATGACTGCCCGTACGCCTTCGTCTTGACGAGCGTAGCGGTAGTCACCAATTGACCCGCTTGTGTCGAACCATTATCAAAGTCGATGGTCTGGAAAGAGGCCTTCGTGATGTCGTTTTCTGCGCGCGATTTAGCACCCGCGGTGAATGAATTGCTGCCTCGTGTCACCTCTTCCCACCACGTGACCCCGGTCGCCGTGCAATCCGAATCCGCGTCGGTGGTTTCGCACTCGCGACGAACCACACCTTTGATGCGTTGGGACGCGGTCGAGCCAGTCGGCGATTGGTACGTAAAGGTAAAGTTTTTCACCAAGATTTTGTCAGACTTGATGGCGACGTCATCGCGCTTGACGATCATTTCCGTGTCGATGTTCGGCATTTCTGGGGTATCGCTGAGGGCTACCCAGACGTTCGTCTTGAAATCACGGGTATCGCTCGCGTCGTCGATGTCTGGGCCCGTGGCGTTGACGACCCAACGGTACGTAACCTTACCCTTGATTCGGTCGCCGTCGCTGTTGTCACAGTGGAAAGGATCGATCTCAGCGATGTATGGGCCAGTGTTCAGGTTCGCCGTCCAGTTCACCGAGGCGACGTAGCAAAGAACCATGTTTGGTATCTGGAAAATTTCGGTACTTACAGCGTCGACGAACGTCTCCGCCGGCGGCGCCGTGGCGTAGTCGGACGTCGAAGAGAACGAAGACACTTCGAGAGGCGTCACCTCGACGAGCGAACGACCATCGATTCGAGACGAACCAGAAGACGTCGTCGAAACACCCTCTGACGGGATCATGGTGACTTTACGCGGCGTCAACGCCGCCTTGAGCGCGTTCGTCTTCGCCGCGCCCGACAGCCCGCTGACGGTGGTCGGGGTCGGGGCCGGGGCCGGGGCCGGGGTCGCGTCGTCATCCCTGAGCCCGATGCCGAGGCCGGTGCCAAGGGCGACCACCACGGCGGCGACACCAACGATCGCGATCGCAACGCCACGTCTCACCATCGTCGCGCGTTGAAATGCGGCGACGACAAGTGGCGACGGTGACGCGATCTGCCCGCACGCAATTCAATTCCTTCGGGTCACCTTATCTTTTGGAGCCCCGGAGATGCGACTGTTTACCAATACGATGGTTCCCTTTTTTCGGTCGCGAAAGCGCGCGGTCGCCGGGTCAACCAACACCTTCATCTCCGGGGGGGATCGGAGATTGTTTTTTACGGTCGCGCGCGCGGTCGCCGCGGACGCCCCCGCCCTCGTCGACGCCGCGCTGACTGTCGCGCGCTGACTGACACGCGCTGACCGACGCGCGCGCGATCGAACGCCGCGAGTGGGGAAAGGCGAACGCGCGACGTCGTCGCGCGCGCCCCCGCGCGTCCCGGACCGAACCGCGCGTCGTCGTCGTCGCCGTCGCCGTCGCGCGCGTACGCTTCGGACCGCGAAAATCGTTTTTCGTCGCGGGGGGACTGCGGTGCGGGTCGTCTCACACTTCGGGACGCCGACGATGGTGTCGTCCGGCGACGCCGACGTCGACGACGCGGTCGAACGACGCCATCGGCGCGGTCGCGGTCGCGCCGTTCGCGATCTTCTGCCGTCGTCCTCGGCGGCGCGCGCGAACACCGTCCCGCCGTTTGAAGCAACCGGTCGAGGCGCGCTCCCGAGGTGGTTTTGCAAGAGCTGTCGGAAAGCGCTCGACGTGTTTCGTGATTTCGACGGGGAGCTGAAGACGTGTCGACTGTGTTTGCGCGCGCGCAAGAAAGACGCGAAACGCAAACGCGCGCTACGGCGGGCGGACGCGAAAAGGTCGGGCGACGGCGACGGTAAAAAAGGCGCGGCTTCGTAGAGAAGCCGAACGCAGGGAACGACGACGAGTCGCGGATGCGCGCGAAACGATCGATCTTTGATTCGACACGCCTTCGGTATAGTAGTGTGTTTTGCTCTGTAGCCTCGCGTGTTGTAACTACCGTTGTACATTTACATCAATGCGTCGTCGCGTTCGCGGCGATTTTACGTCGTCGTTCGTTCGCGACGCTTCGTTGGACATGGCGCTTCGACACAGAAGAATCCGACGCGCGCACAGTCCGTGGTGTCGCGCGCACGTCATCGCACACGTCTCATTTCTTATTTCTCCGCTCCAACTCGCTATCCTTCTGTCATAAAGCACACCCGGTCCGCGTCCGGGACGACGTCCTTCTCGTACTCGACGTTCGCGCAGTACATGTGTATTCGAAACAGCGCGCACCCCGTGCCGCACATGCCCGCGTGCACGTGATCGCCTCGAAAAAATACGACGGCGCCGTTCGGCACGGGCACGAAGTCCGTTGCCTTGGTCGCGTTCATGGGTATCGGCTTCGACACGATCATCGAGATCTGCTTATGGTCGGAACACTTTCGACCGTCGAGATCCGTGTGCCAGTCTTGGCGCTTCGTCTTGCTCTCGCCCTTCGGGGAGTGGCAATAGATGACGCTCGCGCCGCGTCGGTCGCCGCTCTCCTTCAACCCGCTCAAGAGCCACCCCTTGCGCGACGCCCGCGCGCTTCAGCGCGGCGCCGCAGTACGGATGGAACCGACGCGAGGTCTCGGGCGCTTCCCCGCGCGCGTTCACGACGTGCGTCCAGCGACTCTTCGTCCACGCCCCGCCCTTCGCTTCGCGCGCGTCGGTCGAGGGTTGGCGTCGATGATTTCTCGACGGATCGTCTTCATCCGTGCGTCCGTGAGGCACCGCTCGAACACGGCGTAGCGCTCTTTGGACGGATCGAACATGGCCGCGCCGTGTGAGGTGCACTGTTTCCCCTTGATCTCCGCCGCGCTCGCTCCCGCCGCGCGCGCGTGTCCAGACCCACGGCGTACGCGAGACGGCGCGTCGTCGCCGCGCTCGTCGGCTTCCACGCGTTCGGGAACCTGACGTGTTTGGGTAACCCACGAACGGCGCGCGCGGCGAGCGCCTCCAGGCGCGCGCGCCGCGCGGGAACTCTTCACCGTGCGCGCGTTTCCACTCGGCGAACACGCCGAGGGCGAGCGCGACTACGCGTCGACGGTGCGTTCCGCGAGTTCGCACCCGCGCCGGCGACGCCTGATCGTCTCGGCGCGCGATCGTCGCGGCATGGGACGCGTTGGAGGGCGGGGGTCGGGACGCGTCGCGGTTTCCCGCGCCGCGCGTCGCGCGTCGTCGGGTGCTGCGGGGACCGACCCCGCGGTTTTGTGCGAAATGAAATCGTTCGTCTAACCGTACTGCTGCGAGTAGTCTCGGTCGTTCAAGTAAAGGTGGCGCGCCCAGTGCTGGTCGGCCGGAAACACCACGCGCGAGGGGAGGGGCGGCTGAAAATTCGGTTTCTGAGGTATTCTCGAGCGCGTGGTTGTCCCTCCCGAGCGCGCGTTTCGCCGTGGAATCGTCCTTCGTCGAGTGCTCGTCGAAGCGTGACTCACCGTCGTCCGCTGACGTGGCGTCACGAGTCGATACGCGATTTCGCGGGTCACTCTCCCCGATTCGTGAACCGCCAAACGTAAATTAATATCTTTGCGCGCGAAAAAAGATCTTTTGACAGCTGTCAAAAAGCCGTTCGAATGCGCGAACGCTCGAATGGCGCCGCGCCAGCAGTTCGCCGCGCGCGCGACGAGGCGACGAGTCGATCGACCCGATTCATTGATTTCCAAACATCTTTGATTCGCGATAAAACGCTCGCTCGCTCGCTCGCTCGCGCCATGAGTGAACCTACGGAAACGAAAACGGCGGACCCGTTGAATTGGAAGAATGAGGAAAACGTCAAGCGCTTCGTTCGACCGAGTCGCTGGTTGTCTCTCGATATCGCGGGCTACCCGGTGCGTGACACATTTCTGTCGATCGAATTTCGCTCGCGCGTCCTGCGCGAAGCGCGCGCGTAGGACGCGTTTGGGTCGAATGCACCGCGGCCCGATTTTCGAAATTATTTCGCGCGCGATGACACCTTCGTCACGAGTATCGTCGCTTCTGGCGACGTGCGCGCGCAAAGACAACGAACTGGCAAATACAAAATCCATCATCGACTGACTCGCGAATCCCGCGCGACGTAGATGTTGCGCATCAACTGGGTCTCCGCCGCGCTCGCGTCCTCCCTGCTCTGGGGCTTCATCATCTGGGTGCTCGTCGACGAGACGGGATCGTCAAGCGAAGTGACGCGTTGGACGAAGTGGATCACGAGTAACTTTACGTGGCTGTACGTCGTCACGCAGGATGTCTGGTTTATCTTCATCTTGTATCTTTTGGGTACAAAGTACAAAGACGTGAAACTCGGTCGCGACGACGAAGAACCCGCCTTTGACTATTACGAATGGTTTTCCATGATGTTTGCGTGCGGTATCGGCGTTGGTCTGTACACTTTCAGCGTCATGGAACCCATCAGCTACTACCGCGGCGTCGTGTCAAAGCTTCCGATCGTCAACGACGATCAGCGCGCGCAGCAGGCGATCACGCTCACGCTCTTCCACTGGGGCCTTCACGGTTGGATTCCGTACGTCCTCGTCGCGATGACTTTGGGCGTCGTGTGCTACCGTCACGGACGTCCGATGACTATCCGCTCCGCGTTTTATCCGCTCTTCGGCGAAAATATCAACGGTCTCTTCGGCGACGCGATCGACGCGTTGTCCATCGCGACGACGACGTTCGGCGTGTGCACGTCCCTCGGGCTCGGCGTCACGACGATCGCGTCTACGATGAACCGCTTGAACAGCGATGTGGATCCAAACGATGACGCCACCAAGATCCTAATCATCTGGTTGATCACTGCCGTCGCATGTACGTCGGTCATTTTGGGTTTGAAGAACGGCATCAGAAGGCTTTCCAAGATTACGTTCTCCATCGGTCTCATCTTGCTCTTTGGAATCATCGTCGCGGACAACCCTTGGTTCTTACTCAACTCTTTCGTGCAATCGATGGGTCATTACGTGCAATGGGTCACGCAGCTCGGCTGGGACACGGACACGTGGCCCGCGTCCGAAGCCATCATGCGCGACACGGGCGCTTGGCACTACCTCGCTTGGGGCGCCAAGGGTGAGAGCGATGCGATCGCGCGGACGCTTTCGACGCGTGGCGCCACCGCCCTGACCGACACTGAGCTTAACACCATGTGGGGCGTGCGAACCGACGACGGTTTCATGAACACGTGGACCCTCTTCTATTGGGGGTGGTGGATTTCGTGGGCCCCGTTCGTCGGCATGTTCATCGCCAGGATCTCGCGTGGTAGAACCGTCGGTGAAGTCATCAAGGGTGCATTCATCGCGCCTATTTTGTTTGGTTTCTTTTACCTCACCGTTTTGGGCTCCCTCGGAATCAAAATGGAGCGCATCGCCGAGCTCGCGTTGACGACGGCGCCGGCGGACGTCGACTGGCGAAGCGGCGACGTCAAGTGCACCACCCTCGGGTACGCCGCTGACGGGACGCCGACCACCGCCGGATCGATTCAGCTCGCGAAAGAGGGCTACTACGCTCTGTCGTGCCGTCCGACATCGTCGCACATCCTTGACATCGTTGAGCCTTACGGCAAATTATCGACGCTCTTTCAAGCGATGATTCTCATCGCCATCATCCTGTACTTTATCACGTCGTCGGATTCTGGATCGTACGTCGACGACTTGATCTCCGCCATGGGCTACGAAAATCCGCCAGTGTTGCAAAAGGTTTACTGGGCGTGCACCGAAGGCGCGCTCGCGCAAGCTTTGGTGACTTCCGGCGGCTTGAAAGTGGTGCAAGGCGTCTCCATCGTCTGCGGTTTGCCGTTTACGTTTGCTCTCAACTTTATGGTCGTCTCTCTCTGGCGCGCGCTGAAGGATGAATTCAACGACGAGGCGCAACAAAAAACTCGCAAGGGGTTCAATACGTGCATGCTGGACGTCCTCGAAGGGTACGAGCCGGAAACCGCAGGCGCGAACGCGCCGGATCGCAAAACGCGCGTCGTCGCCGCATTGAAAAATTTCATCTACCCGTTCGACGCGATTCGCAAGGCGAAGATCGCCGTGGGGACGGATGAAAAATTTGCCTCCATCAACGCCGCCGTGGTCACTGGCGTGCTGTGGACTGCGATCGGTCTCCTCGCGTCCACGAAAGCCGGCGCGGGCGCGCACTCCGTGGCGTGGCTCTTCTACCTCATCTTGATTTTCTGCATCGCGAACATTCGCCGAGAAGTTCGCGCGTCCAGAAACATTCTCGGTAACATCATGGAGGATTACACCGCCGCTGCTTTGTATCCGCTCGCGCTCGCGCAGATGGAACACGAGGCTGAATCCGACCCGAAGCTGGCGTAGTAACGTCGACGCCGTCCAAGACTTCTTTTTTCCAAACCGTCCTTTTATTAATCGAGCTCGATGACGACGAGTCGCAGACTTTTCGTTCATCAAGAGCAATCAAATCACGTTGGGTGAGCGATCACCGTTCACGGGCCCGCGAGGCCGGTGAGCTTTTACCATCGGTTGACCTGCGTCGTCGTCACCCGTACGCGTTGGAACAAATCATACGTGTTGTGCGTGTTGTCCACCGTCGCCGCTCGAACTGCATCCAGCGTCGACGGTGCTCGTTGTTGTGTTTGACTTTATTACATTTCTCTCATCGGTCCTACGTAATACTTTGGCTGACATGAATTAATTTAATAACCACAAGAAATTTACTTTACGAAACCGTCGTCGTCCGCGCGCCGCGTCCGCGCGTTCGCGTCGTTCATCTTGAAAACACCCGCGAGATACCGATAGATGAATCCAGAGTACGGTACCACCGCTCGCCGGTCTCTCGCTCGCGACGCGTCGCCGACGGCGGTGGACGTCGTGCGACGTTCTGCGTCGGGAACGCGCATGGCCTCCGACGCGCCCGGGACGTAGTTTTCGTCGCGCGTCGTCTTCGTGTCACCGCCACGTCCGACCGATTTCTTTGACGCCTTCACCGACTTGAGGAAATGCTTTTGCGCGTGCGATCTGATTTGCGCCGCCGTCCTCGTCCCGACGTGTGTTTCGATCCGTTTCCAGTCGCGATCGTACAACTCGAGCGCGCGTAAAAACTTGTCGTGTTCGATCCTCGTCCACGGCGCGCGCGTCTTCGTTCGCACGTACGGTTTTCGCGGTTTCTTTGAACGCATCAGCGGCGCGCGCGCCGTGGTGGCTCTCGCCCGCGCGGCTTCGTTCTCGCTCGCGATTTTTCGTACGGCGGCGTCGACGAGCGCCCGCACCGAGAGCGACGACGACGACGACGGCGACGTCGTCGCGTGTTTTTCGCTGTTTGGGCGGTCGTCGTTCGTCATCGGCGACGGCGCGTCGGCGTCTGCCGCGTGACGAACTACAAACGCCCGATGAGACTCCGAGAAGACGACGACGCGCGCGGACGCGCGTCCAATCTCCAGGGCGCGTCGTCATACAACCACTTTATATAGAATAATTCGAATTATTATACTGCCTCAAAATCAATATAATGACGACACGCATACCAGTTTACCGTAGAAATGGTAATAGCCCTTTCGCCAATCGAAGCTCGCGGGTAAGGTCGGTCGATACACACACGTCACGTTTCCTCAGGCTGAGAGCGCCACGCCTTTTGACGCGAGCGATACTGCCTTGAGCCTTTCTTCACGAGTTTCACCGTAGCGCATCGCACAAGAAAACACAAAAACTCAGCCCTGCGTAGACAGACGAGGGTGGCGCCGGAGTATGACGGCGAAACGCGCCGCACGAGTTCAACGGGTTTCTCTCCAGAGCACTGGAACGGCGCGTTTTTTGTCGCGAATCCACGCAGCCCTTCTCTACCGCCGTAAAAGGTAAGTGCTTGTTGAAAAGCCGTGATTGCTTGCTGCTGCGTTGTCGCGTCAGCCGCTTCGCGCACGTATAAGCCCGCCGCGAGCCGTGAAAGTAAACGGGTACTCCGTGATGAGCGCTGTTTTTGGAAATCGGGATCCTCGTGGCTCCCAACGTTGTTAGCGAAAGGATGGAACGTGCATTCAGACCGTCGCCGTGTTCGGCTCCCGTATATTTGCCACGCACTCGTCGTGCGTATACTTCACCTTGTAGTAGGGGTCGTTTTGCTTGCGCTGGTTCGCAACGAAACCCCGGCCGCGACCACGTCGAGCACACGATCGTTGCCGTGATAACCTGCGATGGTTGCGCGTAAAATGCGAGCAGCGCACCGCAGCGAAGGCAGCACCGCTCAACGCGTACCGGAGAAAGGTATACGAAGCGATCGCCGCGGGCGTCGCGAGATACGTTTGGTATCCTAGTTTGAGCGGTCTATCGGCGTCGTAGAAAACTTCCGGGGCGGGGAGTATGGAGTTCATTCAGCCAATGCTTACTCGCCGTAGTCGGTTCATCTGTCGACATGCGTGCTGTGACTCAGGATGCGCGGCAGTGGCGCGTATCGTTAGACTTGCGACGGTGTGTCTCGCCAGAAATCAAAAGCACACATTTATTGAGTCGGGATGGCGTGGTGTTGTAAGTATTTACGTGGATTTAGCTCATGGCTATTAAATGCACGCCGAGGAAGTATGCCACACATACGACGCATCGTGAGTGCGACAAATCTAACATTGCTACCGCGAGAACGTTCGAGTGTGTCTTCAAATCAGCGCGACGCCAGGAGACCACGGAAAGCGTCCCGCGAATCGTCGCCGAGGACACGCGTCTAAATACGTCCAAAACGATTTGAGTGATTTCACCGTTGAGCTATATGACGCGCGTTCGTTGAACGGATCCAGTGCTTGCCCCGTCGACCCGACGTCGTTTCGACACCCGTACGGATCGCGCGCGAACGCATCGCACGCTTTCGCTTCGCGCGTCGCCAGTTCGTTTTCGTTCACCGCCGCGGTACCGATGTAGGTCATATTGCTCCAGGAATACCCCATCGCGTCGAGATGAAGCTTTTCGAACCGCGCGCGCTCGACGTGAAACCCGACGACGGTGATCTTTGAAGGAAACTTTCGAGCGAGTTGAAAGAACCGACACACGCTGAATAACGCGTGCTCGAACCCGTCGTTCGCGTGTTCTTCCGTGAACGTCCTAGACTCGACCTTCGCGTCGACGCCGAACCAATCGTTCGCCCTGGCGACTTGCCAATACGAGCTCGCCCGAGTCATCACCGCGCCGGCGTCGATTGATTTTCCTCCACTGAAAACGAGCACTGCGTGTGGGTTCCTCGCTGCCTCGCGAACACCGATCTCGATGTGTTCGACCAGCGACCGTACGTATCCTTCCGACGACGTTTGATCGCGCTCTAAAGCCCAGTCGCCCGGGTCTTCCGCGGCTTTCGCGAAATCGCTACCCAAGTAAACCGCGCGCGCGGGAACGACGACGAGCTCGTCCACGTCCGTCACCGCGGGCACTATCTTCTTCTCCTGTGCGCTCAGTCGCATCACCGTGTGCGTGATCGCTGCTCGCGGCGCATGATTCGTCCTCCTGAGCGCTTCTATCGTGACGCAACACACGCACAGAAGAAACCAGAGCGAACGTTCGAGGTTAAGAATCCTCGTCGCGCGCTTCGCCCACATCCGAGCGTATCGAGTGAACGCATACGTCACGCGATCGCGGACTCGCGATGCGTACGTCGACGCGTTCGGCGCCGCGACGTCGTCGACTCGTCGGCGGACGCGCGCGCGTGTCCTTCGTCGCGCGCTGTGCAGGGCCGGAGTTTTTCACGCCCTCGGCTGCGTCAAACAAAAACCCGTCCTCCGAAACACACCGGCGTCCTCACACCGCCGCGCTCGCGGCGTCGCCTCGATGCGTCTGCGCGTCGCGTCGCTCTTCTCCGGCATCGGCGGTCTCGATCTCGGGCTCGAGCGCGCCGGACACGACGTGGTGTTGCGCGTCGAGCGCGACGCGCACTGTCGCGAGTTGCTTCGACGGCAATACCCCGACGGCGCGCTCATGGACGACGTCGCCGCCGTCATGCCGCGCGATCTCGACGGCGTCGATCTGCTCGCCGCCGGGTTCCCGTGCAACGATTGCTCGTTCGAAAACGCGGCGCGACCGGGTTTGGAACACGGCCGCGACACGCGTCTCGTGCGACACGTCTTTCGCCTGCTTCGCGAGAGACGCGTGGAGTGGGTGCTCCTGGAGAACGTCGTCGGGCTTTTGCGTTGGCACAGGCGGCGTCGTCGGAACGAGCGCCAGGGAGAGAACACGTCGCGGTCGCGCGATGCGCGTGCGCGGCCGCCGGCGATCGATCACATCGTCACCGAATTCGAAAAACTCGGCTACCGCTGGGCGTATCGCGTGGTCGATTTGCTCGCCTTTGGCGTGCCGCACAAGCGCCGACGCGTCTTCATCGTCGCGAGCGCGCACGGCGACCCGCGAGACGTGCTTCTGAGTCAAGACTCGCAGTGTCAAGGCCGGTGCGAGACTTTCGCGGCGCACGCGCGCGTCCACCGCCGTCGGTGTTACGACTGCTTCAACGCGCCGCCGCGCGACGCCGCGACGGTCGAAGCCGTGTCCATCGACGTCGGCGAGAACAGACGACCGCCTCTGCGCGACATTTGCCAGTGCTTGACGACGTCGAACGGGCGGCGGACGTGCGTGGTGACGCGCGCGGCGAACGACGCGCGCGAGACGTCGACGACGCGCGCGCTCGCCGTCGAGGACGCCGAACGCCTGATGGGATTCGAGCCGGGGTACACCGCGTCGTGCTACCCGATCGCCGACGCCAACGGGCGCGCGCCGATGAGTTTCAACGTCGACGCGCAAACGCGCAAACGGTTCGCGTTGTTGGGGCTCGCGTGCGCGGTGCCTCAGAGTGCGTGGCTCGGCGAGCGCCTGCGAAACCCGTACGCCGTCAAGTTTCCGTACGCCGCGCTGTGCGCGCCGTTCCGCCGCGCGTGTCCGGGCGGGGACGACGACGACCAGGAAGGCGCGTGGCCGCTCGCAGCGTACAACGTATTCGAGCTCGACGACGCGGACGAGCCGAGATGGAAAAGCCGCCGACGCGCGCCGAAGACGCTCTCGGAATCCCCCGTCGTGCGCGCGTTCGTGCCGCTGGGTGAGTTTTTGAAGTTTCAACGTCGCGCGCGGGACGTCGATCCCGAAACTTTGCGCACGTACGCGCGGCGACTCCGCGCGAGCGGCCACGACGACGTCGACGAGCTCGTGCGTCTCGCGTTGCTCGGCGACGAGCGACGCGATGGCAAGCGTCGGCGGATCGCGGCGCCGCACGTCGGTACTACCGTTCGTCGCGCCGAATCCGTCTGGTCGTCGAGCGACGACGAACGCGATGATTCCCGAGACGACGATGCGATGCCGACGTTCGGCGCGCGCGCGTGGGTGCGGTGGCGAGGCAAACGCGGCGACGTGGCGACGCGTTGGCCGTGTCTCGTGCTCGACGCGGGCGAAGATGGGGTGCGAGGCGTGACGACGCATCGCCACGTGGTATTTTTCGACGCCGCGCGTTCGCACGCGCGCGTCAGATCGACGGATATCGTCGGCCGATTTGGTGGAGACGACGACGACGGCGACAATATATCAGAACGCGCGGACATCGTCGGCGCGATCGAGCGCGCGAGGGTGTGGAAACGCGACGATCGAAATCACGAGTACGACCCGATCGCGTGGTCGTTTCGCGAACCGACGGCGTGTCTCGAGTGCGCAACGTGTCGCGAAGACGCGCCGCCCGCGGTGTCGACGCCCGATCGCAGTCGCGGCGGCAACGACGGTGTGTTGTCGCGAAGTCTTCGATCGAGCTTTGCGTCGGATTCAAAAACATCATCATCATCGAAGTGTCCGCAAGCGACGGAAATAATTCCTCGCGCGCGCCTCGGGCACGTCGGCGCGACGCTCGCGTTGCGCCGCGGCGACGCCGTCGGACGAAGACTGCGCGTGTTTTGGCCCATCGAAAACGCGTTTTTCGCGGGCACGATCGCGGCGTTCGACAAACAAACGTACACGTTTCGCGTCGATTACGACGACGGCGACGTCGAGGTGGCGTTCAAGCCGTGGATGGAGTCGGTGTGGCCGCTGAGGGGTGAAGATGAGTTCGCGACGTGTGGGGTGAAAACCCCTCGTGCGATCACACCATTCAATCAAAACACGCCAGAAATCTGCGAAGCACCAAAGACTCACTTTTAAACGCTTTGGTTGTGGCGTATAACCAACGATGGAGGAAACTTCAACAACACGTCAACTCTGCTCGCGCGTTGTTTTCTCAAAGCGCTTTGACGAAGACTATCTCAATGCGAAACTTGTCAGCAGTTGACAAAAAATAGTTTACAAAGATTTCGCGCGCGCTCGATGACTTCCATTTCGTCGTGCGTAGCGGCGAACTCCAATTCAGGCCACGTCACTAGAGGCGCGCGCTTTCCCGCGTGCGCGTTATGATTCTTTCGTCGTTCGATGGCGCCTTTGAAATCCAAGTCTTCACACCCGATGAAATGAGAACGCGCGCATAACATTTCGAACAGTTTTGAATCGTTCGCGTCCTCAATTTTGAACCAACATTCCGCCGCTTCGTATCCAAGATTTGTGTATGTCGTCCACCACTCTAAACATTGCACGTCGTGTCGCAAAGAGTTGAAAACGCTTATGTTGACCTCAAAATCGCGACGAATGTCCTTACCAGCCATTTCAGAGTTGAAATTTGTATCAAATTGCCACTTCGTTCCTCTGCAGCTGCGTATCACTTGGAGCGGATGTCGAACGATGAGGAAAGTATTCGTGAATACTTCGATTGATCTAATGGGAAATTGTGGTGAACTCGCCAGCCAGTTTGAGCTTCCGTTCACTCCGAATGTCTCGTGACCTATGTCTACGCCAACATCGCGAAATACTTGAGATACAAAGCCGGTTCCTGAATAGCCGGCTCCGGTTATGAGAGCTGCGGACGCGATTGCGGATTTGTCGCCCACCCGTACCGGTTTTGAACGACGTCGGAACGACGTCTCGCTGAGAGCATCTTCTGAGAGACATTGGTCTAGGCATGCGGCACAAACCGTTTCTGATGCAGTAACAAAGAACGAATCGTTCAAATTAACGTACCCCGTTAGCAATAAGGCGAGAATAGTCGACAGAAATCCACCGACCCTGGTAAAGCGCTCTCTGACTTTGACGAGCGAATACTCGTCACGAGTGACTCGAACTTCACACGCCAGCGGCGATTCGATCATTTGAGATCACCACACATTGCCATAGCCATAAAATCGTCAGTGAATGACGCACACGAACGGTTCTGTGTGACTTGCACGGCTGCACGGCCCAACAGGGGCGACGGTTCGATTGTTTTTACAGCTTCATTTATTACATACGAAAAGAGGCAGCTTTGCGTTGAGGCGACTTGAACCTAAGCTTTTCATCTCCACTAGGCCACACCAATGTTCGCGTCGCAGTAGACGTGCAGGACAGACATTCGAATCGGTGCAACGTCGCGCTGTGAGTGGAAAGAACGACGCGGAGTGGTACGCCTCGATGAATCGTCACACTCTGTCTTATGATGCGCGGATTCACGCGCTGTCGGCGTTCATCGCACGAGTTCTGCTCGCACGCAAATGCGAAGGCGTACCAAAAGCTATTTCGTGTAGCCCTTTGACAACGACTGGAGGATGGCTGTGCGACCGTTTGGCGCTCGACGCGATTTCCAATTCTGTGTCGATCACCCTAAGTAAATCGTAATCTTCTTGTGGGAACGTCAGGAATACGTGCTGCACAATTCTGTGACTTGTGCTTTTGCAGACGCGTCGTGAAGTGGATTCACCTTTAACCAATGCTTGCAGCGAGTACAGTAAATGTCGGTTTGGTTGTCGGTTGTTTTGGCGTTCCAATCTCGTTCCAATCTCGCGCCGATGTCCAGTTCTTCTGTATCTGAAATCGATTCAACGAAATCTAAGAGTAAATAACATTTGTACCCTTGAAGTCGGATGATTTCCTCCATTAACTCAATCGCTCTGTGAAGACTAAAGCTCGTGCGCTCGCGATACCACACCGCGGTGTACTCAAAAAACACATTTTTCACCGTTTTCGTTCTGAAGATGCGCATGCCGGACGACAAGACGCTCAGTTCATTACCTTCCGTATCTATGGCCAATATTTCAACGTCGTCATCATTCAAAGGGATGTCATCGAGCGCGATTGACGACACGATTTTGTGTCCAGCGCCGACGCCTTCGGCGTGTGTGTGAAACGTGCCAGAGCAAGTGTTGATCGGGGTGTCGATCGCGATCGGCACATCGCTGACGTAGTTGTTATACAACGAAACCCGTCTGACGAACTGCCGTGGGTACAAGGAAAACGTTTCCTGAATGCCAGAAACACAGAGAGGCAGAGGTTCTACGGCGTACACTCGGTACCCGCTGAGCATGAAAATCACGCAGAAAAAGCATTCATGCGCTCCGATGTTTATTGTTGCACCTCTACCACGGGACACACTAGAAATCGCATTAGATTTGTATTCGACTGGCGTCGAAGCCAATAGATTGCGCAGAATTTGTTGAATTTTCAATTCGCCTCCGTTCACTGGTAACCACTCAAACGTGTCTTCCCTCTTCAGCACGATAGGGAGATTTACGTAACCGTACACTTCAGTTTTTACGTCCGCCTTGTCTTTGACGAGGGTATGCGTGTCTTCGACGCCGTTTAAGGTGATTTCGCTGATGTTGGTGTGGCGAGGCGTGAAAACGACCTCTTGTTCGGGGCTCGCTGACACGCTGTAGTTGACACCACGTCGGAGCAGCGTAGGAATAATAAAGAGCGAAAGGAGAAGCGTATGTTTCGCACGCACTGAAACTTGCAGACTCTGCATGACCCAAGCGTCGTTCCGGTGAGTGACGTTCGCTGTATGTCGAGCTGTTCTATGTTAAGTCAAACTGATATGAAGCTCATCAGTTATCGCGTCCTTGAAGAAAAATCTAATAATACGTCGAATAAACCAGTCACGGCTCGTTGCGTATCGGTACTTGAAAGTGCGCGCATATACAAGTGTACTTTACACTTCAAAATGTTTTCAACGCCTGGAGTGATATTGCTACAAAATTCACCTACTAGATCAGCCACTCGCCTCGTTTGCGAAGCGAGAGCTTTCGCCGGTGTCTGCGAGCATCTAACGCTCTCCTGGTAGTATCGTTGCGCGTTGATCTATCGCTTGCCCTGTTGGATCCCAGGAAGGGTATCTCGTCATATTCGATAAGCGCAACGCCAAGGGCGTGTAAAATTGCTCGGCGTTCTCACCGGCTTTGACGAGCTCGTCGACCCTTCTCATGCGCGCGCCATACGCGCGTACTGGATCGTTCAAACAAAACAATCGCAATTCTTGCATCGTTTGTTCACAAGTCTTATTTGTACCGCTCTTAATGTTTCCTATGAAGTCATCGAATCCACCGTATTCCGTCGCCGTCATCATTTTTAGGATATACTGAGGCGGGAAACAATAATTCGTCGCGTGGAATCCTCGACCGAGAACGTGTTCCATGCGCCCTCGAGGAAGGAGCATTTGGTCGAGGCGATTCGCTACGGTCACACCGGGATCACCGAGCGTCCACGGCATGTTACGCGCCGGAAAGTCGGATCGAAATGCGAAATTTAGGTTTCCGTACGGAAACCAAATGCCGAAATTACCCGGCAACGCCGTTTCGCAGCGCGCTGCTTTCCAAACGTCTTCCCTCGCCGGTATCTCGTCCACGTGACCAAAAATAACGAGCGTTTTCTCGTCGTAGCGTTTGGCGAGTTCCCGCGCTATGGCGCTCTCTTTCTCTGCTTCGAATTGGAAATTGACCCCGTTCGGCGCCGCGGCGCCGGCTTGCGCGTGTTTGAAAATTTCCACCTTGTCGCGAATCGATTCAAACCTCGCCGTCTGTAATAATGATTCAAGCGCGTCAAAAGTGGCTTCGCCTTTGTGCGTGACGTTCGACGTCACGGCGATAAACTTATCGACGACAGGGTGTAATTCGTACAGACGAATCTCCAACGTATCGACTTCGCCGCCGCCGAAGAGGAAAACATCCACAATATTCCTAGGTTCGTCTAAAGTTTTGCCAGCGTCGCACTCGAATTGAACGCTTGATGCGGGTTGTAATGCTATGGAGGAATCGTCATAATCTGTGGGACTCAGAGCCGACGGAAACTGCGCGCGCGTGAGCAGTTCGATCACCCGACGGTGATCGCTCGATATGCGAACCAACTCTTCACACAGATCACTCGATGGCGCTAACGGTTCATTGAACGCACGAGGCGTGTTCTCATCTGCCGTTTCGCTCACGCTCGCGTCGATCGATTCACTCTGGTCACCTACTGTGCCGTTCACCGTGACTCCTGTGATGCGAACCAACTCTCGTGGAAAGTCGAAATCGACGTAGAGGTGCACGTACGCGTAAGTCAGCGTGACGACGACGAAAGCGACGATCTGAAACGCGCGCAGCTGTCTCATGGTGCATGTATGTGACTTGAACCACTTAAATCGAGGACGTTACCTTCGTCGACGGTGCGTCCTCGATCGAGCCCCCGAGTGCGGCAACGCGACCGCAGGTCCGCCACTTCGCGGCGTCAACTTGACGCGCGAGAGTCGAAGAATAAGCGCTTCACGCGTATCGATCGTTGTGTGAGGTAGTGGCTTAAACAGAAGACCAGGTGCGCTGGCAACTGAATGGCTGAACTATCCACGGGGAAAGTCGAAACCGGCTTGGTGAGCCCAACGATGGGCGTTCGAACCGCCTCGCTGGCGTCGCGAAAGCATCAAGCGCTGGCGCTTTTCATCTTGACGATCCAAAACACCGCCTTGGTGCTCGTGACGAAGTTTTCGTATAGAAAATCTGCGACGCCTTACGTCGTGTCCACAGTCATCGCGAGCGCCGAGCTCGTCAAACTCGCTTTGAGCTATATTTTGTTGGTCGCGTCCGACGGACAAAGCGCCGCCCGGGACGCGCTCCGCGAGGTGCCGTCCAACGCGACGCGGCTCGCGGTCCCATCCGTGCTGTACGTAATACAAAACAACCTCCTTTTCGAGGGCGTGCGGTTGCTGAGCCCGACCGCATACATGGTGTGTTCGCAGAGCAAAATTCTCACGAGCACGATTTGTAGCGTCTTGCTCCTAGGAACGCGAATCACGCGTAAACAATATGTAGCGTTGTTGGTCCTCGCGTGTGGGATGATCATGGTACAGAACGAAGAAGGACGTGGACGCGATTTGCCGTCGGATAGAGCGCAGGTGAGACAAACTGTGCGAGGTATGGTCGTCGTGCTCACCGCCGCGTTTACGTCTGGCTTCGCGGGGGCGTATTTAGAGAAAATGTACAAAGAAGTGGGCGCTCAAAAGCGATCGGTATGGTTCCGCAACGCACAACTGGCGTGCTTTTCACTTCCAGTGGCGTTGATCGGATCAGTGTGGCGCGATGGAGAGCGCTTGCGCGCGAACGAAAGCGTGTTTCAAGGATACGACGGCGTCGTGTTGCTCGTCATCGCGCTACAAGCCGCCGGTGGTTTAGTCGTCGCGGCGGTGTTGCGATACGCGGGAAACGTGCTCAAGTGCTTCGCCGTGTCTATTTCTATATGTAATTGCGCCCTCGCGACGACGGTGTTTGCCAACGACGGACACAACCTGAGCGTTACGGCATCTCTCGGCATAGCGCTCGTCATCGGGTCGACGTTTCTTTATTCAAACGTAGTGTAGTGATTATATCATTCTGTGCGTTTAAACAAGAAAGATCAGGTATTTTCAAACGAGTGTAGCGGCGCGTTTTTATGCCTTCTATCTTCAAACGCGGAGCTAGAAATACCAAATCTCATCGACGCTACTAGAGTTCCTCATCAGACTGATCGATATTCATCCGTAAATTCGATTTGACTACCGACTAAACTCGATGCTAGAGACCGCCGTGCTACATCGCACGGTTCCGTTTGGCAGTAATCGCGTCGAATTGACAAACACGCCGAGTCTTCACATCGAAATATGGTACCTCGATAAACTTCGCCCGCTGCAGTGCTCAGTTTACCGACTTGGTAACTCGCAGACGCCATCTGTATTCTACACTCCGACCACGACCAACGATCGCCGCATGTATTCTCGCTCGGTGGGTGGGTACTGATACAATTTTCGTATGCATTTGCCATCGTAGCGAAACTATCCAAGGCTTCTCTCGGTATGATGGTGAACGTGTCCGTCATAAAAGAAACTTCTCGACCTGATCCAACACTATTCCCGTCCACTTCGTCGCGATAGATCACCATTCCATTGAGAACAAGATTTCTTTTAAGCCCATACCACGTCTCTCCAGGCGGCAGTCTAGCGTAATATTCTATGTCTGTCCTCGTCAGGATGAAGTGATCGAACTCAACGTCACTTCGATTTCCGTACGCTTGTACGTCTCGCAAACACTCGCGCTGTCGATAAACTTGGGGATACCCTGCAGAAACGCACCCTACCTCGCCTACGCGCCCGTGTGGTTCCACGTCGTAGACGCGCAGAGATTCTAGCGAGAACCAAGAACGTAGCTCGGTTTCGACGTCGACGTTCACGCCCTTCTTATCAAGATGTAGAAATACGTGGACTTTTCCGCCGATCAAAAGTGGAGCAAGTACGGCGTCGTATATATGATCTTGGATATCCTTGCGCACGAGAGTGCGCACCTGACCAACGATGCACACCGCGAAAGTCGGCGCGTGTGCTTTCGGCGCGTCGTCTGCTGTTCGATCGCCCGGTTGGTCAACGCGCAGGTGTGAAGAACCGCGACGTCCATGGTTTTTTCACCCGAGCGGCGAGCGTTAACGCTCAGCTTCCGATCATGAGCATTAATCCGTCGTGCGCATGCGAATGCCGTCTCAAAGTGGAGGCGTGGTATCTACATTCCGACTGGTTAAACGTGCCGCCGACTCGTAATTCGAGTCACGTATCATCGGCCTTTTTTTCTTCTCTCAGCAAGGGCGTGCAAGGCACGTCAGTCGACGACGATCGTTTTAAAAAACCGCACACTGCGCACGCGTGCATGCCACTAAATCTCTATCTTCGAAGCCGCGCGCGCGCATGGGATCGCGTAAGCAACGCGTCGCCGTTGTCCTGGCGCTCGTTGCCCTCGTCGCTGGAGGTGGACTAGTGAAACAGCTGGACACGCGCGGGTGTTCGAAAGATACTTCAGCCGCGACGGTAAGTGGCGCTTCGTCATCAGCTCAACCACGCTCGACGGGAGCTGAATCGCGAGACAATAAACGCGAGACGCCACCTATCGATGCTGTCTCCGCGACGAAGATTGATGATCGAGCTGAAAAGTACGCTATAATCGTCCCTATGCACGCCGTCACGCAGCTCGAAGTCATGAAAACCACGTGGAAAATATTTCCACCTTGCGCTGCCGATGCGCGAGCCGCACAAATAATTGATTTGATTTTCTTATCCGACGTAGACCTCTCGTCGCTCGACGTCACAGGGGGTCACTGCTTTCAGCGAGTGTATCGCCTGCGACCGTTCATCCCGAGCTGCTACAACGTATACGCACAAGCACCACCGTATTGCTTCTTCACGATGATACTTCATCTCGACTTAGACCGTACGTACGACGCCATACTTCAAGTAGAAGCTGATTCCGTGCCCGTGAAATCCAATTGGTTGGACGCCGCCGTGGAAAACATATTAAAGCCGACATCGGGCGAAGTGTGGATACACGCAGCGAAAAATGAACGCGGTGGAAACAATTTCAACGGTAATGGCGCGTACAACTTGCAAAATGACGAATTTCGTCAATTCATAATAGGTTACAGGGAATGGTTTTACACAAAGGCGGTCAACTCTGGCGACACGGCGTTCGATACAAACATGATTACGTTTGCAAAAGAAGTGGGGTCTTTCGGAAATTTCTCCAACACGCATCTGCGTGCGTCGAAAAGTCTTCGGAACTGCGATCTCATGTCCCTGACAGCGTGTCGGTCGGCGGTGGATGCGTCCACGTGGGGCGGCGCGACGCCTGAAGCTCTTTTCGTTCACAGTCACGATCTGAAAGATCCTTCGCGAGTGAGGAGTCAAATCTTGGTGGAAATGCTTGGTAGAGACGATGGTATACGGCAATTCAAATGAGTATGCTTGCGACTATTGAGTTTTCGACATGCTGATGATTTCTTCGTACAGGGCGTCCCACGCCGCCGGAAGCGCTCGCCCGCACTTATCGAGAAGAGTGTACGGACAGCGGACACCCATGGCAACATTATTCACGCGTATCGGACGCAGATCTGCATCAAACAAATCTTTATTCAACGCATAACGATTTACTTGCCGCTGCTGCATGGTCACTTCTAATTGACCGATGCGTAGGACCTCCTTGAAGTTTGGAGTCTCTGTATGCAAGAACATCGTGTCGCCGCAGTCGCCCAAAACGCCAACTTCCACATAACTCTGCGCTCTCAAAATCGAGCGGACGTCCTCCTTCGGTCGCGCGATGGTGAAAATGTGAACCTATAAAACCGCGCGTGTGCGTCGTACGACGCCGAAGTGCTAGTAAATGTTGCCCACTCCGACTGCACCGGTCGTTCTCACGCGTCCATCGACGCCGATACGCGCCGCGTCGCGGTATGCGTTTATCGAAAAAGTCTGAATGACCCCCTGAAATTTCAGGGGGTCTATGAGTCACTAGACCCCCTGAAATGTCAGATACTTTCTAGACCGTCTAGAAAGTGTCTGCGAGCTATACCTTATAAATTGTGATCAATCGGGCCTAGTGCGTCGATAAGTGATGATGATTACAAGGAGCTATCATTGATTAGTTCATTAATGAGTGTTAACTCGTCAATTAGTCATCCTAGGTTAACTAGGGGAAGCTATACTTCATATTTTACTCTTCAGATTTCTAACAGTGTCTGACATTTCCAGGGGGTCGAATCAGTAAGATCCGTGTTCATGCCTAGAGATTTGAGCGCTCGGTGACAGCGGCAGCTTCCTGAAACGCTCCTCCAGACCCGGACGAGAGCGAGCCGTGAAGCCGTGCGCAAAAGTTCGGCGGTCGTCGATAGGTCTGGCAACGTCGGTCATGCGTTGGTTGAGGGGACGTGGTGTCAAGGCGATAATGTGCGTCGCCCTTGTCGCAGGTTTCGCCAAGGTACCAGATCTGCACGTCAATAAGTATACTATGACACAGACACTGCAAGGCGACGGCTTTGGTTCACAGTTTCAAAATATCACATCTACCGCGGCTGCTCTGCACGTCAATAAGTGTACTATGACACAGACACTGCAAGGCGACGGCTTTGGTTCACAGTTTCAAAATATCATATCTACCGCGGTTTTCGCTCAAACCTTGAACAAACACTTTTGCGTGACCCCTATCGAAAGCATGGAGCACAACTACGACAATCGCTCAACGTTCCTTCGAGAAGTCAGCGAACTGATTAATTTACCAGTACTTTCAAGTCAAGAGGACATGGACATTGAAAAGTGCGAGGTTAAAAAAGGCTGGCTGGATAGCTACATAGTTCAGGAAGCAAATCAGTTGGACGTTCGTACAAAATTGGGTAACATTCGAAAGCAGTTCTTGGGTAACAAGCGCTCGTTGTCGGAACTTCGTAAACACGCTGCCGTGCACATCAGGAGGCAGAATTCTTTTGATAATCGAAACACTGTTTCTCATGATGAAGTCGTGTGCTTTGTGATGAGGGAAATTCTCACTCAAAACAGCAATATTCAGTTTCATGTATTTAGCCAGGGCGATATTTCGGAGTTTTGGCGCTACCAGAACGATTCAAGAATCGTCCTACGTCTCGACGAACCCATCAACGTGACGTTCACTGAAATGGTTGTCGCCAAAATTTTGGTCACAGCCACGTCGTCATTTAGCTATGCAGCAGCACTTCTCTCAGAGGGTGAGATATGGGCCCCAAGACCGTTCTGGCACAACTACCCTTCCTTCTGGAAGACATATCAGCTTTCTCGTACATTGTCTAACTTTGAGACATGCCTACCATGATACCAGTTTTAATTGTGGGGTGTTAATGCTATCGTTTGTGAGACACACTCGAGCGCCCTGTAGACTACTCGACTCTATCGCAGTACAAGTTCAGACAACACCAGGCAGAGGGCGTAGGCTAAGCCCCTTTTGCCCGTTCCCTCTGCCGCACTCTAAGAGCCTACTGCTGTCACAATGGTGCACGCGCTAGTAAGTATATTTTTCCTTCGGGGGTAACCTAGGCGAGTTTTTCTTATTCTAAAGCTAGTTAGTCAGAGTACTTTTTTATTTTGTGATGGTGACCGAATACAGCGAACACGGTGAAGTCGTCACGTGTGCAAGTCAGTGGCAGTGGCGGGTTAATGACTTTTCTAGATGAATTCTTTAGTTTGTACAATTCATTGGACATCGATGACCATGTTGATTGGCAGATGTTTAGCACTGCATTACACGAGTACGTGTTGCTGCTTTGAAAACAATCGGTGGTGACGATTTGTGAGACGAAACAAGGAGCGTATATCTGTGACGTCAGAATACGACGATGCACGGCATAACATCTTGGAAATTGAGCGCACGTGAACTCTCTGACATAGCACTGCATCGCAAGAATCTCTTAGTCGTCGTTGAGCGTTGTAAAACACCACACGCGCGTCAGCGTACATTGTCTGTACAAACTGTCAAATTGTGATTGCGTGAGTACTTTGACGCTCAAGTGAAATCGAAGAAAAAATCCAGGTCCAACATGTTATTCAAAACAACTTATTCATGCGTGTAAGTGCATGCAATGGCCGAAAGAGTCAGCGTTGCGGAATCCAGTCAAAGCAAGTTCAGGCTTCCTCAAAACGTTTAACATAATTTTTTGAATTCTATTCCCGGGTCCATTGGGCGTGAGGGTCGGCGCCACGTTTGCGAAACAGTCAAAATCACGCATGTCGACGAATCATGACTCATCACGCAGTCCCTCCGCCCCAGCATGATGTTCTGAAATCTGTGACGATCTTTGACGACCGAGTGCGCCGTCGACACGTGCTGCACACCGCTGGAAATCGGTGAACGATGTTAAAACGAGTGTTGAACGCGTGATCGTCGTTTCACAAGCGCGTGCACGGGTCGTGTGCGATCGCTCGCTCATCAGATGACGCATTTCTGAAAATGGGCGAAATAATGTGCGTGTATGTAACCAGTCACTAAAGTGCCTACCTAGGTTACGATTTTGTCAGTTTCGGATCAAAACCGATTGCTGATGGTGATCTTGATTATGAGCGCGCACAGAGCTGATTCTACCATCATAACGAATCATCCTGACACTTTCTTCACCACGAACTGTCTGTCTCTACAACCCCTGGCAGAGCACTTGAGCAACATGCCGCATGTGGCGAAATCGCATGTTCAAGAATAAATCGTCGGCGCAATCATGATTCAAACCTCTTGGGAGGTATTCAAAGCCCAACGAGGTGATAAAGTCGCGAAGTTCATGCTCGCCATGCTGATCAGCGTAGCCGGTAACCACTAGCTCCGGTTGAATCCAGACAACTCGTTTCGATAGCCAATGCCGAGCCCCTTTGATAATCTCTAAGTCATGGCCCTGTGCGTCAATCTTCAACATGTCGATATATTGGACGCGGCCACCTTGAACACCTAGAGACTCTGACTTTGGAACTGACACGGACCAAGGCAGAAGGGTAAAGAAATCATGAAGATTCCAAACAGGGACCTGAATTTCATTCTGCACGTCAAACTTGACCGGTTTGTGTAAGCTTGATGTCCCTGGATCACCAGCGGTCGCGTAAAATGTCTGCAAGTGTAGAGGAGAAGAGCCCATCGCCACACAAGATAAAAAGTAGCGTTTGCCAACTAAGTCCAACGGCACACAGAGGTCTCCTGTGGAGCAAGCACAACCCTTCAGTATGTTCTTGCAACTTGTCGGATTAGGCTCAAACGCAAAAACTGTCAGCTGATCCGGATCGGAAGTGCTGCTGAACCATAAGGCGGAGTTTGGAGCGTTGTAAGACTCACCAATAGATATTTTCACACGCCGCGTATGCCTCGGCAGTGCAATTTTTCCACGCCGCAGGTGCACTGGAAGTAAGGCACGCGTGGCGTGACGAGTGCGCGAGATATCTTTGATACGTTCGGCCCCTACGAGTGGATCACTTTTTGGTTCTTCACAGCTACTCCCAAGTGAGTCGCTGTACGATTCAGTCACAGGAAGTCCGCGTGCTGACGCAAACGCAAGGAGTACGAGCGAACCCAGCGAACCGAGCAAACAGCCCGCAACCAACCTAAATTTCATACTGAATTTCATTCTGACAGGGACTCGCACGTTCTCGTGTCGCTTAAAGCCCGTATTTTGCTCCATCTCTTCGCGGTCTAAATACTGTATAAAGTGGGTGTGTAGTACGCTCTTTTCCGTTCTTCGGCCTGGGTGTTCAGTATGCTGTTTCCGGTCTTCAGTTTCTTCATCTCGACGGCTTCGGGGCGACCACTTTGGCCGGCGACGAGTTTGCCCTGTACCATAGGACATCGTGGCCGCACACAGCATTTCGAGGCCTATATATTATAATATCTCTTGTTTTTGTCAGAGGCCTATTTCTCAGAAACATCGTGTCCTTATGCGAAAATGAGGTGGATTAAGAGATGCGAAATTCGAAAATAGAATCGGCGATTTATTCCGATAAGGGCCGTTTTTTCCCACATCGGAATGAATCGGGCCTTTGTATTCCGAAAAGATACTTGTCAAAATAGCGCGACTCGTCACGTGACGAGTTAATTTTAGGGGGTCCTATTCCGACAACGCTATTCCGGCTATCTCTTTTGAAAAACTAGCGACGCGAAATGAAGACGCGCAGTCGCCCCACTAGTGCGCGTCACTTGTTGAACTCGTTCTTCACCGAACGGGGTTTTAAAGACGTACATGTGTCCTCAGGGAACCGCATGCGGATTGTCGTCGATCTCCTTTGACCTCGGACGCTGAGGCCTCGGACCTTAAAGTCCCCGCTTCCGACGTAAAAAGTTCTGTCAGTGCGAGTTTTAGCCACGCTATGAACTGGAGACTGAGTATGTCGGAGTCGAAGTCGTTGTTGATTCTTCTCGTTGCATATGCATTTTGCAGCTCGACTCTCTTGATTCTCAATAAAGTTGCGTTGCAGACCATAAACTCGGGTACATTTTTGCTCCTACTACAGTGCGTGTTCACTTGTATGGCTCTTGGGACTCTCGACCATTTTGGATTTACTTCGGCTATTTCGCCTCTGGAGGCAGCCGAGCGCGAGCGATTTACTGTGGTGGTTGCCCTGTTCGTGACAACTCTATTTGCCAACATGAAATGTCTACAACTCGCAAACGTCGATACCGTTATCTGTATCCGCATGACGTGTCCTTTGTTAGTGAGTTTGCTCGATTATCTCTTTCTTGGAAGGGAGCTGCCCACTCGCACTTCAACCCTAGCATTGGTTGCAACTTGTGTGAGCTTTGCCTCATTTTTACTCGTTGAACAGAACTCTTCATGGATCACAATATTTTGGCTATCATTTTGGTACTGTGCTATGGTATTTGAGACCGTATTCGTCAAGTTTGTTGTCAGTGACTCGTCGCTTTCAACAGCGGCACAGTCCTTCTATCAAAATTTACTTGCGATCCCGGTGTTGACAGTGATATGGTTTTCCACAGAGATCCCAACTAGTGTTTTTGAACAAATTTCTTTGTCTACTTCGGAATTCTCCTTGGTTCTGTCCACTTGTATTCTCGGGTTAGGGATGAGCTACTTGTCGTTTGCTGTGCGTGAACGGGTATCGGCGACGAGCTTTTCAATGCTTGGTAATACGTGCAAGTTGATAACAATTCTAACGAATTATTTACTATGGGAAAAACATGCTACAGGTGTTGGAACTTTTGCAGTCCTTTTCTGTCTTGCATCCAGTACCTTTTATCGCCAGGCGCCGTTGCGACATCCTATTAATCATAAGGCGCAGTCATGGTTTCCCGCCCCTTGTACCATCAAGGCTACTGAAGAAGTCAATATGAGGATCATTGCAGCTGGGTTACTCGGTATCCTGGCGCTTGGCTTGCACTTTACTTCATATTTTCGTAGTTCTGTGAACTGGAACCTTGAAGAACAAACAGGTGTTTCTGGCGTTTCAGGAAAATTATTTACTGGTGCACAAGTGCGGCAGTATTTTCCTTCGCATGACGATCGTCCTTCCAAGAAAAATCGTTCGACCTCTTCTCCCTTCTTTTCTGATCATATGTCTTGCGAAAATTGGGCCGTTTGTACCACCATCTTCGTCGAGTCAGACGCAGTGCGTGACGTTTGTAAAATACTACCGTCGTACTGCCTACTTGTCGTCGCAGATAAGAAAGGTCCACTAGAATACTTCATCGACGGGAACTGCACGTTCGCATACTTATCTGTAGAGCAACAAGAAGACATGTTAACAGACTCAGACTTCATCACAGAAACGCCGTGGAATCACTTTGGGCGGAAAAATCTAGGGTACTTGTTTGCAATAGCGAATGGTGCGAAGATGATATGGGATTTTGATGATGACAATCAAATAATCAGTTCAAAATTTTTTCTCGATCAGGCAGGAGAGCACCAACTAGTTACAGTCGAACCAATTACTTCGATGCTGAATCCTTACCCCTTACTTGGTGCCGAAAAGTTTTCCTGGCCTCGTGGTTTTCCACTCGACGGTATAAAAAACGAGGCATCACAACCAAGCGTTGACGATCTACGAGTTTCTGTCGTCGACTTCGAACGTGTCGGAGTACTGCAATCACTGGCGAATAATGATCCAGATGTTGATGCTATTTACAGGCTTCAGAGAGACCTGCCTTTCAGCTTCAAAGGCTGGTCGAGTCCTGCAAGTGTTTTCGTTTTGCCAGGCGCTTCTTTTGCTCCCTGGAATGCTCAAGCCACCCTTTTCAGGATGCGGGATGCACTCTGGGTTTCGTATTTACCTATCTCTATTCATGGTAGGGTATCTGATATATGGAGATCATACATAGCGCAGCGACTTTTGCGGAACGTGTGTATTCACATCGCCTTCGCTGTGGAGCCACTTGTTGTGCAACATCGAAATCAGCATTCCTACCTTGCCGATTTCGATGCGGAGCAAGATTTGTATTACAAATCAGGTAAACTGATCGAGCTTCTTGGAGAGTGGACCGCAAAATCTTCCTTTCCTCAAGAGCAGATTGTGGAGCTCTTCAGGATTCTGTATGAACATGATTATGTTGGAATCAAAGATGTTCGAATGATCGAACTCTGGATTTCAGAGCTCAACCGAGCGGGATACATCTTTCCAAAGAGCTGCAGTGTCCGCTAGCAAGGTTTAGGATCGGTAAAAATAAAATTACACGCGTGTCGGTATTCGTTTCGTCGCTTCCGTCGGTTGCGCGCCACCGCTGGGCATTTGAAGTTAGCACTTCTCGATCGCCACGCGCGCGTTGTGGCGTCGTCGCGACTTATTAGCACTTCCGACGGCGCGCACGTATTAGGGACGTGGAGTGGAATACATACGTAGTTTTCTAATAACGAAAGAAGGAATTCGACTCACAAATAAAACAAGTCATGAACACAAACACTTGGACGCGATGCGATGAACCGCAACGACCGTGGACGCCGTGTGGCTCACGCGTCGTATATAGCACTTCGCTTCTCTCAACGACGACAATGAGAACCGCGGGAGCATCTACTTGTTTTTCACTCTGGAAACAAGGTACGCGTTTTTCTTCTCCAGTGCTTCAAGATATCGGCAATTGTGTTTGTGATGTTTGGGTCAGGAATCCACCCCGTCAGCTCTCGTATTTTCCTATTATCTGACAAAAGTATCTTCTCATCGTAAAGCCGCTCACGTGCACCATCAAACAGCGTCGTGATGTCTGGTCTTGTTGACAGTGAAATCGCTGTGTCTAGGATGTCCTTCATTGAAAGTGCGATGCCACTACCGATGTTGTACGACTCTCCAGGCTCTCCAAGGTCTACAAGTTTCGTTACCACTCGTGCAGAATCGCGGAGGTCAGTTATGTCCCTTTTTGTGGTAATGCGCCCATGTCTCACCACTGGGCTTTGCAATCCGAGCTCGATCATTGCTATCTGCCGACAAAACTCTTGAGGTGCGAGACTCTCAGTCCCACCCGCTGAAACTTGGATAAAAAATCGAGCGGTGACGACGTGCATGCCGTGGCTGTGCACATATTGCTGAGCAAGTAGGTCTGCTGCAACCTTGCTTACTCCATAAGGAGACACGGGCGCCAATGGTGCTTCTTCAGGTATGGCCCCTTCCCACGTATCAGCAGTTTTTCCATATTCTGTGCTTGAACCAGCCAGCAGAAAGCGCGTTTTGTTGGAGAGTCCTGCAAATCGCACTGCTTCTAGCATGTTGAAGGTGCCTTTGATGTTGGTATCTAAAGTCAGCTCAGCGGAGTCATATGAAACCCCGTTGATTGCTTGTGCAGCAAAATGGAAAATAACTGTTGGGCAGATTTCTGCGACCACCTGTTTGACACGAGTTCCGTCCAGAATGTCTCCACGAACGAGCTGTATGTTGTTCAATTCGCCTGCCAAATTTGACAGGTCAGATCGGTATCGCACAAGACCGTGAACCTCATACTTTCCTTCCTGTATCAACTGTTTCACAACGTAGCTGCCTATCATTCCAGACACACCTGTCACGAGAGCTCTTGGTCTTGCAGATAGAGCACTCAAGCAAGGCGTGTAATCTTTACTCTTTGCATTAAGATTTGTAGCAAAAGAGGATTCCTCACGGTACATATGAGTTTTTGAAGGTTGAACATTGTATCGTGAAGTAACCGGGCTTGAAAGTCCTGATTTGAATTGCACAGCCTGATATGACGGATGTAACACAACAGCTGCTAAAACAAACGATGAAACAGCCAATATTCGTGCAGTCTTTCCCAGCGTGTGCTTGAAGCGACTGTCGCGCATAGATAGCTGTCCTTAGCAAGTGATGACTATGTTATACTTCGAAGGTGTGCGGGACAAAATTCGCGACTGCCCTTGAGCGGCACGGAATGAGTTCAACAAGTGAGGCGCGCTGGCAGGGCGACGGCGCGCGTATACGTGTCGCGTCTCTTCATTTGCCATCATTTTTTATGTACAGTACAAGGGGGCTAGTAGTACTTTAGTAAAGTAATTGTACTAATTGTAGTCATGATTGGTCGTTGTGCAGCATTGAGTCATGATTCGTCGTTTTACCCCTCCCAAACGTTGGCGGTATTTAGCCAGATCCGAATGTACACAGTCAGACGGTCGCTCTTGGGTCATGACTTGTCAAATGGGCTCAAAAACTCGCCCCGGCCGTGATCACCACAATGCCCTGACGCTCACTTTTTCGCTCAAAACGCTATCCTATGCCAAACGATGCCCGCACAACGGAGGACGCAGTCAAACGACTACAAACACTAGCATGGCGTCCGTAGCGTCCGTTATCGCCGCCAAGCGCGCTGGCTTCATCGGTATGGGTCGTCTGGGATTGTGTACCGCCCTCAAGTTTGAGCAAGCGGGTTGGGATGTCTGTGGGTCTGACGTCTTTCCGTCGTACGTTGAAAGTATCAACGACAAGAGTCTTCGAAGCAAAGAGCCCGGAGTCGAAGAGGCTTTGCGAAAGAGCACGCGTTTGCGAGCGACTCTGAATCTCCTTGATGTCCTAGAGCATGCCGATATCGTTTTCATTCTCGTCGCGACTCCAACCAGCGCGGGCGAAGAGGCCTACGACACGACAACTCTGAGCAGGGTCTTGAGTGATATCGCTAAATTAAGGCCGACAAACAAACACATCGTGATTTGCTGCACAGTGTTGCCTGGTTACATCTCGAACATCGGTAGTTACCTTATCGAAAGTTGCACTGGATGTAGTTTGAGTTACAATCCAGAGTTCATCGCCCAGGGTGAGATCATGAAGGGCCTCAGTGAACCCGACGTGGTGCTCATAGGGGAAGGAAGCGAAGAAGCCGGTGATATTCTACAGTTTTTATACGAGACCGCGACGTCCAATGAGCCTCGGATCTGTCGCATGTCTCCGCAAAGCGCTGAGATAATGAAACTAAGCGTAAACTGCTTTGTTACCACGAAGATCAGCTTCGCCAATATGATTGGTGACATTGCTGACGCGACGCCTGGTGCAGACAAATTCGACATCCTTAGAGCCGTTGGTCAGGATACACGTGTCGGCCACCGGTGCATCCTTCCAGGTTACGGCTTCGGAGGTCCTTGCTTTCCACGTGATAATAGAGCACTCGGAATGTACGCACGCAAGGTTGGAATCACTCCTTCAATTTGCGACGCGACGGATGAATACAACCGACTTCACGCGGACGCCATGGTAAAGGCTCTTTTGGAACAAAAACTAGAGCATTATACCATCAGTGATGTTGCTTACAAGCCACAGTGTCCGGTGGATATTATTGAAGAGTCGCAACCACTCGAAGTGGCCAAGAGACTTGTTCAAGCAGGCAAGCGAGTCGTTATACGCGATCGACCCGCCATCATCGAGCTCGTACGCCGCGCTTACGGGCGTATGTTTACCTACGGAGCATACAAAGTACCTAACGAAGAACCAAATACTTCTGCTGGCAACCCGTTATCAAGCTACGCGAGGTAAGCTCAACCATGTTCACGTTTCAACGCTGTCACCAACTCACCGCGTGTCTGATGCGCTGGTGGCCAGATCTTTTGATTTAATATCTATCCATGATATAATCACAGATCTTTCACATCTTAGCCACCGTGCTCGTCGTTTCCTCGGATCTCGCACGAAGTTGAGATAAATTTCATGTATAAATTACTCACCCTAATATCATACTGCATACACTTTAAGTGCGTCGATAAAGAGCTTTGAGGTCGTGACAACGGCTGGAATCTACGAACCTGTTTCACGCATCAAAGTCCACCATGCTTTGAACCCTGCGGTTTGTGGCGCGTGATGAGCAAGTAGCAAGTGCCACCCAAACCTGCGTTCTATGGTGCGCACGAGAGCATCCGGCATAGCCGCGAACCACGGCTCTTTTTTGTATGTGTACGATGTATATGATTTGTATGTGTATGATTTGTTCGGGCGTTTTTTCCTTCGACTAATTTTGTCATCATCATCGAAACGGAACGTTTAATTCGAGCTCTCCACATTTTAGGGCTAATTTTGGGAAAAGTGTGACTGTCCATGTATAGACACAACACCAAACTCGATTAAAAAGCTCCTCAAAAAATGTGCGGGAATTGTCTCGAGTGTGTGGCGCTTGCGATTGTGGCACGCGTTGAAGCGACTCGCGGTACGGCACGTACGTAGTCTTGAACACGAATATATGTGAATACGATTCACGTTCGAACGCTCTTGGAGTTGCGCTTCGACATGCTACTGAAAGTAGCTTGCGATTCCGGTACTATGGCTCGCCGAACGGTCATTCTGTTTGCGGTTGTGGCCGTGTTGCTTTGGAGACTGTTCTTGTTCGATATTGGTGACAGCAGATTTAAAAGTATCACACCACATCCATCACCGGAGCAAAGACGACAACAAAATCACCGAGCAAGATTTTTAGAGCTCACACATAACGAAACCTACAAAACCGCAAATGTCGAAGAGAGGAACGATGAACATTTCAAGATGGAACGATATGAAGAATCACCTGCAAGATTACAAGCGTCAGCTAATTTGGATACACAGAGCACCCGCGTCTTGGTTTTAAGTTGGCATGGTGGTACCGCGAAAGACACAGCGATGCAACTTCATAACGCTGGAGTTCGTCGCGAAAATATCGTGTGTGGAGGCATTATTTGGTACGAGAAAGTCCTCGATTCTGCTCCTTGCGTAAGAGATCATGCATTATCTGAGGCTTTGAATCGATTGACACAGCGTGTAAGAGGTTTTCCCATGGCTATCGATCCAGCAGACGAGAAATGGTTGGATGATTTCGCAGCTGAGGCTAGCGAGATGCTATCTACGTTCCATGTGCTCTGGGCGGACTTTCCTACCGCCCTTTGTCTTCTATTAAACAAGATTGCCCCACATAAATTGATAGTACGCACAACGCATCGTTTTGATCACCAGGTGGCTCATTCGAAGATAAATCACACGTCATTTGTACGTAAAAGCCTCATGCGCGTTCTACGCGAGGCGCCAATACTTCTTGCTGGGAGCGAGTACGATCGGGCATACATGAAGTTCTACACATGTCGTGAACCTGAACGTCTATTCATAACATGGCCAACACAGTATTTGGAGAGTTTGGGCGCATCGCGTACACTTACGAACGAGTCATGCTTCATCTTGTGGGGGGGGTCGAACAACGAAGGTAGTTCAAGCATATCGATTACATTTGATAGAATACGAGTCCTCGGGCGCACTATGGAGTCACAAGTTCCCATGAAAAGTCGCCCAACGAGTTTTGCTCACGCTTCGGAATTTGCAACAGAGCAAGCCGTAGTATATTTCCCATACAGTATGCCGAGTTCCGCATTTCATGAACTTTACGCGAGTGGTGTCCCCCTTTTCGTGCCATCGTTGACTTTCATGCTCGATGAGTTTTCAAAAAACCGTGGCTATCCTCACAAAGTAGCTGGTAATGTCCCTTGTGCTTCACCATCTTTTTACGAAAACGCTGAGGCAGTGGAGTTCTGCTGTCTTGACGATACTGGGGTATGTCATGATCCAAATTCATGCGATCCTGAAGCGCTGAAACAATGGGTATCATTAGGTGACCTTTACACCACCCCGCATGTGACGTATTTCGACAGTGCCGAGCATGCTGTGGAACTCATGAGCAACTGGATGAAGCATCCAGACCAACGGGATCGAACGATCGAGGACATGGAGTCACACAACGTTGCTAACCTTCGATGGAATGCTCGTGTCGTTCAAGCCGCAATTCGTCATGTCAAACAAAGCAGCGCGCTTGAACTGGATTGAAAATGCTGGTCGATACAAAGAAGCTGTGGGGGCGATACTTTGGACATCGTATTCAATATCTTACTTGGCGTACCTCGCCATGTAGAGTCTCACGCCTAGCGTATGTACGCGAAGTGAAAATAGATTTGAGTTTTCATTTAGTGTAACTCGATAGCGGGTTTTCCATGGTGGTGTTCGGGATGGGCGCTACTCCCCCTGCCGTAGTATCGCATATTTCGTAATCGAACAACTGCCCGTACGTTCCTCGCACTAAGTGAACAATCGCCACCCGGTCGAAAACTGTCACTTTCTTCCCCCGTCGCACGAGTCGTTTCGCGATTTCGAGCAGCTGGGACTCTTCGATGATATCCACAGGACAATTCGATTCATATGCGACGTAGGATACCTTACACCTATCGAGATCTAGCCAGGTAACACCGTGCCTCAAATCATCAAGTGTTTGTTCTCGGGGTTCAAGTCGCTAATATCACTCAAAAAACCGACTGAGCGCGCTTGTGTCGTACGCTTGATCTCCAGAGTCAGTGGGCGTGGCGACGAGGATGAAGACCATATCGACGCGATCGATCACTTCACGCAGCTTTAAAGTTGCGCGCAGATGTTTGCTCGATCGAAGCGCTTCCTCGACTCTTGGCTCAGTCAAACGAAGCGTGATTTCGTTGATGCTGTCCACGTGCGCCGGAAAGACATCCGAACCAACGATATCCCAATCAGCTTGTTCACACTTGAGAGCCGTACATAGTCCGAGTCGGCCCAGACCGACGAATCTGGCGCGCGTTGTTTGCAAGATCGATCGAGTGGTAGCCATCTTCGCTCTGCGACGTTGCAACGTCAGAGACGGCGACTGGCCCAAGATCACTCCACTCTCTTAAAGCATGTCTCTTTCTGGACTTTATTATCCCTGGTACTTTGTTAGGTATATGTCGTAGGAACGCAACCGCGGACCACAGCCTCGGTGTTGACTCACCACTGCTTTCCTCTGCGTCGAAACTACCGCAACAACGCTCTTGACACGCGCACTAACATTAAGTACACCGGTCGTGAGCGACGCCATGCGCGAGTCGAATGAGTTCGTGAAAACGTTTTACGATGATCGCCCTTGTAACATTCGGCTCGAAGGAATACTTTGAAGAAGTGACGCGGCGTAAATATTTCGTCGAGAACCACACTTTGGCATTCGCAAGTCTCGACGCGTACGAAAACAATCTGTTCTCGAGGTTGGTTGCGGTATAGGGACCGCGACACAAAGTTTTACTGAAGCTGGCGCGGTTTACACAGGCATCGACGTTTCCTTGCGAAGTGTAGAACTCGCTGAGAAGCGACTCAAACTGTTCAAACTCAATGGTGAGGTGCGCGTTGCAGATATACAGACCGATGAATTCATGCACGACCATTTTGATCCTCTTTTTAGTTTCGGAGTTCTGCATCACATCGCCGATGTACAACCCGCCGTGAAGGATATTTCATGACTCTCAAACCGGGAGGCGAGTGCAAGCTGATGATGTACGCAAATAATTCTTGGAAAAAAACTTGGAAAAAGACTTTCGTCGACTCGGGATTGGACCAATTTGAACCACAATCTGGAGTTCCAATCACTCACACTTACAAAGCCAGTGTCGTGCAATCATCAAGCTCGTTTGTGAAATCAAACTCGAGCGATCGTCGTCGACCGTCCGCGCTCGCCGAAGGGTGCGGGCGCAACGCAGGTGAGAATTCGCCCCAGTAGGCGCTCAAGTCGTTATTCGAGTACCAACGCACGGTTTCCGCGAGACCGACGTCCCAGGACTTTTCTTGTCGCCATCCGAGCGCTAAAAGCTTTGAGCAATCGATGAAATATCTTCGGTCGTTGAAGGCTCGATCGCTCACGTGCTCGATGGTCGTTTCCGGGTCGCGATCGAGGAGCTTACAGACATCCCGAGCGACGGACAAGATCGTCCGCTCTTCGCGCGAGCCGATGTTATAAATCTGCGCCGTCGTCCCGCGGTGGAGAATGACATCGAACGCCGAAGACGCATCGTCAACGTGCATGTACGAACGCGTCGCGTCGCCGTCGCCGTGTATCGAAATCTTTTCCCCGCGTTTCGCGAGGATTGAAAACTTTGGAATCGCCTTCTCTGGATACTGATTCGGCCCATACACGTTGTTTCCGCGAGTGATGATGTACGGTAGTCCGTACGAGCGTCCATACGCCATGACGAGCATCTCCGCGCCCGCCTTGGTCGCGGCGTACGGGTTGGTGGGCGTCAGGAGCGACGCGTGCTCGGTGTTTGAATCCATGAGATTTTCCCCGTATACCTCATCCGTGGACACGTGCAGGAATCGTCGAATTTCGGTCTTCTGCGCTCGCACGCACGCCTCGAGTAACGCGTGCGTGCCCTCGATGTTATTCTTCGTGAACTCGTACGAGTTCCCGAAAGAGTTGTCCACGTGACTCTGCGCGGCGAAGTGCATGACGGTGTCGATGCGCTCGCTTTGCAAGACGTAACTCAATAAATCGAACGAACGCACATCGCCCTTGACGAACCGCACGTTCGCGCATTCTTTCGCGCGCTCGAGATTTTTCAAGCTCGAGCAATAGTCGAGCTTGTCCAGGATGACAATCTGTCGAGCGCGACGAGTCGTTCGCGGTCAGTCGTTCGCGCGAGAGATGGGTGCAAAGTCCGTGCGTTGTTCGACGCACGCGCACGGGGTCGAAATCGTGCGCGCACCGTGTACTCGGGATGCCTCGACGCGAGGCGCTCGGCGACGTGCGAGCCGATGAAGCCGGCGCCACCGGTGAGAAGGATGCGCATGCGGGCGGACGGGCGTCTCGGTCGAGCGCGTCTAGATTTTCGCAGATTATCTCGACGACATGCTCGCGAATACCGCGCGCGCCTCGAGGGCGTTCGCGAGTGCTGCGCGCGATGTCCACGCGACGCCGCGCCTTTTGACGCCACTCGCACCGGCGCGCAGAAAACGAACGGCGGTTCGGCGGGGCGCGAAAGTGATTACTCCTTCGGGGGTAACCTAGGCGAGCTTCCCGTATTCATGTACAAATTACTCACCCATATATCATACCTGGTATTGATCCGACACGCGTCAGAGATAACGGGGAGAATAAAACCACAGAAATTCATGTACACGCGGCACTTCGACAAAGTCTTTCGATCGTTAAAGCACTGGTGACCCCTCTACCCTCCACGTTCTGTCAGAGGCTAGTTCTGTGAGTCTCTCAGTCTGTATTCTTTTACACCGAAGGTCGCTCCGAGGACGAAACTATCTTGTGTTTATTTTTGGATCTGGTCTACTGCATACACTTTAAGTGCGCCGATAAAGAGCTTTGACTTCGTGACAACGGCTGTCATCTACGAACCTGTTTCACGCATCAAAGTCCACCATGCTTTGAATCCTGTGGCTTGTGGCACGTGATGAGCAAGTGCCACCCGAACCTGCGTTCTATGGTGCGCACGAGAGCGTCCGCACGAGAGCATCCGGCATGGCCGCGAACCACGGCTCTTTTCTGGATGAAGCATCCAGACCAACGGGATCGAACGATCGAGGACATGGAGTCACACAACGTCGCTAACCTTCGATGGAATGTTCGTGTCGTTCAAGCCGCAATTCGTCACGTCAAACAAAGCAGCGCGCTTGAACTGGATTGAAAATGCTGGTCGATACAAAGAAGCTGTGGGGACGATACTTTGGACATCGTATTCAATATCTTACTTAGCGTACCTCGCCGTGTAGAGTCTCACGCCTAGCGTACGTACGCGAAGTGAAAATAGATTTGAGTTTTCATTTAGTGTAACTCGATAGCGGGTTTCCCATGGTGGTGTTCGGGATGGGCGCTACTCCCCCTGCCGTAGCATCGCATATTTCGTAATCGAAAAGTTAACGTGCCCATCGAGTACTAATCAATGATAGCTACTTGTAATCATCATCACTTATTGACGCAGGCCCGATTGATCGCATAGTATTAGGTATAGCTCGCATTTCGAAAATAATGTATGAGGGTAAAATAATGAATTTAATTAACGTCGACGTTTGTCGCGCCGTCGCGCGCCACTTCGCGCCGCGCGCGCGTCCGGGCGGCGCGGAGTCAACCGATGTTTCCGCGTATCGTGATATCCGACCGTTTAAGTTTGAATTCTGTGCGTGGGTGTTGACGGAACACGACCGTTGGAGCTCGATGGGCACGTTAACTTTTGGGCCAGATTCTGTCGCGTATGACGCACCCTCGCGCGCGCCGAAGCGCGTCTCCGACCGTGTCGACGGCACGGAAAGGTTGTAAGAAGGCTTCTCAGCGATCTTCAGCCTCGCTGGGAGGAGCAGAGGCAACGACGGCTCCCGCTTGCGACGACGAAGACTGGCGCGCTCAAGTGGCCAAAGATGCTCGTGAGGTTGCCGTTTCTTTGCTCGCGAACAAACGTCGCCGGGAGGTTTCTGTTTCTGATACTATACTATACTTAGGGCTAGCTCATTCAGGCGATGTGAAACGTCCGTGACGACGCGCTCATACGTAAATTCTTGCATGAATGCGCGAGCATTTGCTGTGATTTCACGCAACCTCGTTAGCGATTCGCCATCGGTGTTCGCCACAATCTTCGTTTTCTCAGCCAAATCGTGCAAATCTTCGGATATTCCGATGAAGTGTATCACATCTACTAGCTTGTCGCTGTAAGTGATCGATTTCTAAAAAAGTTGCACGAGGTAAAAACACCCCGGCGGAGTCCTCACCCTTTACCCATACTCTTGAGTCATGAACGGCCAAAACCGAGCTAAATTTAGCGAAGCCCGGGCGAACCACGATTCATTCCTCCGTGAAGGACGTCCGCGTGCCCGAAGATTCCGACGCCAGCATACATCGCGGAGTTGATGGGACGGTTAAAAAGTATCCTCGTCCTCGATCGCCGAAGAGCGAGAACTCTGATCTCGTTAGTCTCGTTAGTCTCGCTAGTCTCGTTGTGTTTCGCCGCCCTGCTATCGGTGAACAAACATGCCGGTTGGCCGCGAAAAGGCGATCCTCCCACGCCCTCGTTGGACTCGATGAAAGATATCGAGTCAGAACGTTTCGACAGAACGGCCTATTCTGCTGAAATCAAAATCGCGATTGTCTTCGGTACGCGACCAGAGGCTGTGAAAATGGCTCCGGTGATTCAAGCGGTGGCCAGATCGTCGACTCTGAGTGCGATACTGATCTCCACGGGTCAACACAAACAGATGCTTGAGCAAGTTCTGCGCCAGTTCAGCTTGCAAGATAAAATTCAACACGAGCTAGCGCTGATGAAGCCAAATCAACAGCTCGCAGAGCTCACATCGAGCGCGGTGCGCGCGGTAGACGGCGTGCTACGTTCGTCAAAACCAGACGCGGTGCTCGTGCAGGGCGATACAACGACAGCGTTTATCACGTCTTTGGCGGCGTTTTACTTGAAAATACCAGTTGGACACATCGAAGCGGGTCTTCGTACGCGTGATATCTACTCACCCTTTCCCGAAGAAGTCAATAGACAGTGTATCTCAGTTATGGCGACGTATCACTTCGCACCCACCGAACACGCGGCAAAAAATCTGTACGACGAGGGTAGACGCACGAATGTGTTTACAACCGGTAACACTGTTGTCGATGCCCTATATGCAATTTTAAAGACTGAACCGAGTGATCGAGTGATTGAGCTATCCAAAGTCGTGAAGACTGTATCCACTCTGCGCGACGTGAGGCTGTTACTTCTCACCGCTCATCGACGTGAAAACCTTGGCGAACCCATACTCAACATCTTCACAAGCATAGAGAAGCTTCTGCAAGAATACCCTGACGTCGTCGTGATTTATCCCATTCACTTGAACCCTATGGTGAAGCACTTAGCAGAACAGCACTTCGGCGTTGATACATTCCACAGCCTTGTACAGTCGGACCACGCGCCGCCAACGACTACGCACTTACGGCGATTGCTGATAGTACCACCTCTAGACCATGCAGATTTATTATTCATGATGAAAGAGAGTTTTTTCGTCATGACAGATTCGGGAGGTATCCAAGAGGAAGCGGTCACTCTAGGAAAACCGGTGTTAGTGCTCAGAGACACAACAGAGAGACCAGAAGGAGTGCTCGCGGGCGCCGCAAAACTAGTTGGTCACGGTGCAGAAAGTATATACACCGAAGCGGCGTCTTTGCTGAAAGATCCCGATTCTTATAGATCCATGTCAGGCTCGAAGAAAACTTATGGCGATGGGAATGCTGCTGGAAACATCGTGCGCATCCTCGAGACAATGTTGAGAACGCCGCCGCCAAAGACACTTCCAGTATCGTCTTCGTTTCATAATGAACACTCCACTGCGCCGTACGAGAATGTGGTCGTCGTGACGGTTTGGAAACGTAAAACAATCACACAAGTGATGAAAATGATAAGCAAACAGACGACGCTGATGACGAAAAGAACTGCCATCGTTGTCGTTCAAAACGGGGAGCACGTGGATATTAGCGACGCGCTTCATCGATGGAATAGCTCAGAGGCTTGGTCGGGTGTTCCACCACACGTATATCACGTGCATTCTAAAGTTGAAACGGGTTATTACGGTCGCTTTCTCGCGCCGATGTTCGTACAAACGACTCCACACGCAACGTTTATTGTTTTGGATGATGACGTTATGTTCGGATCGAGGTACTTTGAGAACATGCTGCGTGTCGTCGATGAAGGCTTTTTGGCGACGAGAAATGGTAGATTTTTGAACGAAAAGTTTTTAGAATTCGATTGGCGAGGTCACTGGAAAGAAGGTCCGGTTGATACGTTTGACGAAGATGATGAATACGATTTTGGAGGTCATTTGTGGGCTGGGAGGATGGTCTGGTTACAGGCCGCGTTTCGCGCGCCCCCTCCTTTACTTTACAATGCGGAAGACTTTTGGATAAGTGCTGTATTGCAAACAACCTTGGGCATCGGTACAAAGCGCGCGAGATGCCCTCGACCGGAAAATGGAGGCGATCTAGAACTTTGTGCTTGCAGCATGAAACAAGCCGGAAAGCACGAAGCCCCAAATCTTGGAAGTGACAAAATCAACGAGAGAAGATCAAAACGTCACGATGCGATGAAAACTATCGCCAAGCACTACGACTACGTGACGTTGTCTTCCAGGCGACGGTCGGCGGTTGAAGATGTTAAAAATCGCCACGAAGAAATACGTATGGAACGTTTTCACGCCGACGAGGAAACGTTGGAAATGTTTCAGCAGTGTCTTTACTGGTATTAGTAGTGACATCCTCTTCTTGGTAGCGCTCTTGCGCGCGGCAATCTCGCGACATATTCAAGAGATGTTTAGCCTTAGTAATCTAGTACGTAGTGAATAAATACTATCAGTTTTAGAGCGAACGCTATAAGTTTTCACGGCGATGTCGTTCAAGGGTGAGTACGAGGTCACTCCGGCTTCATACACGGTCGCTATCGATTCAAAGCTCACACGACGCATACGATCGCCATTTCCCATCCCCGGTGCGCATTACCGCGAACGCATCGCGCACAAATAGTGGTGAGTATGGCGAAACCGAACCCCGGGCGGTTGAAAAGTTCGTTCCCGGCTGTTGCGTCACTTGTTAAGAGGAGTACTTTGGTGACTGTTTGCGCCTTCTGCGCCGCCTGTATCGCGTGCTGGTACATTCGTACAGCTTTGAGTGAATCTCCTGTACGTGACAATAACGCAGCTCGTTCCAGCAGATTTAACTGCGGCGTCCGGCAGGCTCAGCTTCTATCGGTCGATGGAAATCCGTGGCTTTTTCATTCGGGCGATGCGATCACTTCTACTGTTAAGGCGAAGGGCACTTTCGAGCCAGCGATAAGCAATTTGATTCGGCGTCAACTCAGTATTGCAGATGGAATGATGGTCGATATAGGTGCAAATGTCGGTGTTATGACGAGTGTTGCGCTTTCTCTGGGCCGCGAAGTGGTCGCCGTGGAGGCACTCCCGGATAACGCGAATCTGTTACGCTGTAGCGCAGATCACAACGGCTGGACCACGCTGTTGAAACTACATAATACGCCACTTGCTGATCCTGCGTCAAAATCCGAACGGTTTTGTGTGTGCCGGCCTATTGGAAACCCGAGCGACGGTATTCTAGTACCGTTTACTCAGTTTGCAGATCATCCTTTCTGTGGAGGTGGCCAAAGAAAAACAAAAGGAGCGACGGGGCACTGTGCCGAAGAAATGAAGTCCATAACCCTTGATGAAATACTAGGCAGTGGTTCGAATCCTATCGCCTTCATGAAAATGGATATTGAAGGAAATGAGTGTCGCGTCTTGAAAGGCGCGGCGGCGACCTTACATGGTGGCAACCCATGTACAATTTTAACTGAGTATAATCCTGGTCTTCAGCAATATACCAATTGTACACTCATCGACATGATCGATCACATGAAGCTATTAGGTTACTTACCGCACACTTTTCAGCGACAAGGATGCTCTTTGAAGGAGCTTACATCCGTTCAGGCAGGAAAAATGAGCGCGCCAGGATCGGTGCATAATATTTGCTGGAAACCTCTTTTAGTTCCCAAACATTGCGTGAAAAAAGCGAGCTGAAACATCGTTCCAACGCATAGAATAAGTACGCTCTAAGGTGATATTCGTAAATCTGTTGCGCTCCAGGTATGACCACAGATCAAGCCCTAAAACATGGCAAGCGCGTAGGAAGTTTGCGAGGTCCCTCATACCCCACCCCGTTCATAGATACATAGCTTTCGCGGCCATAGTAGAGATAGAGCGTGGAAGGGCGAGGACTATCGCGCGTGTACGTGGCGCTAAAGGCGCGTGCACTCCTTCTGTAAAGTTTGTAAAGTAGTGTCCTAGAGTGTCGTAGACTTATTATTTAGGTCGACCGCGCTCCTGGCGTTGCCGTGTCGTCAGTGCCGTGCGCCTGGCGAGAGTTAACTACGATTTGTACTCATTCATGGGGTTGCAAACGTGAGCACTGGTTGTCGAAAGTTCGCACCGCACCACACGAACCACCTGACTCAGTAAACCCGGTCCAAACACCGAACGGGTCGCCAGTCGTCCGCCCCTGTACAGTAGCAGGGCGCACGACTAATACTCGTTTCGACGCTTCAGAGAAGAACCTACGATCGGCATTTAGCTTGGAAAGAAGGCTTCATGATCAATATCTAGGCGTCGAGTAGACGGAAGGCATGAAGAAGACGTCTTCGAAGCGTCTCACAAAGTTTTCAGTCTGTCCCGTGGGACTCATCTTAACTTATGGTGTGCTGAAACTAACGGGTCAAAGTTTCGAAGGCGATCTGCACGTCAATAGATTCAACGGTTCCGTTAGCGCCTTGTACACTGACCGTCGGGAATCTTGCTGGTTTCAGCGTTACGCTGATTTCCACGCGAACGCTGTGCGACGATCGCAGGAGGGTCAGTGCGTACCGTCCTTGATATACGTCTGCGACAAGCTCTGTGGGGGTGTAGGTGACCGAATGAGTGGTATCATGAGTGCGTTTTATCTCGCCGTCGTATTGGATAGGGCATTTTTCATTGAGTACAAGTCTCCTTTCCCGCTAACGCACACTTTGGTTCCGAAGACAGTTCGATGGGACCATAAACATAAAAGCAAGCGCGTATGCGCTTCGACGGGGTTCAAAGAGACCGAAATTTTCATGGTGGATTCCAAAGTCCCCTCAAAGGACCTCGAAAGGATCGAAGCGTTGCAAAGAGCTGGAACACCCACAATTAGACTTCACATCAACCGGTACTATGTCGGAATTTTTTTGTGGTCAGATCCTCATCAGTCTACACGAACACGATCTGATGGCGTGGCCGAATATTTTAAGGGCAAAATGACGCAATACCGTAGTTCACAGTGTGGAAGCACGCTTGCACATGATTCGAGTGCTGCTCATACTTTTAGTTTTGCGTTTACTAACCTGTTTCACTTTGCGCCCAACGTCAAACGTCGAGCCTTAGAAATGCTTCAAGAGCTTCGTCTTCAAGACAATTCACCTTTCATCGCCGTCCACGCACGGATCGGTGGAAAGATGAAACGTTCAAATCGAGTCGTTGGTTGGATTGACCCGAAGCGCCACGATATTGAGGATGTGACAAAGTTTTTTGACTGTGCAGAAATGAAGCGACAGCTGCTCGTGGAACACACACGCGATAACGCAAAGGATTCGTTGACCACTCATGTCGCTCCAATAGTTTTATTTTCTGATAGTGACGAACTAAAAAGTTCAGCTTTGGTGTCGGCTCGAGGCGTGCGCACTGTGCACAGTACCAATGTTTTTCACATCGACAGAAGTTGGAGCGTCTTCAAGCGGAGTATGCGAAAAGGGAATATGGATACTTTTGCTGAGCTTTATGTTCTATCTCAAGCATCGTGTATTGTTGGATCGAATAGTACTTACAGCGGCTTAGCTTCCTCGATCACGTTTCCTCCTCACCCGTGCTTCTCGTACTTTGATGATTGCACGAACGCGCGTTGGGACTTTTGGACCGCCACTGAACGTCGTGTCTAATGCCGCAACTCGAAGCGGATCAATCTACTAGACTGCGTTGGCGACTCCAAGGAGACTGAGCGCGTGATCGAGAGAAGTACGAAAACGTTCAGGCGGTATCATAAAGTCGCGTTTCAGTTCGGTCAGACAGGCACTTTCAAAGCACTCCGCAATGGTCTTCGTAACGGCGTGCGTTTGATCGCCGAGAGCGTACGTGTGGAACAATCCGGCGTTCCGTGCGATTTTTGCGTAGAGCTCATAGTACCAAACCGTCGAAGGAAAGAGCTCAATGACTGCGCTTTCTCGTTGCATGAATATAACGTTCGTAAGATCGGCGCCATGCGATGAAATGAGCAAGTCTGTTTCTGACATGAGGGACACTTGCTCCTTGAAAGAAAGCGTATCGAGCCGAACAGTTTTGTACCAAAGTCGACGCTCATCCAATATTTCTTGTAATTCGCCTACGTTAGTGACACGTCTCTTCTTTCTATCAATCAGTGTCACTCGCAAATCCGCTCTGTTTATTCGTTTCGGGTTGATTTTGAGATTGCCATACACTCGGTCTCGAAATAATTGAGCGTCATATGGGCCTTGAAGTAAACCTATCATAGTTCCAGCGACGACAACTCTTCTGGCACAAATAGGCGATGTCAACTCGTCACCATAAACGACCCTGACGTCGCCAAAGATCTGCTGAGTCAAACTATCAATCCAACTTTGAGCGGGCGGCCGCTGTCTAAAAATTATCACGACAGAAGAGCTATCCGAATTCTCTAGCGTCCTGAGAGCGCTGTGAAAAAAGAACATGGCAGATTGCGCGAAATGAAAGGGATTTGCGCCGCGTTTGTCGTCTGGAGCGATCACGAACAGATTCGACGTGTGGTTCTTATTGAGAGCGTGCGTGAAAATCACCGGGTCGACTTTTACGTCCACGTACGCCCTCAGTGGTAGCTGGTGAAACTTTGACATATCCACCGTGGGTAAGTTGGAAAGTCTACTGATTTCATGCCCGTCCGATTTGAGCGTCGTAAGCGCTGTCGAGACCAAAAGTCCACCACGTGTGACGCATACATCTTCTAACACGCAATACTCGTCGTAGTCGGGCGTCGTGAAGCAACTCGAATTAGTTCTCTGTGACGTCACGTACCTTTGAGATCTGAGCTGAGTAGACCCGTAGAAGAGCGCTGATGAGAGGAAAAACGCACGCATCATTCGTGTTCGCTCACGGCGTTTCACCGGCATCGCACTGTCCTTGACGTCGATATCTCGCTCTAGGGTGTGGAATCTCACGTATACCGAAGTGCTATCAACGCCCGTTCCGTTGTTTCACGCGACGCCATATCCGCGCAGCAGCTTTAATGCGCATCCAAAGTTAAAGTTTCATAGTAGAGCGCATCGAGTTATCGTGAGCACCACTCGTCTTAGAGTACACCACGTGTCAACAAGTGCGGCGTGCCTCTCGATTTTGAAATTTCTGCGCAAACGAGGGCGCCTTTCGCTCGTTCGCATACTCGTTCCACTCCGCGACGCGTTCGATTTACAACGGCACGCTCATACACATAGACTCGGGTAAATCGCAGTGATTATGAGCTTTTCGACATGTCCACCGCAGCCATGAAAACCTCCGCACGTCGGCTCGGTTTGCGCGTGCTGTTGGCTTTTTGGTTGTTGAAGTTTGTATTGTCTTTGCAGTTCATAACACGCGGATGCGAGCGCTCGGTGAAGTATTTGAGCGAGATGTGGATGCGAGAAGATGCTTGGACGCACTGTCGGAACTGCTGCGGCGACGTGAGGGAACGAATGCTGAAGTTCAGTTCATTTGGCTTGGGTAAAGACGTCGCGTGTTTCACCATTCATCCGGAGGCGACTTCGCCGTCGTCGTACACCTTCGTCGCACGCAGGCGTGAACCGCTGAATCGTAGCTACTTTAAAAGTGCCCTGCGGTTTCTCCGAGACGTCGCTGTGGAACGGCGACAGAACCAAGGAGAACGAAGCGACGTGGCTCTACGACTCCTTTGGGTGATTGACGACGATGCCTCTATGCCGAGGGAGCTGAAACGGGAATTGAAATCCTTGAACACTTTCATTCTGGCGCATTCTATCAATGTGGATTGTTTCACCGACGAATCAGTCGTGCTCGCGCCAAACTTCCACTTCATCAAGCGCGACGGGTTCAAACCGTTGCTTCGGAATCTGCGTGAACGTGAGATTCCGTTTGATGAACGCAAATCCGACGTATTCTGGAGAGGCTCGACGTCTGGTATGTCAACAAAATGCGAAATAGAAGAACCCGCTCGCGTCGACGTGAACGAAAGGGTTACCGCGTGCGTTGAACTTCCGCGCGTGCGAGCGGTGCAATCATCCATAAATGTTCCTTGGCTCGACGTCGAGATCACGCGAAGGGTACAATCGTGTAAAGGACAAACAAATGTACGCATTAGCCCGCACGTATCGGAACAGCATTGGATCACGCACAAAGGTATCCTCGAAATCGATGGAAACGTCGACGCGTGGGGAAACCGTTGGCGCATGGAAAGCGGGAGCGTCCTGTTCCTCGTCAAGTCAAATTTCAAGCACTATTACAGCGACAAGCTGGTAGATGGAGTACACTACATCGGAATATCTGGAGATTTGCACGATTTAGTGGAAAAAACGAAGATTGTGGCGAACACCGATGGCGAATCGCTAACGAAGTTGCGTGATATCACAGCAAATGCTCGCGCGTTGATGCAAGAATTTACGTACGAGCGCGTCGTCAAGGGCGTTTCCCATCGTCTGAATGAGCTAGCCTTAGGTATGGTATAGTATTAAATATTACGATCTAGCGACAACTACTGCCGAATTCTTTCAGAGCGGCGAGTAAAACCATCGCGCGAACCAAGCGCGAACATCTTGATCGTCAGCGCTATCGACAGAAATTTCCATATTAGTCGACGTTGGGTGCTCAAAGTTTGAACACGTGAAACCAAAATTGAGGTCCGGTAGAAAGTTGTGAAGCAAAGCGTTCTCGGCAAGTACACCATTTTCGAGCATCAGACTGAAATACGCCTGGAGATCGTACTCTGGCGGCGTTCTTCATAGACACCTCGAGGTGCGTCAATGCGTCAGAGCTTCCCAGGCCGACGCTGAGTAGAACGTTTGTTGCACATCTCTCACCGCACGGACGTCCAAGCGCGAGATGTCCCGGTAGAACATGGAATGCGCGTTCTTCACCGCGCCAACGTTGCAGTTCCTGATATCTCCGTTCAAGGTACTCTTGTACTGAAACAAATCGCGCGTGTCATCCACCGCGCTCACGTCCCAGTTCGCGATCGGCACGCTCGACGACGCGCTCCCGCCGACGTCGCCCCCGTGGCGTCGCCGCCGAGACAGTTAGCGTCGGCGATCGCGAATATCAGCGACCAATACGTCATGAACGGCGACACGTACCTGCTCGCCGAGCTCCACGCCGTGCGTGCCCCTTCCGCGCGCGTCGTCCCGACGACGCCCGCGCCCGTGGGCACCGTCCGCATCCTCGTCCGCGAGAATCGCCGCCATTCGCGTTTCGACGCGTTCTCCTTCTTCGCGCGTCGCGCTCGCGCACCCGCGTCGTCGGCGTCGTAATCCCTCGTCGCACAGCGCGCGACGATCGGTGCCGCGCTCGGCGCGCGAACGACGCTCGCGCGCGCGCGGTTCTGGGGCTAAAGTTTCCACGTCGGTTTGGACGTTAGGCTCTCCCTCGAAGGTGCCATGGGTGTGTAGAGGGCGTTTGGGGCGCCGAAGGGGGATAACCGCCGTCACAAGGCGTGGGGACGTTCTCCGCGTCCGCTACGCACGACGCGCGCGAGATCATCTTCACCGCGCACCCGGATCGACGCACCGAGCGAGACGCGCGCCTCGCCGACACCCTCCTCTAAAACGGACCGCGACGGCTCTGTTTCGCGTGACGCTCCGCATTACGAGCGACCGCGTCCGCGGGGACGCGGCGCGCACGTCGCGTGATGTTCGCGTGCGATGCGCGGGCGACTCTGCCCGCGCATCGAACGCAGCGGCGCGCGCGACGACGAGCGCTTCCGATAGTACTCGTCGCGCTGTGCGCGTGCTGGCTGTGCAGAGAGCGCACGCGCGAGCGCGCCCGAGAAAGCGATGATGTTGCACTCCAACGTAAAAAGTCGCGAGTGGTCGTCGAACCGTGCATCGGAGGTCGGCTTGAAGCGTCGATAGCCGACGAACCGGAATCGATTCGCTTCGCTACGTTTGCCTTTGCGCGGAACGCTGGCAAAAGATGGAGCGTGGAAAGCACGAAGATAGCTTTGCGGCTCATGTACTCGTCGTTGGCGAGATCGCAAGCAAGGAAACCGCCGTGTTTACACGTGTACACGGACACGCCGGGCGTGATTCCGCTCAAGACCACGTTTGGCACAGAGGTTGACGTAATCACGCACGCGTGCGACTCGCAGTCTTTTCCGCCAAACGCTTACACGAACGTCGGGCCGTGGGCGGCGCTTTCACGAGCGAAACTTGATGCTGTAGAACATTTAATGACGGTGTTCGGTGCGAGGGTGATATGGATCGATCTCGACACTCTCGTCTTCGTAGACTTGGGACAGACGTTCAGGCAAAGCTCGTCGTGGGTCGTGGGTTACCAAAGAGGCGCGCACTGCGAGGGAATAAGAGCATGTTTTCATTCCGCGCACTCTTCGGTTCGACCGGAATTCGACGCACTCGGAGATCTCTGGTCGCTCGATCGCGAAACAATAGCAAAGGTCAGAGACTTTGAACGGAGGAGGATTACGTCCAGCGCGAGGACGCCACCGAAATACGATTTACAAACGTATTACGGACAGATGCTCGAGGAAGAAATGTTATCGAGCGATGTGTTGCTGCACAAACTTTTGTCGAGTCATAACTTTGGTTTCTTTTGTTCCAACTTCATGCATCCGACGGTTGAAAACTTGGAACTTTCAATTGACGAGGAGGGGAATCTCGTCTGTCCTCGACGGCCGGATGTCAAAATGGGCGAACGCGTGGGCGCGATTTCGTTCACAGCCAAGACGTTTCAAAGTATGTTTTCCGCAGACGGCGATGTATTCGAAAACATAGCGCATCCCGGAGCGCGACGATGGCTGCGCGACTGGTTTTATGGTCCTATCGCTAGAGGGAGCAACGGCTCGGCGCGCCCCGGCGTCGACAAAAACGTCGATTCAAAGCCGAAGACTGATCACGAGCGAATGGTTTTCACGCCAATGAAGCCATCGAGCGATAGGTACGACGACACAGATATCGTTTCAGTTAAGCGATGGTACGGTCGGCTCGGCAATAGGGTACGGATATTTGCGATGATGCTCGAGGACGCGCTGGTCCGCGGTTGTCACGTGCGCATACTCGACGACATACTACCGGGATGGAGATCAGAAAATACGTTTTTCGCAAACAAACAGATCGATGGTGTGCGGAATAAGCGTGCTGCGAAGAAGTGTCAGAAACTGAGCGGGCGTCGCTGGTACGATACGTACCTCAAATCGAAAGATGCGCTTCGTCAACAGAACGGTTTTGCAGACGACCGAATGTCTATACCAGACGGGTCTGTCGTAACCAATGCTATCTCGCGTTACTTTGAAACGAACGTGACGCACGCGTTTGGTCGTGCCTGCGAGAGTGTCGGCGATGATGTGCTCGCGGTGCACGTGCGCGCGGGAGACATCGTCAGCGGCTCCTACAGTCGTTGGACGGGTCATTTCGTTGCGAAAGAGCCGTCAAAGCACACGACGTACGGACCTTTTCCGACGTCGTACTACGCGAGCGTGCAGAGTTACGCTTCGGAATCGGCATTACAAGTGCGAGTTTTCTGCGAAGACTTGAACAATCCAACGTGTATGTTTTTTCAACAGCTCGCCGCGGTACTTCCAAACGTCACCATGAGACTTGGACGGGACTTGATTTCTGACTTGGTGGAGTTTAACTGCGCCGCTCGCGTAGCGTTTTCGTACGGCTCGTTTCGAGATGCGCTAGTTCTAAGAAATCGTCCTTTACGAACGCACGACTTTTTCTTTGACAGAAATGAAGCCGAGACTACGTGCTCGCGCGCGTCGCGTGGATCGAGCGCGCGACACCGCCGGTATTTCTTCGCGTTGAAAAGCGACGAAATAGAGTATCAAAAATGGATTCGCCGGAATAACTGGCGCAACACGGCGAGGCAGCGCCACTTGGTTGACAAACACTATCAAATTGGTTTCGTTGAATGCGAGAACCGTGGAAAGGATTTCTTCGGGTAGGCTGAGAGCGGTTGCATCGGCTCAAAGTGGCATAGTGCTTGAAACTAATTAAGCGTCTTGTGTCTGTCAGTCATAACCACCTTTGCGAGAGGCGATTGTCCGTCATGGTCGTCGGTTCAGCCGTGCATAGGAATCATTTTAGCGATAGCAAAGGGAGCGAATGGTACACGATCAAGGTGGTCGAGCTTCTCACGCGACGCGGCCACGACATCGTGCAGCGGCTGAGCGCGCTCCCGGATGACGATTTCGTCTATCTGGCGAACGCGCGGTACTTTTTTCCCACTGGCGGCGGGTACGGAGGACAGGCGAGCATTTGCGTCGAAAGACTCGGTGGAACGTCGAGCTGGTGGCGCTGGTTTCGTCATCGAAAAGTTGAGCGCTGACTCGAAAGGACGTGCCCAGTGATTTACAAGAGTGTCTATCACTTACTACGAGTTTAGGGAATTTTCCACGCCCTCAATACCACCATCGAAGCGAATGAATGCGAATTCGACGCACATTTTGTGCAATAGTGAATACTTGATATTCGGCTCTTTGTGGAAAATGTAAAAGTTTTCGTCGTGAAGGCGTCGGAAGAAACGTTTCGCCACCGGCTCGCGCAAAGGGTCGAGCGCGCCGCGGCCGAAAAGTTGATCGCCGACGATCAGAGAGAGCCACGATTGATGTACTTCTTTCAAGTTCGAGTCAATCGTGCCCGCGTGTATTTCCACGAGCATTTCATCGACGCGCACGTCGGCGTCGATCCAGCTGCCGTAAGTGCTCCATTCGCAGCCTTCGCAGTCAATTTTTAATACGTCTATCGTCCTTCCTTTGTGACCGAGCGCGACGACGACGTCGGCTAAACTTTTCAAATCGCTCCCATCGGGTTCGCGCGCGCCTCCTAATCCCCATGGTTGAAAGTGGACACCGCACGGTTTGTTTCGCGGGTTCGACACCGTGTGATCGAACACGTGTATTTCGCACGCGCTCGACACGTCCCGCATGATCGCTTCTTCGAAACTAAAGTCATCGAAACTTCCGACGCTATATATCAAACCGTCCGCCCCCCGCGCGCGCAGACGGTTCGGGTCGCACAAACACTTCCCACCCTCGCCAGCTGGACCGACGCGCTCTTCGCGCGCGCACGTCACGGCGGGCTCCACGTTGTCTTGGTACCAACCGTCGGCTCTCTGCGTACCTCCGCGCGAGACGGTGTCGAAGAGCGCGTAGCGCTTGAGCTTATCGGCGTTGATCGCGTTGATCGCGCGATCGAAGGCGGCGTCGACGTCTTTTGCGATCGGCGCCGTCGAACGCGTCGGCTTCGGTTGTGCGCACGAGTGCTGTTCTTCGACCCGAGCACGCACGGGTTTGGCGAGGTGATACCGTGTGAACAGGGTGAAACACGCCGCGAAAAGCAGCAACGCGCTGATTTCTCGCGCGCGCTTCGATCGTGCGAGGACGGAGCCGTTCGAAGCGAGACGAATCATGAAACGAACGACGAATACTGCGGGAAGAGAAGTGAGGTGAGTGATTACGCACGTGACGAGAATGATACACTATGATGCGATTTCGAGACTACATCACTACACGTTGAGCTAGAATCTACGTACGATCGATCGCGCCAAATGGTTTCCACCGACTTCTTCACGACGCATAAATGTCCCCTCCCCGCGACATTTCGCTGTAGTGCTTCGTCGCTCGAGGCAGCTTAAAGTGCAACAACACCTCCTCGTCTGTGCGCACGTCCGCGACGCGTCGACTCGCCGCGCTCAACGCGTCTCTATGTTGCACGCGCCAACGGAACTCGATCGAATCTCCATCCGCGATGCTTTCGTAGAGCAACGCGGGCCCGGTGTAGTACAACGAATGATAAAAGTGTTGTCGGTCGGCGACGTTCGCGGCGATTTTGTCCATCGCGCGCGCGAAAACATCCAACCCGGGGACCGCCACCATGAACGCGTTCCACACTTGTTTCGGCCCGCCCGCGAGTTTGTACACGCGTCTGTCGTACACGAACAACGCGTCGTGGCGCATATCGTGGGTCAATTCGTCGAGAGACTTCACCAGTAAAATGTCATCGTCCATCCAAGCGCCGCCTTCGGTGTACAGAATGCAGTACCGCAACAAATCAGCCTTGAACGCGAGTGGTTTTAGTGCTCTGTACGCGCGTAAATATTTTTTGCAGTTCGTTTCTATATACTCGGCTCCGCCGTACACGTCGTACGTCTTCAACGTCCACGTCGGGTTGAGTCGCGTGGTGATTTTTAACGGGAACGACGAATCGTTCGGTAACGTCAGGGTGTGCAACTTGCGAGGTAAAGGCTTTGTGTCAGTCGTCGTTGTCCATAACACCGGTACTGGTACGTCGTTCCAATGACTTTGTAAACCTCGCCAAAATGCTTGAAGCAAAAGTATACTTGCTATGGTGACGAATAGTACGAACGCGAACGTTCGTGTAGTCTTGCGACGAATATAGCGTGAGACGATGGTAAACGACTCGTTCCAAATGCCTTCGCCTTTCATATCTCGCGAGGAGAAATTTGTGACGAAGAAGCCCTCGTTCGCGCGAAACGTTTCGTTCAGAGTGTTGCGGAATCCGCCGGCTTGCCTTATTAAAGGCTCGTTACATGCGAGCTATACCTTATATGATTGTGAGCAATCGGGCCTAGTGCGTCGATAAGTGATGATGATTACAAGGAGCTATGATTGATTAGTTCATTAATGAGTGTTAACTCGTCAATTAGTCATCCTAGGTTAACTAGGGGAAGCTATACTTCATACTTTACTCTTCAGATTTCTAACACACCTCCTTAGCTTTCTCTAGTCTGAGGGCTTATCAATCAATACCTTTGAAAGGTTGGATTTCCTCACTTTCGACCTTCTCGAGATATTCTTGAAATGTGTGCAGAGCGTCACTCTTCACCATACCTTCACTCAACCTCTGGTTGATGAAGTCTCGTATGTCCTTTGAAGATATATGACTTAACATTACGTTGAAGTGATTAGAACACTCGTGAACGTCTGTTGTACCTGAAAAGTTCTTCTTGTTCGGCAATATCTTTGTCAACATATCGGCTAGATTGTATGACGATCCGATGTTGAATGGCTGTATAATCCCTTCTCTGTGAGCATAATGTTGGAGCCAAGCGTATCTTATTTCCATATGCTTGTTTGACTTTGACGACATCGTCTCCATCGCTTGTCGAATGGCTGTCGTGTTGTCACAAAACAATGGTACCCTGGAAAGTTTGAACCCAAGTTCTCTAAGTAACAAGATTTGAAAGAATAAATCTTTCGCGGCTTCATACATTGCCATAAACTCTGCTTGCGCTGAACTCGTGGCTGGTATTCCTTGCAGTTTGCTCTTCCAATTGGTAGGGCCGCATGAAAAAGATATATACCCCGATGTGGATTTTCTTCCGCATCTATCTTTCGAATTTAAGGATAACTTTTGGCCTGCCCAATCCGAGTCTGTAAATCCTGCAAGTCTCACTATACCATTGCATTCAGCACCGTTGTAGGTTAATGGAATATTGGGGTTCCTCTTGAGATATCCAACTGCTCTGCATAGAGCGCTAAATTGTTTATGCGTTGGGTTACTTGCTACTCTTCCAGCTAGGCTGCATACCACAGCAAGATCCGGGCGAGTAGCTGTATTGAACCAATTCAGACTTCCCAACACTTGTTGATATGTTGTCCGTTTCATCCTGTCTACTGCATCTGTGTCATCCTCCTTGGCGAGAACAAACATATCTGATGGTAGTAACGGTGAATCGCGAGCATTGATGTCTTGCACTGGGCATTTTGCTAGGAATTGCGCAATCGAATATTCTTGGCTCAGTGTGTAGCAGTGCTTCTCTAATCTGTGCATATTAATGCCGTTATACACTTTGCACTGTTCAAATTGCGATACTTTGTAGGTGTCTGAAAACTCGGTGTGGAAACGTTCAACTTTTTCATTGTCCTGAGCCAATATTAGGAGATCATCCACCAAGACTGAAATGATCAGAAATGGTTTACCATGATTCATCTTAACAAATAAGCAGCTATCTTTGGCTAGTTGGGTTAAACCAATAGACCTTAGTGTCTTGGTTACATGAAGATACCAACATCTTCCAGCTTGCTTTGTTCCATATAGAGGTCTCTTTAATTTGTAGACTACTCCTTTCGGAAGCGGATGAGATCGTGGTGCTTTGATGAATATATCATCTAAAAGCTCTCCTTGAGTATAAGCTTGGGATACATCTATCGTAAAGATGTCCCATCCTAAGATTGCCGCAATATTGATGAGTATCCTAAACGTGGTCATGGAAGCAACAGCACTAAATGTGTCGTGGTAGTCCTTCAACCAAACTTGGGTGAATCCTTGCACTACCAATCTAGACTTAAGGGAACCATCTGGTTTTACCTTATCTACCCATTTGGATCCACAAATATTTGCATCTCCGGCTTCATCAATACTGACCTCCATTAATGTGGTTTCGAGCAATCCATTGAGCTCTTTTGCTCTGCTCTCTGAGAAATCCACACTTGACTCATCAATAATTTTACCGTATTCTTCGCCTTTTGCGACGGCTGTGGCTAGCACACTGTGTGCTGCCCTATTTGTCGAATCAGCGTTATTTAGCGCAGGATTCAATTTTACCGTTTTATCGCCATAACTCCCGCCCTGAAGCTGGATATGCGAATACTTAGAGAACTTGGGTTCAAACTTTCCAGGGTACCATTGTTTTGTGACAACACGACAGCCATTCGACAAGCGATGGAGACGATGTCGTCAAAGTCAAACAAGCATATGGAAATAAGATACGCTTGGCTCCAACATTATGCTCACAGAGAAGGGATTATACAGCCATTCAACATCGGATCGTCATACAATCTAGCCGATATGTTGACAAAGATATTGCCGAACAAGAAGAACTTTTCAGGTACAACAGACGTTCACGAGTGTTCTAATCACTTCAACGTAATGTTAAGTCATATATCTTCAAAGGACATACGAGACTTCATCAACCAGAGGTTGAGTGAAGGTATGGTGAAGAGTGACGCTCTGCACACATTTCAAGAATATCTCGAGAAGGTCGAAAGTGAGGAAATCCAACCTTTCAAAGGTATTGATTGATAAGCCCTCAGACTAGAGAAAGCTAAGGAGGTGTGTTAGAAATCTGAAGAGTAAAGTATGAAGTATAGCTTCCCCTAGTTAACCTAGGATGACTAATTGACGAGTTAACACTCATTAATGAACTAATCAATCATAGCTCCTTGTAATCATCATCACTTATCGACGCACTAGGCCCGATTGCTCACCTTAGTCGGCTTAAGTATTATTCATATTTTCGGCTATCTCTTCGTCGGCCTAACAGCGAAATTTCCCTCTTTTGCACGTCCGGTTCGCCCAGCTCAGCCGCTTAACGAGTTCATTTCAACTTGAAATTTTCAAGGTAAAAAAGGCAACCTAAACGCTGTACTCAAGGTCCAACCTTAGTGTGCACCTAGACGTGTACCCACCGGTTCTCCTCCCTTCATCTCTTCCTCGCCGTTTTTGAAGTGTCACGCGCCGTCACTTAAGACGGCGATGCCCCGCCAGTTCCGTCTTCCGCCTCGCTCTGAAAGTTTGCTATTTAGTAGTGACTGTGCAAGAGGGGCACATGCCACAAGCCACGGTGGTAGACGAGGGGTGGGCCGACATAGACAAAATCACTGCGTAGTCCTCGCGTGGCGTCTTCTAACTCTCACTTGCGCGATTTCCGTGTGTGCTTTGTTGGTCGCTCGCGGCCTGGAAAACATTCGTTTGTACCGTGCTGGGAACTTTGTTAGCTCTTTGGCACACGTATTGGACAGGGCAGTCGGTGTGGAGAAACTCGAGGAACTTCAGAAAGTGTGCACGCGGAGTACGGCGATAGAGGAGACATACCTGGTGACTGGCGCAGCTGGTTTTATCGGAAGTTACGTCGCACGAGCGCTCAACGAGCGTCGTGTACGAGTCGTTGGTTTAGATAACATCAACGGCTACTACCCGAGGGCTTTGAAGAGAAATCGGATTTCAAAGCTCGCAGAGGTTGGCGTGCACGTGGTGGAGGCGGACCTCAATGACTCTTTGACACTCAGGGGGATTTTAGATACGTGTAGAGTGACGACAATCGTACACTTGGCAGCACAAGCGGGCGTGAGATATGCAGTGAAAAATCCAGGGTCGTATGTTCACTCAAATGTCGCAGGTTTTGTTTCACTGCTCGAAGAAGTAGTGAAGACAAGTCCTATACCAAGAGTGATCTTTGCCTCGTCGTCGAGTGTATATGGGTTGAACACAAAGCTTCCGTTTAGCGAATCGGATGTAACTGATTCGCCAGCGTCACTATACGCCGCAACCAAAAAAGCGAATGAACTCTTGGCGCGCACATACAATCATATTCATGGTGTTGCATTGACGGCGCTGCGCTTTTTCACAGTCTATGGGCCGCACGGTAGACCTGATATGGCGTACTACTCGTTCGCGAATAATATCAGGGCAGGGCAACTTGTGAATATATTTAGAAGTGCCGATGGCAGTGAACTTGCACGTGACTTTACATACATAGATGATATTGTTCGTGGTATCATTGCAGCATGCGATACAAGCGAGGCTAGTGGGAAGAAAGCAGATGGTTCGAACCCACCTTTTAGGGTATATAATCTTGGCAACACGCATCCGGTGACGGTGAGCGACTTCGTCTCGAAACTTGAACACGCCCTTGGCATGGTGGCCAAGCGCAACTACTTGCCCATGCCCAAGACTGGGGATGTCCCTTACACACATGCCAACATCAGTGCTGCTGAACGTGACTTGTCGTACAAACCCAGAGTTGATCTTGATACTGGTCTTCAATATTTCGCGGAATGGTACTTAGGTTACTATGATAGTGGCGCGAACAGTGAGGACTTCAAGTACATACCACTGTGATGCATCTGATCTGAAGAACCGACCACGAGATTTGGAGATGAACGCTTTAGCTTCCAATAAAATCTAAAAGCATGACATGTCTCGCTGCCCAGATACATCGCACTCCTGTTGAAAGTATTTCTCCCAAAGCTCTTTGTGAGGTGTGTATCGACACCAAGGTTTCGACTGACCTGACCAATGGAGAACTCTCGCTTCATTCAGTACCGACGCTCTAAGCCCTTTTTTGTAGCCGACTCCATCAACATTCCAATGCGATGGAATTGACTCGAAGGAATCGCCAAACACTAGCAACAAGGGAGGCTGACTTCCATGGCTATATAATTTCGACACTGAGTTCATCTTCAACCAAGTCTCTACAGTTGAAGTAATTCTCTTACGCCGCCAGCTTTCAAGGTCGATTAGGAGTACCCCGGCATTGAAAGAATGCATTTTTTCACGAAGACCTGACGATTTTACCGCCGCATTTGAGAAATTGAGCAGACTACCGAGGGGGACACTTCGCTTCACAGCAGCAATGACAGATGTTGAAGACGAACGTAAATTTGCGTCATGTAACCTGCATATGTCACCTTTGACAATAATGTCAGTATCCAGATAGACTACTTTCTGGACGTCTGATAATATTTCTGCAAAGTAGAAGCGGGCATAGTTGAAAGCGTTTTGCAGCCTCCACTCTTTTCTGCTGTGTACAGTTATATTAGCTCGAATCATATCTTTGGAAAATTCGTGTAGTTCCCAGATGAAGGGTATTGCTCGGCTGTAGCAATTCAATTGCACACTAGCATCAGTGAGAGCATCGCGTGCAGTGAAGATGTGAAACCGTATCCGATGAGGTGACGCGGTGGCCGAAAGCACTGAACTGATCACAGGCCCTAACGTAAATAACTGAGTAGGATCGCAGGCAAATGCTATGTGAACCAGGGACTGAGCGTTCGGTATCTTTCTCCGAGGAAACACACGTATTAGAACGAACACGAAAAGCAAAATTCGACATATCGTGATGCTCGTGCGTGCGACTCTCACCGTATTGTTGAACCTAATAGAGGGGCGCAACATGTATGACAGTTTCACGTCAGGTTTGACGTTTCAAGTCGTCCACTGCTGTAGCCGAACCATGCTGAGCTCAAGTCCACGAGCGTGGCCGAATCTCGCCTGAACGTAGTTTCGCTTTAGATGTCTTTCCAAACACTGCTTTACTAGAAGCCTTCGACACCGTCAGATTCTGCGGTCGATGTAGTAGAAGATCGGAGCGAACAAATAGAAAAGAAAGGGCAATATAAGAGGGTGCGCAACATTCAGTTCATTGAATTCATTCAATTGAACCAATCAATTGACCTTTCAACGTTTTGTCTCTCACCTCGGATCCACCTGGATCTGACGTCGTGAACAGATCGTTCGGATTCTCGTGGGTGTCGGCTTCGAAGGGCATGAACCCTATCGATAGTGCGCCACCCCGAGCTGTGTTGTACCTCATGTATGTTAGATTTCTCAGTTTACGCTCGGCGGCATAGCGTCATACCGTTCTTTATAGAGCCACTTGTAGATTTAATGTTGTCTGTCCCTTACAATGATGTACACCCTGAGCATGTTGAATGTGCCAGATAGGGTCAATCACATCGCTCAAGAAGCTAGTACAGAACGTTGATCATGATGAGCCGGAAGTATATTTTTCTGGTGAAGTGATATCACTGGGCAGTATCACTGGCGGCAAGCACAGTGCTGAATGGTCAGTACCCTTCGGAGAAACTCTAGATATATATTTTAATTCGCGATTCTAACGTTGCCGTGGGAAGTCTTGAATTTTCAGTCTCTATACCGCTCGCATCGATCCAGGAGCGTTTATGGCGGTTGTAAATGTGCCACTTTCTGGTGGTCTTGTCAACAAGGATCCATGTTTGGCTGCAAAACCCAAGCACAGTCACTGTCCGATCACCGTCCGATATCCCATCTAGCGTCTGGTATCCTCCTTTGACAAGCGCAGAAACGTTTCTCGTAGACCGTTGTCTATTTATGAAGCCATTTCCATGGCGACTGACAGCATGACAAATCTGGAGTACTGGCTTTTAAGTCCATTCATGGGCATAAACACCAACAGCTCGCCGAGTGGAATTTTATAAGGCACGGTCATCCAAAACGGTTTATCTTCAGCCTGCATGTATCTCAAGCCCACACGTATACCATCAGAGTTTGCTTTCGGACCGACGTCGCGCAGCAGCTCTCTCGCCCACGTTGACAGATCGAAGCGTCTACTATCCGTGACTTGGTTTGTGAACGTTTGAGAGTCGACTCGAACCCGTCGATCGCTTTGAGCAGCTCGTGCGTACTCTCGCACCACCAGCAACGCGCTCACGACGGTGAAAATCTTAGCAGCGGCAATATATTTTCGAGTTGCGCACATTTTCTGGGCTGCTGTGACGAGTGACATCAGAATCTACAGGCGAAGCTCGCACCGTCTAAGTGCGTCGATAAGTGATGTCGATTACGAGTATGAGGGATAATGACTCATGAGATGAACCCAATCCCGCATTACACTGGTGCTAATGTTAGATAATCTATGAGAAACCTTGGGTTTATGAGTCGCGATGGTTGCCGCGCGAGCTTGTCCGATGCTGACTCATACACGCTAAGTCTATATGTAGGTCTAGGTCGTGTAGTATAGACATAGGCGTTAGAACCACTATAATACGGGATTGGCTTCATTCATGTGCTTATCTCTCATCACATGCCATGGGATTTTGACTCGTTCAGAGCAACATCAGTAGGGTTTCAGTGACCGTTCATGACTCAATAAATCGTTGACCAGTCATAACTCGCCAACAGGGACTGTGCCGAGACGCCGAGCTCCCTGCGTCGCCATCGCGGCAGACGTCGCCTCCCCGCGCGACGACGGCGGGGGGGGGACGGCGCCAACGCGGCGCGGGACGCCGTCGCTGCGACGTGAGAGTCGCGACGACTCGTCAAACCCGGCCGCGACGTGATATATGCAGCCGGAAGATGCCGGGGAAGGGGTGACGGTGCCCTCCCAGGTTGGCGATGACGCGCTCGGAATCGTCCCCGTCGACGAGTACGAGACGGTGTTTTCGTTTCCAACCGTCGGAAAGGACTCTGAGCTGTGTGTTACGCGATGTCACGGGTTCTGGCTGACATTTTACGTGGACGATACTCGCTCTGTCAGTGGCCAAGGCCCGCGAGCGAACAAAACCAAGTACGCCAGGAGCATGCGAGCTTTCAAGGTGCGAGCTTCCAAGCGCGATCCGCCGAAGTTTTTCGTATCGACACCGCCTGCGGGATTGTTCTCACATCGAGATATCGTTTGGCAATGTGATGTTCAGTGGCCTTACGAGAAAAGCGCGAGTAATTGGCTGCACGCCGTGATCCCGGCGGAGAGGTTGCTAGATTTCCGACGCGGCGTGCAGTGCGACGCCGCCACAGAGTTCCGCGTTTATTCTAGATACAAGAAAGGGAGGGGAACAAACAGCGTGGGGTCATTATACACGAATATAACCATCTGGCATTGCTTTTGTGGTCCTGAAGACCATTCGGTTGATGCCAAGGAAAAGTTTGCCAAGCTCTGCAGCGGGAAGGCGAAGCGCATCTCGAGAAAGGTGGGCTGTCAATGTCGTTTAGGGTTTAGGGTTTAGGGTTTAGGGTTTAGGGTTTAGGGTTTAGGGTTTAGGGTTTAGGGTTTAGGGTTTAGGGTTTAGGGTTTAGGGTTTAGGGTTTAGGGTTTAGGGTTTAGGGTTTAGGGTTTAGGGTTTAGGGTTTAGGGTTTAGGGTTTAGGGTTTAGGGTTTAGGGTTTAGGG